CAGACGAAACTAAAACCAGAATCGATTGTCAACGCTGTTCGAAATCAGAGATAAAAATAGTATGTGGTACGCACGTCCTGCACAATGCACCACAAAACTCATCATCCCTCATCCTCGCCTCCGGGTCATTCATAGACGTGGGTTGTGCTGAGATGACTTTCTTTATCGCAGCCTCTAGCTTACTTGCCTTGAAAGCTCCATCACCACCGGACTTTTCCTTTGAGAATACCTCCTTTGAAAGCTGGGCGTACGTGTGGAGGGCATCGTCGACGGACATGCGAAGGCGGCCCAGCATGAGCGCAATGATCCTGAACGATCGCAGATGAGTGCTCCGGTAAGTCACTCTGAGGTAAGTATTGCGCGTCAGCGTACCCTCCCGTGCTCGTACCACCAATCAGATCGAAATGATCGCAAGGCAGCGGCATTTTCTCTAGCTTTTCTGAGAGTTGGATTTCGCGCATGAGGTTCCATAGGATCTGGAGGGACGACAGGCCACGGATGCCGCCGCCATCTATCAACAAATATCAGCGATGGCCCAGGCACAAAGAAACTGAGCAGAACATACCCAAAGCAAGTAAACGCAGACCGTCAGTGGGAGCTAGTTCAGGCATCTTGTTGTATGAGCAGGCAAAGTGAGATGCGAACAGGAGAGAGAGAGAGAGCGAGAGTAAGGGGGAAGAGATGAGCAACGCCGTGGACCCTCTGCCCGTACTGGGAGTGCAGTGCAAGGCGGTTCCAGCGTGGATTGAGGGCGCTGACGCTGAAAATAACCACGATATAAATACACAATATGACACGGATTCATGCACTGCCTTGTGGTTGTTTTGTTCAGGTTCCTTGAGCTTGGCAGGCCGGCAAAGAAGCCTATGCAAGCACCCAGTGCGTGAAAAGCAATAAATTGAACGTGCGTATGACAGCAATCACTGCGTCTAAGTATTCAGCAATTATGGATGTGAACAGTAGTGCTAATCAAGCCTCCAGACTGGCAAAGAGAAAGATAGCGTATCATCAGGAATCTGTAGTCTCACAAAGGAAGATTCAGTGTAGACGAGATTTTAACTGGGCAAACGTGGATCGACGTCGAGGACAAGTTCAATATGTCGAGGACAAAATATTGAGAAAGAAAAGATCGCTGTGCCGACTGTAAGAGATAAGATAAGATCAAAGCGCATCATCACGGCTGTGATGATCAATCGTCCCGGCACCGTCCTCGTTCACGGCTCCTAGAGTCAGACGCAACCCACCTTCAATCTTTCATCTTCATCGCCTCCTAGGACCCACATCTCCATCTCTATCCAGCGCCGAACGTTGATTTTTAAACCCTGGAGGTATTCCCTGGGTCGAACAATCCAACTCCAGCATTTCACTCGTACTCGCTTGGTTCACATCTCTTGTTCTTCATCTCCTCCTGGTTTCACTGTGTTCTCTAAAGTATCAGTATCGATATCTCCCAAGTCTAAAGTCTAGATGAGCTCGCCCGAGGGGTCCTCGGACGAGGACAAACGAGCCTCGAACGCCAACGCGCGAAAGACGCCAGGGACGAAGAAGAGGAGGGTTCAAACGTCGAGGGCGTGTGATCGGTGTAGGCAGAAGAAAGGTTCGTCTTCGCTATACCATATATTTCCTCCCTTCGTTACTGAAAAGACATGAACACCGCGTAATAAAATAGTTAAATGTGAGGGATGGTTATAGTTCGCAGGATCTCCGAGAGAGGATGTATATCTGACTCTGACTTTTGATGTGATGGTATGCGGTTTGCGGAACGTAGGTAACGGAGCGGAGAACGGACAGAGATGCTTGCATTGTCAGGCATATAATGCGGAGTGTACGTTCCTTGAAATCACGAAGGTATGTCTATATATTTCCTCTATTCCAGATATCGGCCTCCTTTTTCTACCACTCGCGAGACGACTGACCCGTTCTCATTGTGGATAGAGACGAGGCCCACCCAAGGCGTGCGTTGTTTATCTGTTTTATTTATCTCGCCGCTCCACTGGACAGGCTTAATGAACGATGATTGATGGGTGACCCTTGGTTGCAGTTATGTCGATAGTTTGGAGAATAGGTTGAAGAAGATGGAGGATATGCTCGACAAGGTTCGTCTTCTCTCTGTCTTGGGGTCGTCTCGGATTGGTCTCGCTCGTGCCTCTCGTCCCCCCTGAGACGTTGATATACAAACACTCTCCATGCTCTTCGTACTACTATGGATTGTGGACGACTCCCGTTCACTGCGAGCTCCCTGCCTCAGGCCTCCAGGATCAAAGATCCTGTCCCATATCACAGTTCCCATCTGAGTACACCCCACTTTGCATCTTCCCTCCCTCCCTCCCTCCCTCCACTTGGTACGTTTGAACGCCCAGTCGGCCGCCGTGAACTGTGGAGCGTCTACGTATGTGTTCCATGATATGACCGGAACAGCCGTGTAAATCTTTCACGGTGCACATCTTCCATCGTCTTGCAGACGCTCGCGTAAACTGAAAGATCACAGTACCCTGGTGCTCGTCTTCGACGTTGAAGCAGACTGTCCAATTCGCGCGGTTGTGCGGGCAATGAGAAGACGCGAGGAGTGTGCTGACTGGGGCTGACTCAAGAAGCAGAGCCTGATGATCAATGTCTATAATTAGCTTATGTATATGATGGGTTTGAATCGGGGTATGTGGGGTTTTTTTTTGTGAGAGCGTATCCAGACCCCAGGCATGCTCTGCGAGCATGGTCATGGACGCGTCAGAGACAGAGGAGGATCTGAATAGACTGCGCACTGTGTGTCTTGTCACATTCTCCCCCTTTTTCCCCTCATGTCTTTGTATGAAAAGGAGCCGAAAGTTAACGGAGATATTGTTCACTGACACACGCACTTCGAACACACACAGCTATATCCCGGCGACGACTTCACGGCCGATCTCGGTCCTCCTATCGAGAAACCAGCCTACCGGTACAAAGATGACGGCGGCTCCGATCCCTCCATCTCAATTTCCCGCGCACGAGCCTCCGCCTTAGGAAACACAACCACACACGCAGCCCCCGGCCCAATCGACCACACCTCCCCCTCCTCCGTCGAAAACTTCAACATGACCACCTCCACGTCTGCCTCCCACGCGCACGCCACCACCTCCGGCACCTCTCCCGAAGCCTTCAACCCCGACAACGAAGACGACGAAGACTCGGGCGCGGCGTCGTCGGAGAACGAATACGAGCCGACGAGGTTGTTGGAGGATAAGCTGAAGGATCTGACGCTGGACCCGTTGGTGTTGAGGTATTTTGGGAAGAGCAGTCCGTTTAGGCTGTTGCAGACGGCGGCAGGCTTCGGGAGCGAGTTGTCGGGGAAGAAGGTGGACGGGAATAAGTTCTGGAGGGCGCCGAAGCCGCCGAGGTTTACGGATCCGTATAGGGTGAGTTGGTCGTATACATATATTATGAATATGTGCTGAGAGAATTGACGTGGTATGGCGAACAGTGGCAGCACGTAACGGAAGATTTTGTAGCACTGCGCTACGATTTCCCACCACCCGACCTGCTCGAAATCCTCGTAGATCTCTACTTCACGAACCTCAACGCCTTTATCCCCCTCCTACACCGCCCCACTTTCTACGCCTCCCTCAACTCGAACCTCCACAGACGGGACGAGGCCTTCGGCGGCTTAGTGTTGCTCGTGTGTGCGTGCGGAAGCAGGTTCTCGAATGATCTGAGGGTGGTGCTCGAGGGCCAGAATTCGTGGCATTCGAGTGGGTGGCAGTGGTTCAGCCAGGTTTATTTGTTTAGGAAGACGTTGTTGAGCGTGCCATGTTTGTATGATTTGCAATTGCATGCGGTTAGTTTTTTTTCCCCCTCATGTCGTCACCCCGACATGGTCTTTTTCGGAGGTGGCTGATGAACAATATTTTGACGGTGTCGTGGTATAGTTGACAGCCAATTTCCTGTACGGATGCGCACCCCCACAACCGGGCTGGATCACTGCGGGCATTGGGATCAGGCTCGCGTTGGACGTGGGCGCGCATAGGAAGAAGGCATACCATAAGAGTCCGACGATCGAAGACGAGCTGTGGAAGCGCGCGTTTTGGTACGTGTCTCTTGGCCTTCAACATTCCTCGTCAATTCTCATCGACGTGCGATGTGTGTAATACAGGGTGCTTGTTCTATTCGATAGGGGGCTCAGTACGATACTCGGTCGACCGTGCGCGATTAGCGAGGAAGAGTGCGTCGTCTCGTCTTGCATTTTTTTTTTCGCTGCAGTCAGAGCTAATCACCGAAACAATGCAGCTATGATGTCGACCTCCCGGCCGAATGCGACGACGAATACTGGACGCACCCGACCAATCCAGAGTTGGCGTTCAAACAGCCGCCGGGGAAACCGTCGACGGTGTCGTATTTTGTGGCTGTGATCAAGTTGAACTGCATACAGGTTTCGGCGTTGAGGACTGTCGTAAGTGCTTTTTTTTCTCCAGTGACTTTCAACGATTGGAGATCTGGGGCAGAGACGTCGGCCGATACTGATATACACCGTTTGGAATGATAGTACTCGCTCAACAAGTCAAAGTTCATGCTCAAGCTTGGGGCTCAATGGGAGCAGAACGTCGTCGCGGCGTTAGATTCGGAGTTGAACCAGTGGCTCGATCAACTTCCTGACCACCGTAGGTCCATCTCCCATCATCTCCCTACTGAACCGATCCTACTTGTACTCATATTCCATCCCTCCTGCCAGTTCGGTGGGATCCAACGTGCGAACATCCCCTCTGGTTCCGTCAAGCCGCAAGCATCTACGCCGCCTTCTGCTCCCTTCAAATCCTCATCCACCGCCCCTTCATCATCTCCCACAACAAACGTTCCTCATCCTCTTCCTCGTCCAATTCTTCCGGCGAACATCCCGGCCCTTCACCTCTCTCTTTCTCTAGTCTTGCCATTTGCACCAGCGCCGCCCGAAGCTGCGCGCACGTCCTTGACTTACTGAGGTCCAAATGGCCAGGGAGCATCATCCCGCACTTCCACGTCCCGGCGTTCACGAGTGCGGTGGTGTTGTTGGTCAATATCTGGGGTGTGAAGAGGAGCGGGATGACCATTGATTTTTCGAAGGAGATGGCGGACGTGCAGGCTTGTATTCGGGTGCTTGATGATTCCGAGAAGAGGTGGCAGGTCGCTGGAAGGCTGAAGTGAGCATCCTTTCTTCTTTATTCCTGCATATCGACTCTCATAATTGGCGTGCACTAGGGATATCCTGTGCGAATTGGCATCCTTAGGCGAACTTGGCCTCGACGCTATACACACACACCCGCCACCGACACAGAACAAACGCCGCCGCGACGACGCCGACGCCGACGCCGACCCTCATACTACCGCTGACTCGCCCGAACAAGCACACACTAACGCCACCGCCGCCTCCCCGCCACCCGTAAACCTAACTCATCCATATAAATCATCGTTCGCCACAGCTCACCAGCAACAGCCACTGAGACCTTCGTCGAATACGGGTACTGGCAGCAGTGGTGTGTCGAATGCTCCGAGTCCACAGTCGCCAAGAGACATTATCAGCGATGGGATCGTGGCGCAGAGGTTGCCGAGTTCGTACGAGTGGCGTGGCGGATCTGCGGATCCGATCACTCTTCAAGCGACGACAATGACACATAAGGCGGGGGATGCGAGTGGTCTTTCGACTATGGGACCTCCTCCCGAGGCAATCCTTCCCGCTTCGGGCACTATGGGCACGGCTGGACAGTCTTCGTATGAGATTCCTTCGGATCCTACCATGGCCCTGCATTCCGCCTATGCGGGGCTGGACGGCATGGCCTACGGTGTTTCTGTATCGACCCCTTCATCGACAACGACAGCGACGCAAACTGCACCACCACCACCACCACCACCACCACCACAGGAACACTCACCATGGGTCGACCCGTCGACCATGCCTCTCGACCTCCAACAGATCCACATGCAGATGCAGATGGCCCTCGCCAACTTCCAGTCCTCCTCCTCTTCCAATAGTGGCTCGACCGGTGCATCCAGTCTTCCTCCGCCGGTGTCAACTTCTTCCTCGATGAGCTCCGTTGGTTATTCGTCGTCCGTGCCTTCGAGTATGTTCGGCGTCGATGAAAAGCCTTACTTCGATGCGATTTTGCATGGTCTGAATGGGTCTCCGCCTCCACCGCCACCCCCACAACAACCACCCTCGTCTTTCACAGCTAACGTCAACGCCCCACCTTCATCATCCTCCTCAACCAAAAACGACCCGCAACACCACCCTCAACATCACCCATACGGGAACTTCGGGCTTATGGACGGTTCGGGCGCAGACAACGAATTCGCTGAGGCCTTCCAGAACGTGCCGAGTAATACGGTCTGGGACGAGTGGAACTCGTACGTTTCCGGGTTATCGGCCGAGATGCCCGGGTTGGGGATGGGAGGTGGGATGGGGATGGGGATGAATTCAAGTATGGGAATGGGCTCGAATATGGGAATGGGCGTGAATGGGGTGCATAGCGGTGGAATGGGAATGGGTGGGATGGGAATGGGTGCGACCAACACTGGGTATGGGGCAGGACACGGTGCTGCGTTTGGTGGGGCGGGTATGTCTGGTGGTGGAGGACTAGGAAGGACGAATTCGACGGGAGGTGGTGCTGGGGCTGCGATGGGAGGGATGGGGACGGCAGCGGCTATGAATCCGGACGTGTACATGGGTGGGTATATGGGTATGCAGGGACCCATGGCGGGACCTATGGCGGGAGCTGCGTTGAGTGGTGGGCTGAATGAATATTGGAGGATGGTGTCCGACGGTGGAGGCGGTCCGGGACACAGCGCTGGGGGGAGTGGGTATAATAGCGCTAGTGATGGAGGGAGTTCGAGAGCGAGGGGCGGTAAGGCGCGGGGAGGGCCCGGAGCGTAGACGTGAGCTAAAGCTTCGCGTTGTGCTCGTTGTGCCGATTGTTGTATGAAGTGCATGCACGATCTTCGAACGATGAGTTACTGATGCAGGCTCGTATGCCTTTGACTGTGTTTGTATAAGTTCTTGGTTACTTCCTCGTGCTGTGTGTATGATGGTTGTCGTTGCGTTGTTGCGTATTTAGCCTTGTGCCTGCTTATTTATTTGTCTGTCTGGATGTTTGCTTACTGCTGTTCACATTCATCTGTTGCTCCTTGTACTAAACACTCAACCTAATGGATAGTTGTCGATATGTTTCTTGACGTTAAGTGTCGAAATGCACGCACATATCCTGAGCGAGAAAAAAAATATACATGCCAGGGATGTCGCAGTGCTTCAACGGAGCATAGGATAGGGTATAATGTGGGCCTACGAAGTTCATGTGCAAACACCCACATCCAGCCAATCCTTCATATACATTGTAGAAGACCGCTCTGCAAGCTCACGAATCGAGAATGCCAGGCTGAGCATCCAAGAAACGCCTTACGAAACAGACGAAGACCGTCCGTGGATGGCTAACAAGACGACCCTTTCATCAGCCGATACTTCACGCATAGACGAGGCGAAAACAAAACATAGCATAGTCGAGGTCGTGCATGAGATGATGAGTGCGTGCGGTAGAAGGGGATCATACACTTTTGCAACGGAGCAACAGAAACAAAGTAGGACAGCCACCAAAGGGATAGGTTCGATGAAATCATATAATCATAGTGCGCCCCCCGAACTCTAGCCTCGTCACTCAAATCACCCCACACGCTATACCCGACCCGTACCCGATGCCCCGTTCCGAAAAAGTGGTGGAAGGAAAGACAACGTCGAGAGTGTGAGACGTTTACTCCCTGGGAGCACCACGGCCGACACCAGCGAACTGAGGCCTGTACTCCCCGGGTGCACCCTCCTTCTTTCCACCATCGTCGCGACGACGGTAGTCGTCACGGTCGCCACGGGGTGCGCGGTAGGCACCGTCACCTCCACCAGGGCGGACCTGGGCGGGACGAGCACGAACGGGCTTGCGGTGTGTTTCGGGGACGACTTCCGCAGGGAGGTGCAGCCTGCATAGGCGTTTAAACACAACGCACGATGGAATCGAAACGAATATGAGGAAGATATCCGAGTGATAGCATGAACAGAGCAGAGACGCACCATTCACGGAGGTACTCAACGCCCTCGGGGGTAAGGACGTAGTAGTACCACTGCCAAGAGAACTGAGTCTTGACGTAGCCCTTGGAGGTCAGGGATTGGAGAGCCTTGATGACCTCAAGGTTCGGGACGTCGAGTTCCTCGTGCTTAGGTGCGTTAAAGTCCTTTTTGGCGACCATCACGCCCTCTGTCGAATGAAAAGGATGAGAAGGCACAGAGAGAGACAGATACAACATAAGTTGTCGGAACTGTATCCCAGAATATCGAACAGGACGCACCCTTGAAGAGGTTCTCGTAGATGACGCGCCTGTTCTGCTTCGAAATGATCATGGTGGGCGAGGGAAGAGTTTGAGGTCGGTAGCTGTATCCCGCACGGTTCAAGTCAATATATCCTCGCTTTCAGATTGAAGTTGAAAGCAAACACACTGCAACTGTAAAAGTCACACTAAATCCCGGTTCTGTTATGAGCAGCAAGATAAGCCAGCTGGTCAGCGACTCTATCAACAATAGCCCAAGGGTTCTGTCCCGCCGTCATCCAGTCTTCGACCAACGAATCCATCCCATTCCGCCTGTCCCATCCATCCTTCTTCTTCCTTCTCTACCCAGAACATCCCTCCAAGATATGATGAATTGTACTCACGGCGTTTTGGGTGGCTTGAGGCGGCGGGGCGAAGAAGACGAGCTCGTCGTTGACGTTGGCGAAGACAGAATTATCCAGTCGATTCCGGATTCGGAAGGCGTTGTGGCGCCGACGCGAGCGTGGCGAGAGTACCACCACGTGGCTACTTACCGTGTGAAAGCTGACCCGAGACGTCGTCCTGACCGTCAGACCCTTTTGCTCTGCGATCGCTCTCTCTCTTTCTCACAAAGCCTCGCTTAGACCGTCATGTTGTTACCTCGCTGAAACATTTTCGAGCAGGAGACCTCAAGACCCGAATGTCGAACCACAACACGATGTATCGCGATCGTCCACCCTTCTGAACCGCACACGGCGGCGATTCGGCGCCATGAACAAATGTTCTTGATCAATCATTGACAACGTACTCACCGTTGTGCCTCGCGACGTCAAACGATAGATATCCGAGCGTCAGTTCTGGGTTGGTGGAAAAACACACGAGAGGTCTCGATGCTGCTGCGTCACGGTGCTGCTGCGTGTTGTTGTCCTCGCTTCCACAACATCACACTCAGCTTTCCCGAGGAAACATACAGGGTCTTGGCATTCGATGTTGTCTTGGCACCGTTGTTACCCATTCGAGGCTTTCCGACGCTTTCAAGTTCGCGGACGCGAAAGTGCCTCGCCCAAGCCTCGCTGTGGCGCTCGGCAATCTTTATTCTTCGGACTTTCGTGGCTCAGCGCTCAGTCCAGATATTCTTGAACACCACTGAATATCTGTCGCTCTACATGTAAGAACCAGGACCGTGCTCTCAAGGAAAAATATTGGTGGTCTCTGGCGATTTTACTGTTGTTTCTCCGGGTCTCGTCCGTGTGCACTTCATCCTCGGAACTCGCTGTCCTCTCCGATAACTTGACAACGGAGAAAGAGATCTAGGCGCGTATCCTTTGTCTATCATATTGCAAAATTTATTCTGCCAGGTTCGGACTCGGTCCATGGCCGTTCGCGACCTCCAACAGTGAATGTGCCTCATACTCTTCTTGGCAAGCGAGCTGGTATATAACCCACTCCTCTCGAAACATGGCCATTTCCTCATTCTGTCAGACTTTTTCTTCGGTTCTCTCCATTTCTTCTCCTTGCGTTTGGTCCTCGTGCCAGACCCCCCCACGCAGACTTGCCAGACGAGTCTTTACCTTCCTTTTGGTTTCATACATTCTTTCGATCCTCCCCTCGCACTTGCCTCCGTTAATTCGCCACATATCTGATTTTCTGCAACTATGGTTGGCTTCAAATCCCTTTCTCAGGCCGCCGCCGTCATTACCTTCGCTAAGCTCGCTCGTGCTCATGGGGCTGTTTCGTGCGTGCTATTTGATATATTTTGAGTCGGGGTATAGCATGCTAACGTGGACAAACAGGCTCTTGAACATCGGTGGCACCGATTATTCTGGATACCTTCCCTACAACGACCCTTACGCCAACCCGTACGCTCGTCTACTCCTACACATCGTTCATTATGCTGAATTTCATGCCTTTCCTTCGTTCTCATTTTCAGGGCCGTCGAAAGGATCGTGAGGCCATATTACTCCAACGGACCAGTGGCCGACTTCACCACCAGCAACATCACCTGCAATGGTGACGACAGTGCTGCTGCGCTTACCGCCACCGCCAACGCTGGTGACCCGGTTACATTTTACTGGGATACTTGGCCGGACTCCCATAAGGGCCCTACCATGACCTATATGGCCAAGTGCGACACCGATGATTGTTCGACCTTCACCGGTCTCGATGTACGTTGCACCTACTAGTTTGAGTTCTCAGGGGCTAACGACTTCGTTCACTTCTCCAGGGCAATGTCTGGTTCAAGATTGACGAGGCCGGTCTCAACTCGGATGGTACTTGGGCCTCCGACGATCTTATCGCTAACAACGTACGTCTGTCAACCCTCCCCTTTCCACTCCCAACTCATTAATAGTTGCCCTTCGTCCCATAGAACTCCTGGACAGTAACTATTCCCTCAGACATTGCGTCCGGTGGTTATCTCCTCCGCCACGAGCTCCTCGCTCTGCACTCTGCCAGCTCCGCTCTCGGTGCCCAATTCTACCCCTCCTGCGCGCAACTCACCGTCTCTGGGTCTGGATCGGCTACACCCTCGGGCGTGGCACTTCCTGGCGCGTATGCGACCGACGACCCCGGTAAGCTGTCTAATGACCAACGTCTATAATGCAGTCCATCGTCTCATACGCTCGTTCAGGTATCTTGATCAACATCTACTACCCTACCCCCACCACGTACGCCATTCCTGGTACGTGTTGAACGCTCTCGCTTTCTTCTACACGAGTCATTACTCATTGTTGTTCGTTGATTGCATGGTGCAGGTCCTACGGTGTACTCCGCTGGGGGTTCAACTGGTAGCGCTACCTCTGCCGCCGCGAGCTCCATCACTTCCTCCGCCGCCAGCACTTCTGCCGCAGCAGCCTCCTCCTCCGCTGCCGCCGTAACGTCTTCCTCCTCGTCTTCTTCTGCTGCCGCCGTCTCCACATCCGCGGCTGCAGCTGCTTCGTCCAGTGTCGCCACTAGCGCCAGTGCATGTCCTGCCACGTCTACTGCTACTGCTGCCACCAGCTCGGCGGCCGCTGTGACGAGCTCGAGCGCTGCTGCGGCTGCTACTTCGAGTGCGGTGATGTCTGCGACGAGCAGTGCCGCGGGTTCGACGGTCACTGCTATTACTGACGCGAACGTTTGCATGAATAGTACGTATATCCCCCCTTCTGTCCTCTTTTTTTCCGTCTCTACATCGGTATGTGGTACCAGGCACTGACGAAGTGGTCTCCTGACAGACTATAATTCCTGTATCGCCGCCTCTCAGCCTGATCCCGACTGGACCGGCTGCTCTGCGACGAAAGACACATGTCTCGAGGGAGCGACTTATAACCGCCTCAAGAGGAGCATGAAGTTCAAGCGGGAGCATGCGAACACGAAGAGGAATTGGAGCTCAAGGGCTTGGATGTGATGGATACGCTCCAGGACTTGTTATACCATATGGGGTTGCCGAAGGGGAGCGGATGGAACATAGGAGTCTACATGATAAGAACGTAATATATTGCCATTTCACTTTAACATGCTCGGGACTCTACTACTATTTTGGCATTTTCCTCGACCATATGTTTAAATAGGGATTACAAACTCTCACTGGTTCTTCAGTGGATATAAGGCGGGCCGGTCCCTACTCTTCCCTCCCTGTGCAACATGCATTAAGATAGCAGTCTGGAAGTGGTGAAACAGCAACCTAGAGTCCACGTCTCCATAAGTCTCCCGGCGCTTCTTCTGGTCATCCGTCAGGTCGCTCCAGTTCTCTCTCATACGCTCAGACCGTTCGCTATTATCGTTGATATTCTTTGAATGGATCCAAACATCCTTGAGTTTGGTGCCAATGAGTTCCGAGGGTAAAGTGGGAGCACCGCTCTTCTCGAAGCGTATGAACTTTTTCTCAAGCTATGACGGTATCAAGGCATTAATAGTGAACAGCATTGCGAAGAGGAGCACTCACGTTGAAACTCCACTCATATTTATCGAATTGTCTGTGTATGTTGCATTCCATCATCATGGCATTCTCTGGTCTTTCGAGTCCAATCTCATCGATTGCCCATCTCGCTAGATCCTTATCCTTTAATCTTAACCAATATCTTTCCCACTTTTCATGATGCACAGAGATTTATTTGCAAGCGTGTGTTAGTAACTGTCAAAGTATAATCATTACAGTAGCGTACCTGTATCTGAGCCCACACGGGAAATATGTGCACGACCTCCTTGCCACAAGTGTTGCCACCGCGATCACGCTTCGGTATAACTGAGAGTGTGACACGGCACCCAAGATCGCGCTCTTTAATTTTAGCAACCAGAGCTACTGATCTTACTATCTATGTATGCGGTTACGGAGCTCAGTGTTGTCGCACGAAAATAGACACAATGACTTCCTACCTTGGGATTCGAAACCTTCTCTGGGGTTGCCAGCAGAAGAGCTTTAGCTAGTGTGGTATCACCCTCGGCCTCTACATCTGTGTTGCGAACCCATATCGGTGTCGCGTATACTACTCGTGTCATGGAGACGGACAACGCCTCCTTTGTCGCTAGAATTTATCAACTGCTGAGTATGATTCGATTACTAAAAGAGTATTATGGATTAGCAGTTTACCTTCGTCCCATTCGCAGAGAAAGTAATGTCCAGGTTCTAGAATTGTATCACTGGGATGAACGACACTCGCCGTCAGGGATTCCCTATCAGGAATTCCTTCCTTCCTGGGATCTTCACCTTGCGAAACACGGTATTGCCCTGATATAATGGTGAGTTATGAAACCAAAATAGCGGATAAAATGATTTGACGGACAAGGGTTGTTCACGTTATAAAAGTTGTGCTCATTCAATATCTTCATGATAATATAGAAATCATTGATCGTGAGAGTCCCAAAGGTATAACACCCTATACGGCACATGTTACATTAACGTTGAAGCTCCCCTAGGCGGGGAAGTAGTAACTCACCCGCGAAAAGGTTAAGGAAGAGCTTGGGAGCTTTACTCCTACCCTTTCCACGCCCAGCCTGTGCCTCCGAGAACCAAACGTGGACGTCTCGCTGGTCTTCATTGAGATATGTACCGGGGTTATGCGCTCCCAATTCGAACTTGACATCCATGACGACAAGCAAAACAAATGGTAGATATGGAATGGTTGACCTTTGGCGGTGGATACTGGGAGTTTGAAGATGCCAAAACACGTCTCCCTACACACATATTTATATATCTTCAGGTGCTCGATGCACCACTGTTGTGACTAGAGACTGTTGGCAAAAACAGCTGTCATTCGAAATTGATGAGCGCGATGATGCGAGATACTGTTAGACAACAGAAACGTTTCAGAAGAGTTGTATGAAAAAAGTCATTGAACCAAAAAGCAAAACAACGAGATGTATATCCCTTATAGTTTTAGCAATATATCCTATGTGAAGGTGGTGCCCTATACTATAGAGAGCAGCGATGTGTCTTCTAGAATCTAGTATGCCTTCTTCGAAGTCTCTGTACTGGCCGAAGAAGTTAGTCAATAATCATGGAAAAAAATCTCAGATAATCCTTCCAAATCGATCACTGTTTCAGAGTTTGAACGACTACTCAGAGACCTAAGCATAAGTGATGCATCAACTTCTAATTGTGTGGACGTTAATTGTAGAAAGTGTGTTTCGTATGCAAGTAGTTTAACGCTTAACGCCCGTGCTCATGACAATAAGAGAGTAGAATGATGAAACTTCTGATAGAAATCAAACACTTAAACGCGGTCTTAGCAGAAGCGAACAATAAGTACATAGACATGACAAATCGGTCTGAGCTCTCCCTGGATGGCCCTTCAAACACTGTGCGACAATAGACCGTATCTGCGAGTGAATTTTTTACCTCGCTAAGGGCCAACGAGACGCGACGATTGGCCCGATCACCGTTTTAAAGTCGTTTTAAACGGTTGCAGATACGGTCTAATATAACAGGATATTTGTTCGCCAACCGAACACCTACACTTATCAACCACAACAGAGTGAATCTCTAACGGTGTGCATGATGGCCCACAATAATGAAATCAGTCATATAGCATGCCTTTATGGTGTGGCGATTGGTCGTATTGATGACTGGAATTTGACCTCATTGAAGTCCACCGGTATTTCCGAAACAGCACAGAGACGCACTGAACGCTCCGATCTCCATTTGACAGTAGCTTTACGCGGCTACAGAGACAGTGTAACATCAAACAGAGCCTATTCAAGATCGCCTTATTGTATTCTTCAAACAAACTTTATGAGTTGCCCTAAGCGGTTGATTGGACCGATAGCCTGTACGTCAATCAAGCTAAAATCAGTCACGTGCCTTCAGTACCAACATAAAACCTGGAGATGTTCATGATCCCCGATTATCAGTTCTTCCCAAACCGCCATGCCTTTCGCCAACACGACCCACCTGCTTTCCTCCAAGTCGCGTTCAGAGGGTCGGGATACCTTTATCTTCCGGGTTGGTTCTCCAGGCCTCATCCTCCTTGCAGGCGAGTAATCCACTTTACGGCCGAGCATCGTCGATTATAACATTCTCATGATATTAACTAGGCTACAACCATTCCGTCCTTCCACTTACTGGCATGCATGTTTACCGGTGGTTGCATGAAATTCACAAGCCGTATTTCGAGGATTACGTACTAAACGCGATCAAGATCAAGAATTCCGATGTACTACAATACGATATAGAAGAGAAGGGTCCTGAGATACTTTCGAACTCTGCTGAAATTCTTCAGCCGGGAGATTACTGTTGGACACCCCAAGGTAGGTTTATGATATTATCCACCTTCTATTACCACTTGTACCGCCAGTTTCATTGATCAATTTCACTTAGACCCTGCAATTGAACTCAGCGCTTTGCCGGATATAACTCCGTGTGGCTTGAAGGACTGGGTGACGGCCACGACGGCCTTGTTGGACAACGATGTCAAACGTGGGATGTATGACCCCGAACGTCTCTTATCTTCTGTGCGTTATCAAGATATCAGAGCTCCACCACACGTTCTAACATATCCTCTTCTGTGACTATTCCGTAGCTCGAAATACCATCTGAGATCCACAATGATGTCGTGAAACGGGATACAGGCTGCTTCTTCACACGCAAATTATCCGGTGACAAGGATTTCATTACTTCTTGGATATTCCCTCCAGTGTCTGGGTTTAAGGTACTTGTGTTAATGATGTGGGGAACTCACGATGCTCACTGTGGCACTTGACAGACATGCGTTGGCGTTGTGTATAAGGACTGGGACCCTGCGCCGTTCATGACAGCCAACAATTCCATCCGTATGTGCTCGGACCTGCACGAACCATTCGAAGAGAACGCCTTTGGTGTAGACATCGATGTGAGTAAAGTCACTCACATCTGCGGATGAAGATGACCGAGATGCTACCTACAGGATAACTGCCGCATCATCGTCTTTGATCCAGCGAAAATCAAGGGAATCACTCTTCCGTCGCATCTCCCAGCAGAATCCCTGGCATATGTCCAGGATGAACTCGTTGCTGACGATAGTGCTGCCTCACCCATACGGCTCCGGGATTTTCTTCGCCACCATTTCGTGTGGTGTTTGAGACTGCACTTTTTAGGAGGTGACATCTCTGAGGACTATGATAGGCAGAAGGTACAAGGAATGATCAATAAGGTTTTGAAATTTGATCAAGCGGGAAAGAGTCTGGACGATCTGAAGAGCCTTAAGGCCTGGCAGTCGGGCTTGGGAGCGGAGGTGCTAAAACATCACATAGCTTGGAGAACGTCAATTGCAGTCAAAAATTCAGAGGAGATATATATCGATATGGAGGACTCAGAGGAGGAAGAGGAGGACGAAGAGAATAGTGAATAGTTGGAGGGATTAGGTGTTCACATTTGAAAGTAGCTCGACGTAATTATGTCCAGTAGCCGAACAAGCAGTGCGATTTTTTGGGCCCCTTCCATTGGCAATAACGTCTTGTGCTCCTTTTCCAGCCACAGCATCGGCCGTATCGCCAATATATTGCTAATATTATAGTACTCCGCCACCATGTTGGGGTGAATCCGAAGGGTGGATGGACTTCGCTGTCATATCACAGTTTATGAAGCACGAATTTTGAACTCCGCTCTCACGGTCAGAAGACGAAGGGAGACAAATCTTCGAGTCACGAACAACACGATCCGAAACGCAATGCGAACAGCTGTTTCCGATTCGAGCCACAGAGTCGTCACATCGATTGGCACATCCCTCTGCTCACTGCCATCGACGTTCATCGCCCATTAGTTTGCCTCAATCTGAATACCTTTCCCATAATCCAATGCCCAAAACTGTTTCAGGATCAGTTACTTTGGAGGTGGTTGACCCGGCAAACGAACTCGCATGTGGTGAAAGTGGTAGGTATATATTATTTCTGGACCACGAACTTTACTGATTTACACTCGCAAATCAGCGATGGTATGGAAAGCCGATATGAAAGACCGTAAAGGAGAATCTACCGAGGTTGCTCTGAAAATTACACGCTCTTCGAAGTATATAGCCAATCCACCGCTTCGCCACGAAGCTTGTGTGCTCCTCAGGCTAGATGGTGACTAGTTGGCAACCTTGATCATTTCAGAGAATGGCGGCTCAACGTGGTCCTGTTAGGTCATCCTGGGATTCCAAAGGTCTATGCCTTAGGTCGATCGAAGTTCCACGAATACATTGCCATACAGTTGCTAGGAAAGACTCTCGAGACGTTTGGGTCGGTCACCGTAGTGAGAGATTTGGCGGCCCTTACCTGTCAGATGGTGAGCCCCGCTTGACCATTTGTGTACACAGCACGTTTGGATCTTCTGACCATTTCTCCGCTGTAGTTGAAAATAGCGAAACACGTCCACTCCTGCAACCTTATCCACGGCGACATCAAACCACAGAATTTCGTTTTCGGGCGCGAAGAAGTCGACCAGCTCTACTTGATTGACTATGGGCTAGCAACATGGCATACCTCTCCGAGGACGAATGACCATGTTGAATCGCGCAATTTGAGGAGGCTACAGGGCACTCCGGAGTACTGCAGCATCAGAATGCATCTTCACAAATGTAAGCGACGAGTACCATCCGTTCTGTGGCACGTTACACATACACATACTCACATAACTCACCAACCTATGAAAAGCTCCATCACGGGCAGACGACATGGAATCACTGGCGTACACCATCATTCACATCCTACTCGGCACCCTTCCGTGGGACAGTTTAGAGATCGACCGCGACATCTGCGTTTTGAAACAGCTTTGGTCCGGACCCGACCTCTGCGGTAGTTATCCCGCTCTATTCGGCGAATTCCTCGACGATGCTCGAAACCTGCAGTTTCAGGAACAGCCGAATTACGACTTATGGATAGAACGTTTCGGACACTTATCACAATCCGAATCCGAGGACGCGACGGAGACCATCGGACCTGGGTCCACCGTGACAACTACTCCCAAGCCTCATCAACCATCGATCACTGTAAAGTTACCCCCCGCTTCCGAGCAAGCAGAACAACTTGAAATACCCAGGGAGCAAGGCTATCTCCCCCGTGTGGGCCTAGACATGTCGTATCCCAGAATACCCACAACGTGGGATCAGATTGAGAATGAGAAGGAGATGGTTCGTCAACATTTGGCTTGGATCGAGAAGATACCTGGGGGCATGGAACCACTCTGCGATGGGGAGGAGAAGATGGTGACGCGGGAAGAAGAGGACTCCGACGAGGAAAATTATGGGAAGGCATACTTGGAGAAGATAGACGAGGAGAGTTACGTGAAGGAATACGAGCAGAAGGTAGACGAGGAAAATCACGGAGAGGAAAATTGGAGAAGATAGGCGAGGAGAATTCTGGGGAGGAAAACTCGAGAAGGTAGAAGAGGAGAATTCTGGGAGCCAAACTCGTAGAAGCCAGAGTACAGAAACGACATGTGAGTACGGTTACATGATGTGTTTGTAACATGTCATATTATGGGGGTTGCATGAACACCCGGAGGAAATAAACAAAGAACGACGGTTGAATATAAATTTAAACACGCTAGTGGTTGAAGAGAAGAATTATTCAAGATTCGAAATTCAGCACAAACAGCCGGTTACAATTCGAACCATAGAGTCGTTACATCAAGTGCAGTGTTAAGAAGCTACAAATCTATATTTTCTCTCATCGCCGGGTGAACTCCGCCTAAGGATGGATGAACAGGGATGAACTTTGCTGCGACTGACTTGGGCCACAGTAGTGCCACCTGCAGCCACTACGAATGTTCGGCCTTCGCCGAGGATTGGCTGAATCCGTTCATTTTCTGCGATCGGCTTTTTCTTTGACAGCACGATATCGCGTCCACGTCTCCTCAACCCTCCTGCATTCACGTTCTTATGGAATCAGCTCAGCATCTTTGATCTCGCGTCTGATTGCTCCTTCTCCGGACACACTCTCCCGACAAACACACCGTTTTCTCCGGCCGCGAACGCGCACCCACTCCGCCTGCTGGGCAGCCTCGTCTACGAACAACTTCGTGTATCAGATCAACTTTACCGCGTGCAGGGCCCTCCAACGCTTGTTCTGTCTTAATACTCGTCTGTCCCATACCGCAACCCATCCACCGCCTCGCCTCGCCTGCGCACAGAGCCAACCTCGAACAAACCCGGGCTCTCAACGGCTTCGATCCAGAGGGCCCCAGCTCCCTCGTCCCAAATCAAGGATGAAACAGCGAATACCTCATCTGGAGTGTCCACACTGACCATCAAAGAGATTTCTGCGCTGAGATGGGCTCGGGCGAAGAAGGCGCAGGAAAAGGCTTATGCATTCGAGCCGTCTGGTACGTCCTACTGTGGCTCCTATGTCGTCCATAGTGCCATCGCTGACTACTTTGACTCAAATGGTCTAGTCTGCCCTCATGGTACGCTTCTATTACCTCCATCCTTTTGAAGTTCTATTCTGCTTTTGCTTTATACTGTTTCCCAATGCCAAGCTGTCGCCGTAAACACCGCGGGTCCTTGTGTCGTTAGTCCTCGGTAATCTTCTCATGGTCTAAGGTTCTAACTGACGACCATCATCGCGCTGGTGAACAGTTTCGCGTACATCAATCAGGTATGTAGCTGTTGTTACTCCGGGCGCATTTGGATCGGGTGCTTCTGGATCAACATCATTTCCTATATCTGTCAGTATGCCGTTCTGCAGCGACGCATCGATGTAGTTCCTGACGCCGGGCATGCCTCTTACGAGAAACAGCCCGCGGTAGTGGCGATCGTTTGAGGCGAGATTGAATCATTCGAGACGAAGGAGAAATCCGTGATCATGAAGCGCGTTGTCGCCGTCGTATTCCAGCCTCCACCGCAGTGATTATCGGGACTATATCTGTGGTGTCCGTTTGCAGTTTCGTTTGTGCATCTGTAGTAGAAGAACAATATTGCATTTTCTCAATCCGGGAGTTGTGTTGCTGGCCTCACCAACTGTGCCTCCCGAAACAGTAGTTGCTATCAAATAAGGTTCTTGTCTATGTCCTATCCCTTCTGCTAGCTCGCCCTGCATCGTGCTTGGTGTTGATCAAGCATGGACATCCGTATGCTTCACCGTTCGACTCCAAAAACGCCGCGATGAAGCTAGGTTTATTTTGCTTTTCGTGGGATCAGCTCAAGGGCTGGACTGCGGGTCAGAGCTTTTGTCCAAACATATACCTTTTGTTCAATGCTGCATCAAGCGGCGTTGTTGCCGACAGCATCAAATGGAGCGTTTCGATCGATCCCAACATCTGCTTCGCCGCAGGAGTTGTTACGGTCCAGAATCCAGGGTTTTCGATCGCATTATCGATGTGCTTTTCAAACAGATCCAAGCCACCTCGAGTTATCGGCGTTTGCACACGTCTTCTCGTCGGTGTCATCATCTCCCCTTTTCGTTCCCTCGGGGAAAGGTGTTGTTAGCTGCGGGCATTGATCGGGATATCGCCTTACTACCCCTCGTCAAGCTGATCACAGTGCGTACAGAGATCTGCGATGGAATAACACAATTACAAGGCTGCACGCTTCTGTATTTTCCCGCAAGTTTCCTCCCTACATGCAGCCAATATCTGAGCTCACGCGTCCAATTAAGTATGCCACTAAACCTCCTAGCTGTGCTTACAGCATTCCTATTACCCATTACACCGACTTCACTCTCCACATCACTGTCATGCCCGCACCTGGACGCATTCATCCTCGCTACTCATATCAGAAACGCTACGTAACGGACCGAGATACTGGTCTTCGATTTCATCAATCTCATCGACTGTTTCGCGAGGCCAAACGGTCTTCTACCATGCGTTCGCCATGATGAGAGCGTGACGTTTCAGCACTAATAAACACATCGCTGCTCTGAAGTTAGTGAGGTAGGGAGACTCCGCATTGCCCGAGATGGGGAAGCCCATAATGCCAGGTAGGACCATACGATCGACGACGCATGAGATGTAATGAGTGGTCTCGTCGTCCAGATCAATGAGACGTCACCCAGCCCGTGAATATTGAATATGAGCCACGATGGCGAGGCGACCTTCTCGACCGCCATCATACAGGATTCCGAATAACACCATCCGTGGAGGGTGAGTGGAGTCATCTTGTGTCGGTGGTGATGACGGAGCTGAGAACGAGGACGGCCTACCCTCCCCGGCCTGAGTCAAAAGGCTGCATTGGAAGGTACCAAAGTCAGATAACTTGTCGACTTTCTCTGTAGCCCATGGTCGACGCCAGGTCTTTAGATGTGCGTCTAGGTGGGGCTGATCAATCCCGGCGAGATCGTGCGCACGTCGCGAGCTGCGAAGCCGCGATTTCTCCGACCGATAAGAAGGGCTGGGTGCATAATATCTGCTTGAAACCAAGAGGGCGTCGTTGGAGACCGTGCGATACGATTCAATAGAAGAGCGAAGCCAAGAGACTCGCGAGAGAAGCGTGGATCGACTGAGGGTTGTCTGCTGTTATGCTCAGTTCACGAGGCAACTAGATCGATGACAGGATGCGTACCAATGAGGACCATCCCCGGCGAGGCAGACAGCATGCCCGTGATGGCTGGTTCTATATCCGTACAGTTTCCTTTGTACGTGGTCATGCGGAGAACAAATGGAATGGAGAGAAGAGGATCGGCAGCGAGAGCATCTTCTAATTTGCCATCGTAACACTCTGGAGGTTGCGTTCGGGGGACATGCAAAGGAAAGTCTGGCCGGAGAGAAGCCGGGTCTTGGTGCTGGGCCAGCATGTCCCGCGAAGAGCTCAACACGTCCTCTTTTTCGGAATGGTGAAAGACGCTGGGAAATGCTGATCGTCGCATGAGGTTGTAGCGATACACACGCTGACGTTTTTTTTTCTGGATCTTCCACGGGTTGCTACTCCATGTGTGATGGGTTGGGTCAATGAGGCAAGTAATAAATCGGAAGCAGACGGCTTACCGGTAGACATCTTGCGACCTCGAAACGCAAGTGTCCCATTGACTCTAATCATTTTTATCGTCGTCTGCTGAAGAAAGTACATCTGATTTTAGTATTAGAGGAATACGATGGTGTATGTCTCCCGATGCAATGCCGGGCAGATTTCATTTTTCGACCAGGGCGCCATGCGGTAGAAGAATCATTCATTCCAACAACAGGCCCGATGCCCATTCTTTTCGCGGCGACTCGAGTTAATCAATTGACAGCATTGACCAGCAATAAATCATCCTGTGCTGAGCCGATAGACCCGCACACGATATCTCCGGACCACCAGCCACTTCTGCATCTCGCGGTCTTTTTTGAAAAGCTCATCGGGGCGATGAACAGCACTCATGAGGTGGGTCCCACAGTCCGTCATCAATACAGTTCATATATGTACTCTATTCTGACTTCCGTCACATTTCATAGAACTCAAAGCTCTCGGAGATCCCCCCATGTTCTTCGTTTACGGTTTATTATATGACAAATATGGATGTGCGTGCTATGCCTTCCTCCCGGGGCATTACATGACTTCGTCGGAACCCTTACGAATCGAAGTTGTGCTGCTGGGAGGTCTGCCGACAGCATGACGTTTTCGAATTGTGGGAGGAGTCTACACGTGTAGAGTTAGTCAATCTTCTGCTCACTATACAGCGACATATGGTGGAGCTTCCTCGGATTGCTGGACTGTCGTTGATTCAGTGACGATTTAACACTACTATCCTTACGTTACGTTGAAGTGCGAATTTGCTGTGAAGTCTGGAGGTGCTGAACTATAATGCCATGCCTGCCACGTGAGAGCCCTGCTTGTTCATCTATTTCTCTCCAACAGTTGAGCTGTTTGTGGATAAGAGTGCGGGAGTTGATGAAGGAGCCGTAATAAGAGAGCCCTTCTCCAATACGAGCTCGTGGGGTTACATTCGTCTTCGATACGGCGCTTCGACAGTAAGCGAGCGTGCCTGAGTCGTGTACTTGTTTGTAGTATAAAAGCAGCACAACCTCTGTATTAGCAGCAGCAGCTCTCGGCCCCACCTCGGATTATCCGAAACCTCCATACTTACTATACTTCTCCCAAAGGTGTGTTTCAGATTGAACAGAGATGCAAATTCATATCTAGGAACAATGATTTATTGATTGTCAGTTCTGAAGATGCAGATACTTGGGGGATACTTATTCTCGCTCGATGCTATCGCATCATGGGCCAGAACTCAGGGTATCCCACTGCCCACGGGTGACGGTTACCTTTCCAAAGCTAGCTACAGCGATGTTATCAGCGAGTGGATCGTCAAGAAGAACAAAGAAATCCCTGTGATTTCCACGGTCTATCCCCGACTCAGATACCAAACGACCGAGGAAGCAGATGCCAATTTCCGAGTTTTCTTCGTGATCATGGCTCAAGATCAGCCTCGTGCCACGCGACGTAGATACAATGTTATCAAATTCGACGATACGCATCAGGGTATCCAAAAGAACGTGGAATGGCTGCAGAGTGTAGGTTTGCCCTTGAAGACGACGACGGTGGGAGAGGCGAATAAGTGGGCTGAAGAAGGTGCTTGGTACTCAGTACCTAACAATGACCTATTGCGTTTCCCGACGGAGCGGACGGGACCTCAAACACAGCAGAAGTTAGATTTGTGGGATGCTTTCACTGGCATTGACGTGAAGAAAGATTAAGCACAGAGGTACGCCACCTATTTACTCAGATGATGATTTCCTAGCTTATAAAGTAACGAAGTCAGGTTTTGCAGAGGTCAAATTACGCATCCAATATATTAAATGGTGCTTTCCGGGATGTGAACCAGATAGCCCGTCAGTCACATAAGAGATCCAGACCGAGTTGAGTAGCAAGGTCAGACTAGAGGTTGCGATGTAGGCACAGAGAATACAAGTGACAGTTGAAAAACACTGACTGATGGGGGGAGAGGGTAGCGTAGAACCACCGAGTGACGAGAGCAGACTGAAGTGTCTAGCGAAGTTTAGCGTGCGTGAAGGACTGCACGTCGTCGGTATCTGACGGGCCGCCGAGCACACAATTTGACGAATGAGTCATATTCGAGATTGCTGTTGCGGAGAGAGTTAAGAATCGATGCTAATGACACAGGTATTGACTAGACATATGGTTCGAAATGGTCCAGAGAAGGGAGGAGAGGAGAAACATTGTTGGTACCGGGTGCATCTTCAGACCTCGAGAACGCAGATATCAAGGTATTCAACATACGCAGAGACAGCAACGAGTAGAGTCAAACCATGTTGCTCGTAGAGTATTCGTGATGAGCACGAGAAGTTCAGAAGGGAATTCTTAGAAGTACGCATTCAATCGCGACGGAAGACGGCGAGTATAAGGTGACCTCTCAATGGGTCAAACGCGGAGTGCTGAGCGTCGTGTGGGAGCAGAGACTTGCGTGAGTATAGGTGAAATGCTGAATATGAAGAGAGAGGACGTACGTGAACGATTGATCCATAGTCCAATTGATCCTGCAGACCACGGGGCCATCCCGATACCACCCAGCGTGGTATATCACCTTTTACTAAATTACAGTATATATGCCTCGTTATGTCAGGCAAGGGTGGTATAGGAGAGGAAGGAAAGAGCGATTCGGAGGAGTAAGAGGGCAATGCTCGTGGTATCGGATGAGATCATCGAGGCGTTGAATTAGCCTCGTAACATGAGTGGCGTCATATTTCTCCTCCCTTCATGCTGTCGGTTGAGGACATATAAGAGTTTACACAGTTATAGAGGTGCTCGTCATCCGAGAGGTGACAAATTTACTGGGAAGATCGGGAGTGGGCGCAGGTTTCTGTGGTGCAAGATGGCGGCTTCCGGACCTAACAAGAGCAAACGAATATATATGCGCCACCATGTCCTTCTTCGTTAGAGCAGCGTCATGCGGAGAGAAGTCGGTGGAAACATAGGAGAAATGAGGGAGAGCATTTCAGAGAGGGAGCTATCACTGCATCTTTGAGCGTAGCGAATAAAGTTGTCATATTTAGAAAGGGGTGTTTAAGGAGCATGATTGGAAGTGAGGGAGAGAGCCGGAGGAGACTGACTTCTAGCGAGTGGATTCATGTCCATGTGTGTTGTACTTTCAATGTTATTGTAATGCCGAATATCATGAGACTGCCAATAATTGTCTCCGACTTTACTTTGGATAAGGGGTGTAGACAAGAGGGTGAAAATGCCAACTACTAGAGACATCCCGTGGATAGTACTTAGTACGACTCGAGCAAGCGGAAAGCTGCGTACTCGAACGGGGAAGCCAAGTCACTTCTTATCAGGAGTACACGTAAGCAGACAGAGTTTATCTTCCTGAGGACTATTAGCAGTGGGTTCTCGCATAAGGCGACTAGCTGCAGTATAGCAAAGGAAAGCCAGCAGTTGAGGATGAAAACGAGCGATCGAAGGAAAAGAACGAAAAAGTGCGAGACGCGGAGCGGAGTGCCAATCTGATCTAATCTAATCAGCCCGGAATGTCTCGCGCTCCGTTGCCCTCGTGGCCTTCCTTCCGGGTTCCACTCTCCTGTCATCCACCTCCGACATCCGCTGCGAACCGCAACATGATGTTTGTTAGTCTGTGTCGCACCTCTGCCTGAAGCTAAAGATATTCTTCCTCTTATTCTACTCTCGTCGGTGAATCAGACGAGGGCTTGCTACGGCACTGGATTCATCGTGAACCAAGATTGCATGCTCGGATTCAAGATCCAGTGACTGATGATAGAAAGCGGTGGCCCGGATGAATAGTACGTTGGGCAATATTTCCCATGGTTTCAACCTCGCTGAACGGAAAAAACGTATCGAAGGCATGAACGCCTCCAGCTGACCATCACTGAGGTCTCGAGACCTTGTGCCTTACGTCAGACGACCTTTTTCGGCGGTCCGACGACGTGCATGAACGCCATGAAGCCATCCCCAGGTTGCAATTCAAAACGAGCACTCTTTTGATTGTCTTTCAAACGTTCGTTCACTCTCGATATGTGGCACGCAGGGGTCATCGTTCCTCGCGACATCGCTACTCTCACAACTAGTGTTTTGTCTGGACAATGGAGTTGGTACTACGCCAGCTATGGGCTGGAATCCATACAACGTGTTTCTGTATGTCATTTACTCTCCGATGATACCTACTACTGATGTGTCTTCATAGTTGTGATACCGATGAGGCGCAATACAGACAGGCGGCTCAGAATCTCGTCGACTCAGGCCTCACTACCCTCGGTTACGAATACTTTAGCTTGTAAGATTCCTCTTTTTGCGAGAGGTATCGTCTCGAGGTAAGGTTACCGACTTCGGGCATATCCTTTAGAGATTGTGGCTGGCAAGGCACGACCCGCAACTCAACCGGCGGTTTCACGTGGAACACGACCAGAATCCCATCTGGCGTACCGGCACTGGCAACTTTTGTACATGACCTTGGGTTGAAGTTCGGAGTGTATAGTGATGCGTGAGTCTTCGAGTCCACTCAAGTTGGATCTCCATCGGTAAGTATCTGATATTTTGATGGCGTGTTGTCACAACCCGCAGCGGGTATTTCTCCTGTGACTTCGTTGGAGGCACTGCAGGATGGCTAGGATCACTCGGGAACGAGACTTTGGACGCTGAGACATTTACCTCGTGGGGAGCTGACCTCTTAAAGGTAGGGATCTGACGTCTTCAGTCGCGATTCTACGGTCAGGATCTCACCAATCCATGCAGTACGACAACTGCTTCGCCGTGAGCCCGACGGATTTCGTCGACAATGATCCACCAATCAGTCTCGAGGTTTGATGACCCATTCGTTCAACGCGACTTGTATCGTCCACTAAAGTATCATCCCATATGACAGCCCCACTACGTGGCAATGAGGAACGCTCTTGAAGCAACTGGTCGACCCATTCTGTTCTCAATATGCGAGTGGGGTCTGCAAGATCCTGCTAGGTGGGCGAGCGATGTTGGTAACTCGTGGCGGATTTCGTGAGCATATCTACCATGCGTTGTTCCCGTACTCGTCAATCTAACTCTTTGCTAACGTTTGCAGGAATGACATCGGTCCTCCGCCCTCGTGGGACAACCTTTTCCGCATAATAAATGAAGTCGTCCCTGTAACCGGTTTCGCAGGTCCCGGAGGTTTCAACGACTTGGATCTGTTGGAGGTCGGGAATAACGGATTGACAGTCGAGGAACAGAAGACCCATTTCGCGTTTTGGGCTGCGATAAAGTACGCACTCGCAGTAAGAACTTTTCTCAACAGTAGCTCATATGCTGACGAGCGCCGAAACGTAGGTCTCCTTTGATGATTTCCACGGATTTGACCAACCCTACGGATGATACCTTGGATATACTGGGCAATCGACGAATCATTGCTCTCAATGTGAGTTGATCTTACCCTGAAAACAAGTTGAACGGTTATCCATATTATTGCAATATTATCAGCAAGACACGCTGGGGGCCTCCATCGCATTTAAGCGGCGTTACACGAACGACCACGATGTCTGGGCTGGACCACTGGCGGACGGATCGACTGTTGTTCGTACGTGCTAGTTTCTACAAGCTCTGAGAAGAACCGCCATGACTTATCCAGGACCATTCATTGGTCTTATGAACAGTTGTTGTCAACTGGGATAACTCTAGTACTCGAGCCTTAACTCTCGACCTCGCCGATGTCGGTTTCTCTTCCGCCACCGCCACCGACGTTTGGACGGGCGAATCTTTGGCCACAATCCAAGAAACGTTAGTAGCTCCAACCCGTTCAGCTTTCACACAGACGTACTAATACTCAATCTCACCATTCACGACAGATTCGCGGCTACCGTCTCTGCACATGGATCACTTGTCCTCAAGCTCACCAATGCCATTGCCTCCGAACCTCCATCCTTCACATACTATCTAGCTGCCAGCTCTACTAATATCTTCTCTGGGGCCGCCGCTACTCGAACCGTTAACGACACTGTCACTGTCGTCGGGTTCATCGGAAATGGTGGCTCCAATACGCTCACGTTGACTGGCATCGATGGAGGTACAGGCGGGAGCAAACTTATTTCCGTGGACTATATCAACGCGGACGTTACGCAGTCCAATACGGCTTGCTCGAATTGTAGGAACGCTTTCATCAGCGTTAACGGTGGGGATGCCGTGCAGCTGCAGATGCCGATCTCCGGAGGGGTAAGTTCTCAGCTCCTTTCTCTTTGTTTGCCGCATTGACGTGACATCTCCTTGACAGAGCTGGGACATCTTGTTCGAGGGCTATCTCGCTACATTGGATGGCTTCGTCGCGGGAACGGACAACACGCTTGAGTTTTCAAACCCGACCGCATTTGCGCCAGACTTGTATCGTGTCGGAGTGGCTTCCTCTGCTTGATCTCTGATACTACCCTGATGTCTCTTCGAATGCCTAAAAGTTTCGATAGTGCAGAACCTTGTCGTCGCATTTGAAGGCGTCGGGAGTGTCCAAGGAGGGGGAGTTCCAGCTGTTGGCGCTATACGTTCTTGAGTCAATGGGTGGACGAAACTTGAGAGACTGAAGTAGGATGACGTGCCGAACTAGGGCTCCATGCCCTGTACTCCCCTACTGCCTACGCCCGTCTTTTCTCAGGCTCGGTCAAGAGTCTTCTGCGAGCTCCTGACCAGCTCAATTTTATGGTTGATGGCGCCGTGAGTGATCGGTAGGCAAAAGAAGTCATGGTGGGTGTGTGGACGTTGAGGATACCATATGGACAGGCGCAGGTCGCATAGCGTCTGCCACTGAATACTTACTAAGTTGCGTGTGGAGATTCTGCAGGTGGTGACTCCGACAACTGGATGGAATCTGGTGACAGACCATAGCCTATGGTTACATACAGGCAAACTCCGATGGCGACAAGTCACTTGTCTTGGAACGACAAGCTGAGTTGAATTAAATGGCCTCAGGAGCACCACTAAACAACGTCGCACTCTCATCGTATGAGGAGCGCTGTATTTCCATTGCCATTGCCACCTGTGCCTTGAAGGACCACCGACCAGCGGGTGCGCTTGGACCGGCAAAAAAAAGTTCATGACAACGCCAATCGCATTCTACAGCACATCACCACTCTGCTCACGACCGGCACGCTCGGCGATCCGTACGCTGCTCGTCTCATCGCGGTCACTGCGAACGTCCAGCATGAATCAATAGACGCGCTGATCATTACGAAGAACCCGCCTGGGGACCAACTTCAGAGGAAGGGACGCGCTGTTCATGATACATGGCGTCCTTTGAGGCCTGAGTTGGATACCATCGAGCAGGCAGAGAATGGAGAGCAGGTTCTGCGGGCGTGGGACAAACTCGAGTCCGTCCCTCTCATACTTGTGGGTCTATGACACTGTTCAGGGAATTGATATCGTACAACGTCATCAGTGTCAGCTATCCCACCTATTATCAGAACCTCTTCGCTATACTGGACATGTTCCGCCATTTACCGGTATCCTCCATGTCCTCCCGAGAATTCGCCATTCGCTGCGCCCAGTTCAAGCTGTTTGTCGTGCTCCACGCACGGAGAAAGATCGGTGGCCGAATAAATGTTGGATACAATCTCTGGAGAGGTCATCCCATGGACACGCTCGCTGCTTACTCTTACCAAATCCGTCCCAACGTCCCTTTGCCTAAGACCCTCAAAATCGTTCAATCAGACGTGGCGGAGTGGCTTCATCAGGAGCATACACTAGCATACACTCCTATTCATCTTCACAGGCCGGCTACGGCTTTGTCTTTCAACTGACCACGGAAAACATCGGTCTATGGGTCCAAGCCCTCACAGCTACCTTTGCACAACTCAAGAATGCTTTGACCTATTTCGAACCAACGGATGGCAAATGGCATGCGGCACAGAGACTTCCACCGGGAGAAATCAAACATGTCTCTCGGTGGCTGTATAGGTTCAGCGGCCTGCTACAATGCGGTATTGTCGATACATTATTGAAGGACAAAGACCTAGAGAAGGCGATGAACGCGAGGCCAGGCGACTGTACGTTTCCCTGAGTCCCTCCGTGTCTCCTTGAGTCTTATCTTACATTAGCTGATTGTGATGGGAATGCATGTTAGGCGATGATAAAGAGGAAGTCTTCGGTGAGAAACACGGTATGTTCATGCCTAATATCCTGCTCTGCGCCTTTTTCTTCAATGGACCTCTCGGCAAATCATGACCAGGAGCGACACCGACCATGGATACAAAGGCGGGGTATGCAGCCATTCCGGACGGTATGTTCTTCAAATGTTCATCTGCTCCGCTTCTGCTTGTGCCCTAATCGTGCGGCAAATGTTTTAGCGCAGATGCCGGACGTCCCCGCGAAGCCAACAGATGAAGGCGGCTTAGATGGTTCGTTCTTACACCATCGGTCTGCTCTGTCTTTACCCACGGATTGATGGTATGCCAAATTTATAGGGGTGAAACTGGCCGCCAAGACGAGGCCGATCGATGAAAAAGGTCAGCACCTTATACTCTTCTCTCAGCCTTCGTCTGCTTGCGACTAATCGAATGGCGATGTTCTGGCGGAGGCAGCTTTCACAGAGATGGTCGGGGATGAAGAAGAGGACGATGAAGAAAATGAATCAGACGAAAACGATGGTAGAGATTCTGCCTACAATCTGTTTCATCTCTGATTGCTGATATTTGCTTTAGTCTTTGCAAAGGATCTGTCGTCATCATCAGCGGCGGCTCGCCACGCGATCGTGCACTATCTCAAGACGATTGTCTCTTGGGTTGATGCCGTCGACTCTCTGACCACTAAACCATTAACCTACCGTATTCGCGCACATGTTCTCCGCATGCCTACCCTCGACTCTAAACGCATCAACAGCTACATCGAGACCTTCGTCGATCGTGTTGTTCCTCCCTCCTCCACGGAGCAGACGAAAGCGAGCTTCCGCAAGAAAGTTCAAAATGCTGGCAACAGGGCGACGCTTCACGCGGAGGCGACGATGATGACTCTCGCACACTCCTTCTATTCAGTCAGAACTGCGCAGGAAAGTCGTAGAACATGGGGAATCAAACCTGAGGATCAGGAGGTGTTGCTAAACATATTCTCGGTTCGCCCGCCTCTCCTTTCATATACGATTCCGTTCCCTTAGTTTAACGATTCCGTTGCCTGCCATTCCGAAAGGTCGGTAATCACTTCATCTCCGTTAGCAAGAAGTGTTGTTGGTGCTGCTGGAAGTTATACGAGCATCTCAACGAACACCGCATGGACCGCCCCAACGAAATCCCTCCTCCGCCCGACCTCCTTCTTCTGGGTACTCACTCCACCATTTATCCCTGGTATCCCCCTCAGTCGGCCCCGGATAGCTCCTTGAAACGTTGCAGACCCAGTTAGAGTCTATGTTGGTCGAACGCTTGAAGGAGGAGTCACATTCGGATGAAACCCCGTCCAATGAGTCCTCTCCCCGTAGTTCGATTGGGGATGGTCCCAGACTGCCCATCTTCGACGTATCGTGTAAGCTTCTTCACATCATATGCTTATTGCTTTGTGCTGAACATATTTGAACAGTCGAGCCTGACTTCGACGAGTGATCTCGCTGTTGTCTGGTCTGGTTGTGTAGAGCACCTGCGTTTTGTCAATAAATATCCTCCAAGTTATATTGATATTCGACGTTCAAGCGGACTGCGTTTACGGACTGCTCTTCCCTTAGTCATGGTTCTCTTCGGAGTCTAATGCCCAGTATCGGGTTAGAGTAAATATTCGTGATCCGAGTTCTTTCACACAACAACACCGCTCCAGAGTCACACAACTTACGCACACGATAGCATGGTGCGGCATCTCCTCCGTTCAGCGTCTCTGAATTCCATTGTGTGTACCTCGGGGGGCACGATCCAGGTATGAAGAGTAGTGTTCCTGCTACGTCGATAGTTATAGAGCCTACATAAAGCCTACAGAGCAATGGTTCAGTTCCAGAGGGACGGAAACGACCAGAGTGTTATACCTGTAAAAGAGCATCAGAGACGACGGCCGCCCCAGGAGTCAGTCATTGATGTGCAAGGAAATTACCTCATCGAGACACCTGGCGATTGCCTCGCAACTAGACGGGAAGGAAGGGGTGGACTTCCTTCCCGTCTAGTTGCGAGGCAATCGCGAGGTGTCTCGAGGCATATTACTCTGGGGGAGAAGTCCGACGTTTACGGACCACCGCTCTGGTTTCCACCCCCGACGGCACTGCCAGACTGTCGTCCCACTTGCACAAAGATTACTGTCGTCCACTAAAGTCATCTCGATGATTTAAACTACAAAAAATCAGTGGTAGACCATATAGATGAGAAGACGAGAAACACAAGGTATCGAAAAGTATAGGCAGACCGATGACAAGACAAAGGGAAAACGAGAGCGAGAAAAGAAAAAGGAAGTAAAAGTAGGGGAGGGAGCCCTCCCCTCAATTGTGAGTTCGTCTAGCATGTTCCCATCTTCTCAGCACCGATGAAGAGCCTTCCGTCACCACTTGTTATCGCATTTGAAAGCCTCGGGGGAGACCAAGGAGAGGGACAGATGTTGGCGCTATAGATTGTCTAGTCAGTCGGTGGACGAAACTTGAGAGACCGAAGTAAGATAACGTACCGAACTAGGGCTCTATGTCCTGTATTCCCCAACTGCCTACGCCCGTCTTTTCTCAGCGTCGGTTAAGAACCTTCTGCGAGCTCCTGACCAGCTGAGTTTTCCGGTTGATGGCGCCGTGAGTGATCGGTAGGCAAAAGGAGTCATGGTGGGGTGTGTGGGCGCTTCTGAAGCGCTATGCGCTTTCGGATCCGGACCCTGTATAAGACGTACAGTATCGGAAGATGTCGTCGAGCGAGCATCGAAGTACTCTGATTGTCCGTCGACAGGGGACGAGGATACGACATGGGCAGGCGCAGAGATAGCGTCTGCTACTGAATAAGTGGCATGTGGAGATTCTGGTGGTGACTCCGATAATTGGCCGTGGGCAAATATTGGTTGGAGTGAATTGTCTGGCGAGTCCCCAATACCGTCTGGCAGAGAAGCGCCCGCGGATGTCGAGGTAGATATTCGATGTCGGTGTTGTATATCGTTTGAACGGTTATCGGATATGTTTGCCACTGATGAAGTCCTCCTTCGGATAGAACTGACTTCTGGCGACGAAAGTGTAGAAAGCACCCCCGTGGAACATGATGGCCATGGAATTGGAGCGGATGGTTCAGAATTTTGTGAACCAGTAATAAATGGTGAGGATCGATGCCTCGCTGGTGGCGGAGGTGGGGGGAGATTGGATGTGGATGAGGCAGGGATATCGGGCGAAGTCGTCGCAGACACCGAAGAGCAGGACAAGAGTGATTGAGCTGGACTAGAGCACTGTGTAGCAGGAAGAATGAATTTATGGAGCGGATCCCGGTGTCCGGTAAGAACAAAGATTATTTCATCCATGATCTCTCCTGGTAGTCGTTTAAGGAAATGCCAGAGATAATCCCGCGAGCTCCAAGCCAGACGAATGGTATACAGGACTGGCGTAACGGCGGCGAATATAGAAAGTATCTACGAGCAGAGCCACGTTAGAATAAACCGTATACATAAAAGTCATGTCATACCTGTCCATATGACAATGAGTAATCAGTGGAATCCATCGCAATCCTGGTCGACTGGTAGACCCTAACGCCCCATATGACATTAGTTGATATCATAAACGCCGAGGCCAACCAAGGATGGGCTTCGTATATAATCTCGCTGTGAAGTGAGAAAGAAGCTTAGCCACTTCCCAAGATCAGGATGAACGCAGAAAGAATGGTAGACGTACACATGTAGTGCCCACAGTTGAGCGAAAAACATGAATGATTCAAATTTAGCGCTAGTACCGTGAGGCCTAGATGCCCACCATGCCTTAGCCCGTTTGATAATGTATCGATGGTGCCGAACGGAATAAACTGCTACCAAGCCCCATTGCACGATTGTAAACAAGCCCAGGGAGTCGTGAAAGATAAAAAAATCAAGAAACGGAAGTAGAAATATGACAAGTTGCCAGAACAGAGACTTAACCCATGCAGCAAATGCCCCGCGTCCACAGAGATAACTGTCCGTGAATGCGGTGTCTGATAGTGTTTGCGTACTAATGATCACGAACCAAAGGACGATGTATAGAAATGTGAGAGATCTCATCCACATCCTCCACTGTCCACATCGACTAAAAATCATGTTTGGAGAGCCAAACAGATCATCAAATGCACAAACAATCAAAAGAGCACTGAAAGGAGGACCAGTAACGAGAACAGCGAAGCTTGCGTCGAAGATTGATAACTGTCCCCGATCTATGCTCATCACAGTTGCCAGCAATACGGAAAATTGCTGCCACATCAGAGCAAACAATGGGCCGATAACATCACCGTCCGACCCATAGATAAGAATCGCTAGCTAGCTACGTCAGAAAGCCCATGATTTATGCTTACGACACATAGACCTACGAAGGCAGATAGACAGTGCTATATCTTCGTTCAGCACGTCGCGAAGTCGGGCTTGTGAGCTATCGAGTTGATAACGCTGAGTGATACTAGTGGAAGTTTTACTCACTGGCAACCCCGACTGCAATGCCATCCATGTCAGTGTTTGCTTCGATGCCATCCGAGGGCACAGCCTGAGCATAGAAGCAGGCAGACCAGTCACATTGGGGGGAGGAGACGCTATCAAAAAATGAGCAGGAGAGATCTTCCGGATCCGCCATCGGCACAGAGTTCGGTGAATGCGAGTAGAAGGAGGGAACAGAGCAAATAGTCGTGATCAGAGGGACATCGTTTTATAAGGAACAGGACCAAGCGCCAGGGAGTTCTTTCACAGAACAGCACCACTCCAGAGTCACATAACTTACACACAAGATAGCATAGCATGGTGCGGCATGCCATGCGACATTTCCTTCGTTCGGCGTCTCTGAATTCTGATATGTGCAACTCGGGTGGGCACGATCCAAGTATACATACTGTTCCTGTTATGTCGATACCTGTAGAGCGGGCAGAGCAATGATTCAGTGCCAGAGGGAGGAAAACGACCAAAATGTTATACCTGTAAAGACCGTATCAGAGACGATGGGCACCCCGGAAGCCAGTCATCGATATGCAAGGAAACCTGTCCATGTGAAAGCTGTTACTGATTTGTATACCTTGCCTTTCGCTTCATGGGAGGATAGGATCGGCTTCCGTTCCGTATAGTCGCGAGGCAATCGCGAGGTGTCTTGAGGCATATGTACCGTTCTGGGGGAAACACTGCGTGAGGGTCGTCCCACTTACACGAAGACTGCTGTCGTCGACTAAAGACATTTCAATGGTGGCTCCCACGAAAGACAAAGCCGAATAAGGTACCAGATTAAAACTACAGAAAAATCAGCGCACAACAAAGAGACCATATAGATGAGAAGAAGAGAAAGGCAAGATATCAAGAAATATCAAGAGGCCGGCGACAGGACAAACGGAAAACGAGAGCGAGAAGAGAAGAGAAAAAAGGAAGTAAAAGGAGGGGAGGGAGCTCTCGGCTCAGTTGTGAAGTCGTTTGGCATGACGACATAAAGCCAGGTTAAAATCATCCATAAGCAAGAGAAAGAAACGGTCAAAGCCCTGAAACAGAAAAACTAGAACAAACCATCGATCGTTCCATACCACAGACCTACCAGCTCTTCGACCAATTCGCTCAATCACCCGCTCTGGCCCAACTCGCTCAACGCGACAACACAAAATAACCTGACGCAGAAAGCCAACCTAAATCACACCCCATCACCGCTGCTCACCACCCCCAAAGCCCATCGTGTCCTGCTGCCCATAAGCCTGCCAAAGCAACTGCGCATTCTCCTCGAACATCTGCGGATTCATCTCCGCATTCGTCCTCCCCCCATTGCCCAACAACGCATACAAATCCTCGCCCAAGAAATCGTACCCCGAAAACGGCAGCCTCGACGTCTCCCAGGACGCCTTCCCGTTCGACGGGACGCCGATGGTGGGGTCTGGCGTCATGTTCGAGGGAATACCATCACCGTATGCGCCGGGAGTGTCGGGAGGTGGCATGTCGCCCGGAAGCGGACGCATGAGCTCGGCGGTGAGCATGCGACTTTGATGCGAGTGTGGATGAGGATTGAACCCGCTAACGACGGGAGATGTGTGTGACATAGTATTGTCGGACGAGGTACCGTAATGTTGCTGCTGTTCGGCCATCTCGACCGATGTGCGTAGGTTGGAAACCCTTTGGTGTGAGCGAGGATCTTGTGGTTGGGCGTCGTAAGCTGAGGACGAGGAAGGACCGTAAGAGTTGTGCATGAGTGGTGGGCTCAGGCCCGTCGCTGTGTTTTGTCGATGATCGTCGAGACGCGGTCGTGTGCGAAGGTCCTGGAAGCCGACGTCGTTCCGCTTGCGCTTCCCAGACGACGAGGATTCTGGCGTGAACCTATACCGTGAAAGGGAATTTAGTCTGAGCTGACACGGCACAATCATTAAAAAAAAGGCGGGTACGTACGAGCCCTGGCCCATCCCAGCACTCCCATGTTGTGACGCCCTATCCTGTCCGCTCATCGGACTATCATGCTGCATGCCTTGCTGCAAGCCCGCCATGCCACCCATGTTCAACACCCTTCCCCTGACGACATTCAGCAGGTCCGACACGATCTCTCTGCAACGTTTCGAGCCCCGCCAAATATCTTGCATATCCTCGAGGATATTCACGCACTTTTCGGCATCGGCGATGAGGTTGGCGATGAGCTCAGGCTCGTTGATGTAGGAGACACAGCGGAGGAGTAAGACGCCGGATAGCTGTGGAAGAAGTAATTGATCAGTACGAGACGGAGAGGAAGAAGGGGTAGAAGGGGAGTGTACTGTGATATGTTGCACGGCGAAAGCTAGATGGTGCGAGGTCGGGATCATCTCCTTGACGATCTCACCAATCCGAATACCTGGAGGTCGGGCGCCCTCGTTATTATCATAATATAAAACAAGAAAACTAGACGAAAACATACATGACTTCGCGGCAGTAAAACACATATTCAAATGGTGCATATCCGACGGCGTCGTCGGTGGATCAGCCATGAAAGGTCGATCTACGCCACCCAATCAGCCTCAGGTACTCCACCAGAGAACCTAGTTAAAATGCAGCTCACGAAGGTTGATGATTGCAGAATAATAAACAAAGAACGTGATCAGACAAAGCGCAAGCATATCCGGGTTCTTCGTCTCGTTCGCCGCGAACCGGATACTGTGTGGCAACGTTTGGTGCCTGGGCCACAAACAATAGCTTCGTCAGTTTCACTGCATCGAAAGCAGGGTGAAAGCATGCTCACCAAACCTCGAGCTCATTCCCTAACACCTTGATCGTCTCCTCTGTGTCTTCCCGGTCTGGGTCCTTGAACCTGGGCGACTGTACAAAACGGACGACTTTGCCTGCGATGACGTAGATTCGCAGTAGTCTGGGCGAACAGAAGGACGTGTCAGCTTAAGGACCGAAACTGTGGAGGCAATGATAATATAGATGGAGAACTGGGGGTAGGACACTCACGCAACGAAACCAGTCATATAACTTGTCGTCCCCGCAGGTGAGACAGTGCTCCCTTCACATGTCGCTAGCAGTTGCGCATCGTCCAGCTCCGCCGCTACCAAATGAACGTATGCAAGGTCTGTCAGCAGTCTTTCTTTTCCAGTGGAAGTACGAGCGTAGGAGGGGGACTGAAACTGAACTTACGCATCTCAACATCACAGTCGTCGTCATGCGCTCCACAAGGTCTTCCAAGCGCGATGGAAAGTACGCGATCGAGACCATAGACGCACCACCATACCCTTCTCCGCATCTCTTTTTCGAATGCGTTGACGGGCGTTCGTCGTGGCGTACGCTACAACAAACGGATGTGATTCAAGATCAGGTGCATTTAAAAGGCGGGGGGTGATGAGAGACGTACGTGAAGACCGAGATCCTGAGCTCGTCGGATCGCTTGACCGGCGTTAATCCACGACTGGGCAAGTGCTGGAAATAAAATGAGTACGGTCAGATCAAGGGTGGCTAGAATGAGGAAAGAGCTCTATTTACTGTTCCATCCAGCGTTGCAAATTGCCAATAACGAAAGGCACTGTACACTGGGCAGAATATTAGTTTCGCGGGAGCAAGTAAGCAAAGGAGAACAGCTTACTGCTCAATCGAAGATCCACCGGAACCCATCCAGAACAACAACTGTGCTCTCTCATAAAAGCTACACCACAACCCACACGTCAGCCACCCCATCCAACCATCCCATTCCATGGGACTTGACGAGAAAAAAAGGACTCACTCCATCCCACTAAAATTCGCCGCCGTACTCGCCGCCGCCTGTTTTTCCTTCTCCTTCTCTTTGCCATTCCCCGCCGCAGCCCCACCGGGCGAATTCGGATGCGAACTCCCCTTCTGCCTTGCCGTCAACGTCGCCCCACACGCAAACACCGCAAAAAGACAACACAAAAACGCAGAATCCTTCGACGGCTTCCCCGCATGCCGCATCTCCATCGCCTCCACGTATCTCCGCAAGAAGATCTGCTGTTGGAGGATGGGGAAGGTGTGGTGGATGTGCGTGAAGTAGCACGTGACGAGCTCGTCGGCGACGGTGCTGGAGGGATATTTGATGTGTTCGGCGCGGGGGAGCGCGTCCTGTTGGCGGAAATGTTTGTTGGGGGTGAAGAAGGGAAATTCCATGTCGACGGCTTGTTTGCTGGAGGAACCGTTGGAGGCAGGAGAGGCCTCGACGGCCTGGGAGTCTTGCAGCGAGTTCAGGGCGTCGACGAGCATGTATGAGGATGCACCTCCGATGTATCTGGGTGAGACGTGAGATGTAAGAGACCTGCCAAGTGCAGAAGTTGGTCGTACGACCGCTCACCGTAGCGAGCCGTATGAATCCTTCGTCAGGTGCGAGAATCGGTCCGACCATCGACCTTCTCCACCGTCGTCTTCAGGTTCGAGGACGTGTGAGCTGGGGGCTGGGCTGAGCGTCGATGACGGTTGGGTTTGGTCTGATCCTGCATGGCGGGCGAGTTTCTGGATGGCCGCGGAGGGGTGATAGGGCGGTAAGGTGTCTTGGACCGTGGAGTGGTGGGATGAAGTGGTGGGGTGATTCCCGCTCGTCGTGGAGGACTCTCGTAGTCCCCGGAATCTACACAAGTACCAACTTGTCAGTGACTGTGAAGAACGAGAATGCGAATCTCGTTATGCCTGGGCATGAATCATTGCAACCTGGATACCGCCCGACAACGGCTCGGGCACCTATACAACATCATGCAAGTTTCGGTCGCTATAAAGAAGTACGCGGTGATGGGTGCACCGACGGATACGACGCGGATTCACAGGCACAGACGCGAAACATGCATGCTCTCGGGCGCCACTTACGCCAACCCATGGAGAACAGCATTCCGGCCATCACCCCCACAGCACTGGCAAATGCACACGCTCATGATCCACGAAGCGACGATCCTTATTTGGAACGAAAAAAGTTGGGGGGACTTACGGCAACGCTCTATCGTCTGTATCGAGCCAGGTCTCAAAGGCGCGCGCCATGGGGATCATCTTCTGTACCGTATCCTCGAGCTTCGCAAGCCGGTTATCGACGTTGGTGGCATATCTGAACTTTCAAATGAGAAACACGGGAAGATTGTGGAAATTGGAATGAATTTGGCTGCTTACTGCCTTGCACCGGCGGCATTGTCGTGAATCTCGCGGACTAGAGAGAAAGAGAGACGAGTCAAGATTAGAGAATATGAAAGTAATGAAAGGAAGGACGCACAGGAGCATGTCTTTCCTGAGGACAAACAGTACGCGCATGGATCCTAGGGACGGCCGGGCGATCAGACAAACGGAAAGACGGCAGGAGTAAGGCGGAGGAGATACCTGTCCGTCACATTTAATCTGAAGAAGGATGAGAGCCGATTCTAGCTGGATAGGATAGGCCGCATACACACCTTGCGTTTCCTGCAGGTCTCGCAGGCGCGCCAGACCCGCGCCCGCATCTTGACGGTGCTGGTTGGACGGTGCCCATAACAGTCAGTCCCTTACGTTGACTCGCGAGCAGAGCACAAGACGAATCGAATTTCAACACTCACCTCTCTTCGGACGGGGCCACGTCGGACGGACCTGGTTTACCCGAGCTCTGCATCGTCGTGGGCGTGGGCGTCGTCGAGAAGGCGTCGTGCTCGTCGTTGGAGGCAGTGAGGGGAATCCTAACACTTTCGCACGAGAAACAGGGCCCCTGTGCGCTTACTCCGTGCCCAATATCTCTTCTTTCTCCACGTGACCTGCTTACAGACGTCTCACGCGAGAGGCCGCCACCCCGCGCCGATCGCCACAGAGAATGATAATGAACGGCTCATTCGACCCCCATTTTTTCCGTCCGACTTCCAATCATCGTCGTCGAAAACATTCGAACCGTGCAGGAAAGTCCGGACGCGGAGGCTATCGACAGAGTCGTCCAGGCACTCCTCTTCCCACCGTCGGTCTTGCGCTCGGAGTGTCGGCGTAATCGGGGTTGGTCGTATCTTCCTCTCGATCGGCGTCCAAGACGTCCTCGACACAAATCAAATCCTCCAATCATGCCGACGGTACAGATACGGTGACTAAAAATGACAAAGGGCTCCGTGCCTAGAAGAGAAAGTCTAACCTAAATGCGGACTTCTATTGTCCCCCAAACACGCAGGAGGCACTTTGCTTCGGGCACAACGATCCTCCACAAACCACTATTGCTGACTTACGGCCAAGAGAGCTCTGTGAACGAATGGTTGTTGGCAGTGATTCAACTGAAATAAACCGACAATTCGTCGGATGACAGCCACTGTGATCAACCTCAATATCTTTATCGTGCCTCTCGAACTGAGACCGGCTATCCAACCACAAGCCTAAACATTTATAGTCAAACGTCGTATTAGCGGCAAAGAGAGAATCCACTAAACTTGCATCACTAGGAGCAAGCGATGACAACAGAAGCGCAGAAAGAAGAAGCAGAAGACGACAGGTCGACGCATCCAGTTAGAAACACAGCGAGACCTCCTCATTGTTCCTGAATGTTTAATCCTCCCAGACGAAGGCACAGGCGACATCGATGAAGATGTCGACATGATATGATGGTGCAACCAAGAGTCCGCCGGTCCTGGAAGATACAGGTCGGTGCAAGTAATGTCAGGATCTACACAGTCCCTATCAGCGCCGATTAGACCAGACTCGATCTCACCGGCGGCCCTATATATGTCAACATCAATGGCGTGCGCTGTGAAGTCCGTCGCGATCGGGGACGATGCGACAGGGTATTTTCTTGACCAGTGGATGTACGGTACGGACTTTGAGAAGACAGGAGTACTGCTGTTTCAAGCTCAGAATGGGATATGCATCGTTGGACGGAAGTAATTATGGCGGGATGAAGGAGTACCTGCAGCCGTCGGAGATAAGTACTTTCAATATCGGGCATCCGACCAGGGTGGAGGGTGTATCGGCCCATCGGTGGACAAACAGGAAAGAGAAAACACAAGTATATGGCCCGCAGAGCAGACCAGAGTGGTGCAGCGGTACTTAGACTACAGTGTCCTCTGAAGGCTTTTCACCCGAGTCAAGTCAGCTCCAGATTCCGAACTCGCTTCCTCCCACCGAGATGTTAAGAACTCAAATTCAACTGCACCAGACAGAAAGAAAACCAACCCAACCAAAGAAACACCCGACATTCCGTGTCGGAATCCAAGTCCAACTCCGACTGAGGACTGCGTCTTTTGGAAGCTCTGAGCCGAACGTTGGCACACGACGAACACTAGCGCACAAGCACACGATCCACGACGTTCACTAGACCCGGCGGACTATTAGAGGGGGAGAAAGAGCGACGAGGAGTCCACGGGGCAAAAACATAGGAGAGGACAAGTTGGGGGAGACGCGACAGCGGCGTAACGGCCCGCCTTGGGCCCGCCGTTGCCCGGCGGGATGTTTTCTTTTTCCTGCCATTCTTTTAGCCCGCCGGATAGGCTCAGGCCCAATATCCTTGGGTGTCAGTCCCGAATTCAACGCTCGTATGCACACAGCCAGTCCTTCTTTCCTTTCGGGCGGCGCCCCACTCAAACGTCGCTCGAGCACAGACAGAAAACCATATCATATTTTGGACCTCGTTCACTGGCAAAGTCTATTTTACACGTACAGTAAGAACCACGAAACTTGTACACTTGGTTGCATGTCCAGCATGCAACCAACTGGCAACGATACAAATACAAAATCTCAAGAAATACAGACAAAAATACAGATCGGCCATAACTCCAACGCACGAACACTCAACACTCACGGAAAAGAAACACACTGAACGTCAAGGCCCGTTATCCAAACGCAGCACCGGTTACGTCCTTGCTCTCACGTCCTCCTTCTAAATCACACGTATAAGTCGACATCGAGCCCCTCGCACCCTCCCCATCCCCATCCCTGTCCATTTCTGCAGTCAATCTCTCCATGCGATACGACGTCCCCATTCCTCTCCTGCTCCCCGTTCCTCTCCGTAGCTCAGCGGTCTCAATCATCGGATTTGAGTCAGGATGGTACCCGTATGCGTATGGTGGTAAATTCAAAGTCGGTAACGTTGTAGATGCGGATGTACTGGCGATGGTGATAGCGGGGATTTTATTGTCGGAGAGGGTGGACTGGAGAGATGCAAGGAGGAGAATCGTGGTGGGGTACATGCCCTGTAATTAGTCGAATCGTCAGCACAGCAATGCTCAACCCCCACAAAGATAAAAGAAAGGACAGACCGCTAGACAGACCCAGACCGATGCGAAAGCGGAGTATGCAATGATAAAGGGGAGATCGACTTGGTTGCTTCGGGTGCTAACGTAGACGCAGGACATCGCGAGATAAACGATCTGGGGGCATCGCAGTCAGTATCGTCAGCTTGACCCGAAGGCACGAATGTAAACACTGGAAACTGACCAGTAAGAAACAATACACGACCCCCGACTCGATGAGCAGCGCGAGCATCCTAGAAACGGCTGTAGACCTCCCAAGACCGGGACCGGACCCGGAACTAGTGCCTGAGCCCCGAGTAGACGCGTTTTTGAGGACTCTGCGATGAATCCTTGTGGTTCGTCGTGAGCATGAACGACATAGACGATGGTGGTAAACAGTAAAGGCTCACCACGTCTCATACCCAATCACACCCGTCGTCCATAGATTTGTGAACAGTGTCAAACTATACGCTGCCAACAGAGCCTGCCACCCGTCCCCTTCGAGAATGGAAAGGCCTGTCGGCCCATCGAGAGCGTACACCAGAATTAAGATCATGAGTCCGACTAGGGTGGCTAGACTTCGAGTCAGGTCCACGTTACAGAAGGAAGAGGTGATAATTCGGGCTCCTACCGAGCGTGAGAAGGCCACATATCATGATCCAGCGTCGAGCTCTCCGTCTAGATAGTAGCCGAGCACGCCACATAACCACCGCATCGTTCAACATGAACTATACCCCAACAAAATCGAAGCCATGACCATAGGTAACGGCGCACAGGACATGTAAAAATATGACGGAAACGAACCCTCTACTCACATTGACGCAAGGTAAACAATCCGTCCACGCCACCACAATCCCTCGAAACGAATCCGGCGGCACCTCTCCCAGGATCGACAATCGCATGTTCGTCCATACCATCCATAGCGAGAACGCAGCATGACAGCTCGCGACGGCGAACATGAGGATCGTCACGGTCAGCATGATAGTCTTGCATCGTGTGAGATCGCCTCTTCGGCTGTGTGCATGGTATGGGGATTCGGAACGATTAGTGAGTATACATACATGAAGACAGCGATGGTGCTTACGCTATGATTGTTGTAGAGAATAAGACCATGCTGGCGTAGAACCCTGAGGAAGAAACAAGTTCAAATGAGCATTTCGTATCGCCCATTGGCCTGGAAAAAAAACGAACCGTAAACGACCATCTCGACCACCAGAGCTAAACCGTCTGCAACGACACCGTCGTAAATGCCCTGCAACTCAACACCTACACCAGCACCAGCAGGGTCCGTAGTCATATCGGAGCCTTCACGTCGAGGAGCGGAAACGACGAAAAAAGGGAAGCTCTCAAATTCGAAGCCTTCTCGCCCGCAAGCCAGAAGCTTTATATATACACATTTCTTCGTCCGAAAACAGAAGACAGTCTGCCGTCCATGACGGAATAGAGAAAGTTTAAGGATAGGCTTACGGTGCCGCGATCGGTCTCCGTGAAGCGACTCAAAGTCCTGATTAGGCTGACGATCCTCGGTGCGCCCGCGTTCAGTTCAATGCGACTCTGAAGTATCTCGGAATGGACAAAGTGTATCCATAACGGTCCAATTCTAGACATTCCATTCATACCCTCACCCGTCGCTATGACGCTTTTTGTACGATCGCAGACCGAATACCCAGATTCATGCCGCGTGTCTGTGAACGAGGACGATCTGCAACAACGTTCTAGCCATAGCTAGGTGCCATGAGCTAAAGCACTGCTCAAAGTCTTCAGCATGTGCACAAACGAAGATAATGGTATACCGTATCATAAAGAATATCGTTACAACGTGGACAAACCCAGATAAAACAATCGTCATGGCCTTCGATGCTCGACTACCACGCTACAAAAACAGTTCAAGAGAGTTCAAGTTAGCGAGGGCGGCAGGCGCGTAATGAAGAAGAGGACGAACTGACTGGGTATCGGATGGTAAGATAGTAAGTATGTTCAAGCTGCCACGATTCACTGCGCAATACTACTCCTCAACCACGCTAAGAGCCCTTTACTGCCTTCTCTCTCCCAGACTCTCCTGTTTGGTACGCGGAACCTAAAACACAGGACACGATCCAATATCAATATCAACACGACTTCATGCAAAAATGAAAAGCAAAAGATACGATGGATTTGGACTCACACATTACCCTCTACCAAGAATGCGTCCAACGGCATCAACCCCAACTCGCCCGGTAGCTTCCCAATCGAATTATCGCGCACATCCAACTCCTCCAGCTTCCACCTCTCCCTCTCCGTCGCAGCACCATCCCCAAGGACGTCCTTCACAAGCTCGACGAACCCATCCAACGCCTCTATCCTGTTCAATCTCAACCTGAGACAACGTAGTCCCGCTCTCCCAACGTCCTCAGAACCAGAATCCGAACTTGAAGTGGAGAGCAGAATGCCGGAGAGGAGGGCTTTGGAAAGTGCGCCGGCTGTGAGGTTATTATTCGATAGATCGAGAGTCCTTAGGTTCGGAAATATCTTCGCAATGATCTCCAGAACAGGCGTCTTCGTCCTCTTCTCTTCTGCCCCCTCGTCCGTCCCGTCTCGATGAACCCCGACATTCACCTCATCACTCAACCCACACCCATCCAAAACCAACTCCTCCACCCTCCGAAACACGACACTCCCCGTCTCTCCCAGGTCAGGCAAGACAAAACACGGATCCGCCCTCCGCCCCTTCAACTCCAACACCCTCAACGCCTCCCACCAACCCTGCTTCACGATCAAATACAACGGCGCCAAAGCCACCGGCACGCCCAGATCCTCCCCGCTCCCCTGCCTCTTATTATTGAAAGGAGCGGCTAGCGAGAATCCACGGCCGTGTGCCCGAGAGGGCGGTGAGACGGGAGGAAGTGTGAGCGTCTTGAGTCGATCGTCGTAATACTTCGCCAGTGCGTTCTTAGCGCTCGCGTGGCTGAGCGCTATTCGTTGCCCTTCATCGTGTTCGTGCTCTTCTATAGTCGCAGCCGCGAGGGCCCTAGCCCTCCTCTTCCCTCCCTCCGTCAACAATCCCATCTCCGCCTCTATCTCCCACTGCTCCTTCACCGGCGCAACCTTCGCCACTGGTGGCGGAACCCTTCCTCCTTTCGCACTGGCTTGAAGAGGCAGCGGTGGCACGTCCGCGTCCTGTTCCGCCGCACTGGCCCTCAAATTCCCCGCGCTCCTCTGACTCCTCATCCTCGCCCTCCTATCCGCCTCGATCTCCCACGCTTCCCTAATCACCCTCTTCCCCACCATCACCTTGATCACGCCTTCGTCCTGGGCAGGAGGCGCACCCGCTATAGACGCAAGCTCGAAATCGAGCGTCTTGGCCGGATTGGATTTGGCGAAGGCTTCGAGGAGGACGTCGCGGTTCACGCGCGTCTCTTCGAGGTCTAGGTCTTTCAGTTTCGGGAAGAATGGTGCTGTTGTTGGATCTGGGGACGAAGGGGAAGAGGAACCGACGTCGAGCTGCTCGAAGCCGCGGTCGTCGATGTCAGATTTCTTCATGAGCAGTTTCTCCAGTCTCTTCAGTCCGCCTAAGGATCTGATCAGACTACGGATGAAATCGACGCCGGAGTAGGATAGCGGGTTCTCGGAGAGGTCGAAGGTGACGATGTTGCGTGGGATAGAATCTACGTCGATGCCGCTCGCTACGAATCTGTTGGATGAGGCTATGAGGGAGGTTAGGCATGGGAGAGGTTCGTCGGCACGACGGATTTCCGGAGCGCCGAAGAGGTTTCCGGATGGAGCTCGTTTGTGGGTCGGCGAGGTGGTAGAGAAGGATGAGAAGGGGAGGGCGGTGAGTTGATTGTGTGAGATGTTGAGGGTTATGAGGGAGGGGAGAGCGAAGAGGGAGGCTGGAAGGGAAGATAGAGAGTTTCGGGAGAGGTCGAGATTAATGAGGGAGGGGAGGTCACCGAAAGTTGTTGGGAGGGAGGTTAATTTGTTGTCGTGCAGCTAGGATAGATCCATACGGTTATGAGTCCGCATGAACACGGTATACAAGTAGATAAACTCACGTCAACGACCTTCAATGAACCAAACAAGGATATCTCGCTCTGGATCTCCACGATCTCGTTGTTCCACGCCTTCAGTACGCTTAGATCCTGCTGCTCGAACCACGTGGCGGATTCGTTGCCAGATTTCTTGCGTGGGGACTCGGGGAGTGGAAGTTCGTTGGGAAGGAGAGCCAGGGGCTCGGGTATGACGCCGAGATGGACTTCGAAGAGTGCAGACGGAATGCATGCGAGGGAGCGAGAGGAGATGTTAAGGTTGCCTAGAATGAAATAGAAGCAGGAAATCAACGGTCAGCGACTGCGTTCGTGAACTACGAGGTTGAATTGGGATCGAAGGTGTAGAAAAAAACACGTATATAACAATCACCCCTTTCACAATAAGCTCCAGGGCGATTCAATGGTGGCAAGCCGAGTGATTCGGTGTAAGTCGAAAGGACGCCACCGCCACAAAACTCGTTCCTGACCGTACACATGTGAGAACGAACTGACCTGTACTCCTCGCCCGTTCAATCGTCTCGCGCACAGACCACCTCCCCATGAAATCCGTCTCCTCCACCTCTGTCTTCCCAAACGTATCCGGAGCCGCGTCCTCCAGATTACCCCAACTCTCCGTAGCCGCCATTCCCGCCGATGCCTTGCTCGCCTTTTCCTGCGCCTTCTTCGCCTCTGCCCGTTTCAGCGCGATAGCCTCCTTGATGCTCAGTGCAGATGCCGCAGATTGGGACTTGGCTTGCTCATCTTCGACTTTGAGTGAAGGAACTGGAGGTCTGCGGGTAGAAGAGGCAGTCGAGGGCGAGGGCTTGTTCGGGGTCGACTTTGTTCGCAGGCGAGGCGACGGACTGGGTGCGGTAGGTGACAGACGAGCATTAGCACCAAATCTGGGCGTCGGAGGAGTCAACGGTGTTCGTGGTGATGTCGTTCTGACAGATGAAGTCGTTCGCAGACGAGACTGTCCAGAAGGCGAAGTGGGTGAAAGTGGCGCATTCGCTGGCGGAGAACGCGGTGTGTTGGGGGAGGGAGAGCGCCATCGGGACGAAGGGGGGACTAGACGCGAGCTGGACGGTATGGATGTTGTTGATGTTGTCGTTGATTGAGGACGCGAACGTGAGGTCGGTTGAGGTAGACGCGACATCTTTGTGCTATCAAAGAAAGAGGCGATCACAGAAATTCAACGGAGTCAACGTGGGGGTGGCGAGCAGCCATATTCGGCGAAGGCCGTGCCTGCAGCTGGTGGCACCGTGTGTGGCCCAGATCAGTCACTGACTCGTAGAAGAGTCCGTCCATCCTTTGGAGTTTGATAAATATCATTAATGTAGTTGATGGCTTCACAGATAAATACACATCATTCACCCAACAAAACTATCGGTGGGCCAACAATATACTCCCTTGTGCAAGTTTCCACCGAACCGAAATCAAACTCCTTCCTCCGAGTCGACTACTCCTCATTTGACTTTGACGACTGTATATCACTGAAACTTGAGCTACGCTCGATCTCAATAATGACGGACGCTCGATGATAGTCTCTCCTTTCCGGGATAGGCGCTGCGGGCACTGAATCCGTCACGTCGGATCGTGCAGCAAAGACGGGTATGGTCGTCTCGTTGTTCATCGTCATGTCACTCAAAGTCCACTGTAGCTTCGCGAGCAAAATGATCATGGTAGGAAAAATGCCCTATGTCCGCCAGATATTTAAATGACGACGCATACCACTGCTATAGGTACTGTACTCACTTCGAAGTGAACAAGGAGGGAAATCATGACCGAGCATAGCTGGGACAATGCATTCGAGGAAGTGTCCAACCGAGATCCCGTGGAGTCGACTACTACCAGCACGATGAGTATGAACATCTGACAGGTAAGGGTTAACACGTTTTCCTTGGAGCAATGGAGTCGTGAACTCACGAAGATGCCGCAGTATATCATTCCTGATTCGACGAGAAGAATCATAATCTTGGCCACAGCGGTAGGTCTCCGACAAATTTTCGGACATATTGACCTTCTTGATCAGTACACGATGTTTCCTTCAGGAACATGTATCAGAATCGTCCTTCAGCTCGCAAAATATTAGTAACATACCAAGCTTTGTATGCTATAAACCCCGTCGACCATACGTTTGTGATAAATGTCCCAGTGTAGATGATTGACCGGAGCTGCCAGCTGCCCTGGAACAGCGCATCCCACTCTATGGCACCTGATGATGCACGCACGATATAGTATAGGGTGACTGCTCCAGTCACTGTTAGTGGAACTGCAATGACATTCACATCAATATGGTGTATTGATTCAGAGATGCGAAGGGAGGAAACGGGAGGTGACAAACTCGTTGAGATAGCACATAAAATAGCAATTCGCCGTCTAGCCTCTCTCCCCGCTACTAGCCAGGCTCTCCACATCACTACTCCGTCATTCAGTACCATCTATACACAAGGAAAGCATTAAGATGTTCGACAGAAAATACGGAGCCCTCACAGCAAACTCACGTTCACACCGGGCAAAAAGTTCGTCCATGCGATTTCGATCAGATGAAGAGAGGGGGGTACAGCGCGGCCTTCCGCTGCTACTTGCATTTTGACAAGCAGGATCTTTATCGACAGACCCCAATGGCAGCTAGCTGCGAAGAACATTATGGCCGTTATTGCCATCATCATGATGCTGTTCCTCGAGGATAATCCTCGTCGGCTGTACGAAATCCCTAAGTCGTTAGCACTCGTCGTCATTATAATATCGGACAAGAAATATAACATATGACCATGGTGGTGAGCGCCACTACGGCTATATAAAACCCTGTAGACCTGATTAAATATGATGTGAATCTTACGCCTAGGAGCAGAACTTACCATAAGCGACACTCTCGCAAACGAAGGGAAGACCCTCGACTAGGACGGTATCATATACGGCGTTAAAATCTTCAGTTATACCGGTGATATTGGTGGCCATTTGCTGGAGAGGCCAAGTCAGATACGAAGAGGAGATCTGGCGTGGTAAAAATTTCGAGGCGCCTGCAAAGCATACTTATACTCTCGACAGATTCTAGAGGCGTCGAGAGATCCCCCGTCACTATGATTATGATTTGATAACCCTGCTATATTGGTGACTTGCTCAGGGTGAAACGGAAGATCATGATTGCGGTGTGTTTGCATCCGTGGTTCACCAGATGCATGGACTCGCACCTGAACCGACGACGCCCGGATAGAAATGCCGTTAATATGTCGGAGGCGGGATGAGCGCACTGCCAGCGCCGTGGAAGAGAACTAGGTGCGCTAGGTGTATTGGGGAAGAGAGAGAACACGAAGCACAGTTCGAGCACTTGGATATAATACTGCTTTACTTAGTTAGGAAGTCGAGCGACTCAGACTTATAGACTCGTCGATGTTCAGATCGGCGTGGAAACAAGGAAACAAGCTTTATAGGCCGACTACGCGTGGAGGAGAGAAGGAACCAGACGGAGAAAGCCGAACGTCACTATGTCATTCTTAGACTAAGTGGCACCGATGTGGCCCAAATAGGCGACAGAGTGTCCGCTCCTCTTGCAGAACGGATCTGATACAGAGTGCAATGGCGCAATACCAATAGGCGTTACAGGAGCCTGATATTCATTAGTAAGTCAATCATTCCAGAGTCGTAGCACCCCTTTCTCTACATCTTTCGAGAAAGCGTTAATATTAGCAGTCAAAACCTGATCACCGTGGATCATTATTCTCCGTTATATGTCATCGCATAAGCTGTCCAGTCCCCTGTCGGAGCAGGAATAATACATCGACCCACGGTCTTAAAACCCAAACGCCCAAATCGAAAGCAAGTAGCAGTAGTTGTTTGAGGTTTCGAGATCATACCACATGCGGTACGAGTATCCTGCGAGGGATGTGCCGCACTATTGAAACTTTTAGTTATTCGAGGGGACATCTGGTCAACATCGGAGATCAAGCAGAGGAAGCCACTCCGACACGATACAAGTCTGGTGCAAATGCGGTCGGGTTTGAAAACTCAAGCGTGTTGTCCGTTCCCGCGACGAAGCCATCCAATGTGGCGAGATAGCCCTCGAACAAGATGTCCCAGCGCTGTCAGGAAATGTCACGTCAGTGCGACAGACGAAGAGAAAGGAGCTGGGAACTTACCCCTCCGGAGATCGGCATCTGCAGCTGTACGGCATCCCCACCGTTCACGCTGATAAAAGTGTTCCGACAGTTCGAGCAAGCTGTATTGGACTGCGTAACGTCCGCGTTGATATAGTCCACCGAGATCAGCTTGCTCCCGCCTGTACCTCCATCTATGCCAGCCAACGTGAGCGTATTGGAGCCACCGTTCCCGATGAAGCCGACGACAGTAACAGTGTCATTAACAATCCGAGTGGCGGCGGCACCAGAGAAGATACTAGTAGAGCTGGCAGCGAGATAGTATGTGAAGGAAGGAGGCTCGGAGGCAATGGCGTTGGTGAGCTTCAGGACAAGTGATCCATGTGCAGAGACGGTAGCCGTGAATCTGACGTGAATGGTGAGATTGCTTATAAGTACGTCTGTGTGAAAGCTGAACGGGTTGGAGCTACTAACGTTTCTTGGATTGTGGCCAAAGATTCGCCCGTCCAAACGTCGGTGGTGGTGGCGGAAGAGAAACCGACATCGGCGAAGTCGAGAGTTAAGGTTCGAGTGCTAGAGTTATCCCAGTTGACAACAACTGTTCATAAGACCGATAAATTACCCCCTATCAGTCGTGGTAGCGGTCCCCGGAAATTATAGGAACTGGCACGTACGAACGACCGTGGACCCGTCCGCTAGTGGTCCAGCCCAGACATCGTGGTCGTTCGTGTAACGCCGCTTGAAGGCGATGGAGGCCCCCAGAGTGTCTTGCTGATGATATTGTAGTAGTATGGATGACCGTTCAACTTGTTTTTAGGGTAAGATTAACTCACGTTGAGAGCAATAATCCGTTGATTGCTCAGTATATCCAAAGTATCATCCGTAGGGCTGGTCAAATCGGTGGAAATCATCAAAGGAGACCTACGTTTCAGCGCTCGTCAGTATATGAGCCACTGTAGAGAATGGTGTACTTTACCGCAGCCCAAAACGCGAAATGAGTCTTCTGTTCCTCGACTGTCAATCCGTCATTCCCGACCTCCAAAAGATCCAAGTCGTTGAAACCTCCGGGACCTGCGAAACCGGTGACAGGAACGACTTCGTTTATTATGCGGAAAAGGTTGTCCCACGAGGGCGGAGGACCGATGTCATTCCTGCAAACATTAGCAAAGAGTTGGATTGACGAGTATGGGAACAACACGTCGTGGATATGCTCACGAAATCCGCCACGAGTTACCAACATCGCTCGCCCACCGAGCAGGATCTTGCAGACCCCACTCGCATATTGAGAAAAGAACGGGTCGACCAGTTGCTTCAAGCGCGTTCCTCATTGCCACGTAGTGGGGCTGTCATATGGGATGATACTTTAGTGGACGATACAAGTCGCGTTGAACGAATGGGTCATCAAACCTCGAGACTGATTGGTGGATCATTGTCGACGAAATCCATCGGGCTCACGGCGAAGCAGTTGTCGTACTGCATAGATTGGTGAGATCCTGATCGTGGAATCCCGACTGAAGACGTCAGATCCCTACCTTTAGGAGGTCAGCTCCCCACGAGGTAAATGTCTCAGCGTCCAAAGTCTCGTTCCCGAGTGATCCTAGCCATCCTGCGGTGCCTCCAACGAAGTCACAGGAGAAATACCCACTGCGGGTTGTGACAACACATCATCAAAATATCAGAGACTTACTGATGGAGATCCAACTTGAGTGGACTCGAAGACTCACGCATCACTATACACTCCGAACTTCAACCCAAGGTCATGTACAAAAGATGCCAGTGCCGGTACGCCAGATGGGATTCGGGTCGTGTTCCATGTGAAACCGCCGGTTGAGTTGCGGGTCGTGCCTTGCCAGCCACAATCTCTAGAGGATATGCCCGACGTCAATTACTTTGCCTGGAGACGGTACTTCTCGAAAAAAGAGGAATCTTACAAGCTAAAGTACTCGTAACCGAGGGTAGTGAGGCCAGAGTCGACCAGATTCTGAGCCGCCTGTCTGTATTGTGCCTCGTCGGTATCGCAACTATGAAGAGACATCAGTGGTAGGTCGCATTGGGGAGTATTTGGCATACAGAAACACGTTGTATGGATTCCAGCCCATAGCTGGCGTAGTACCAACTCCATTGTCCAGACAAAACGCCAGTTGTGCGACCCCTGCGTGCCGCATATCGAGAGTGAACGAACGTTTGAAAGACAATCAAAAGAGTGCTCGTTTTGAGTTGCAACCTGGGGATGGCTTCATGGCGTTCATGCACGTCGTCGGACCGCCGAAAAAGGTCGTCTGACGTAAGGCACAAGGTCTCGAGCTCGAGACTTCAGTGATGGTCAGCTGAAGGCGTTCATGCCTTCGATACGTTTTTTCCGTTCAGCGAGGTTGAGACTATGGGAAATATTGCCCAACATACTATTCATCCGGACCACCGCTTCCTAATATTAGTCACTGGATCTTGAATCCGAGCATGCATTCTGTGTTCACGATGAACCTAGTGCCGTAGCAAGCCCTCGTCTGATTCACCGACGAGGGTAGGACAAGAGGAAGAAGAGCTTCAGCTTCAGGCAGGGGTACGACACAGACTAACAAACATCATGTTGCGGTTCGCAGCGGATGTCGGAGGTGGATGACAGAGGAGAGTGGAACCCGGAAGGAAGGCCACGAGGGCAACGGAGCGCGAGCGAGACATTCCGGGCTGATTAGATTAGATCAGATTGGCACTCCGCTCCGCGTCTCGCACTTTTTCGTTCTTTTCCTTCGATCGCTCGTTTTCATCCTCGACTGCTGGCTTTCCTTTGCTATACTGCAGCTACTAGCCCTATGTGGACACCCACTGATAATAGTTTTCAGGAAGATAAATTCTGTCTGCTTACGTGTTCTCCTAATAGGTTGTGACTTAGCTTCCTCGCTCGAGTGTCCGACTTTCCGCTCGCTGCTCGAGTCGTACTATTACCCACAGGATGTCCCTAGTCGGCATTTTTACCCTCTAGTCTAAAGCCCTTATACAAAAACAAAGTCGGAGGCAATTATTGGCAGTCTCATAATCTTCGGTGTTACAATAACATTGAAAGTACAACACGTATGGACGGTATCGCTCACTCGCTAGTCACGAAGTCAGTCTCCTCCTGCTCTCTCCCTCACTTCCAATCATGCTACTCTAACGAAGAAGGACGTGGTGGCGCATATATATTCGTTTGCTCTTGTTAGGGTCGGAAGCCGCCATCTTGCACCACCGAAACCTGCGCCCACTCCCGATCTTCCCAAGTAAATTCGTCACCTCTCGGATGACGAGCACCTCTATAACTATGTGAACTCTTATATGTCCTCAACCGACAGCATGAAAGAAGGAGAAATATGACGCCACTAATGTTACGAGGCTAATTCAACGCCTCGATGATCTCATCCGATACGACGAGCATTGCCCTCTTACTCCTCTGAATCGCTCTTTCCTTCCTCTCCTATACCACCCTTGTCTGACATGACGAGGCGTATATACTGTAATTTTGTTAAAGGTGATATACCACGCTGGGTGGTATCGGGATAGCCCCGTGAACTGCAGGATCAATTGGACTAAGGATAAATTGTTCACGTATGTTCTCTCTCTTCATATTCAGCATTTCACCTATACTGACGCAGGTCTCTGCTCCCACACGACGCTCAGCACTCCGCGTTTGACCCATTGAGAGGTCACCTTATACTCGCCGTCTTCCGTCGCGATTGAATGCGTACTTCTAAGTATTCCCTTCTGAACTGCTCGTGCTCATCACGAATACTCTACGAGCAACATGGGTTTGACTCTACTCGTTGCTGTCTCTGCGGATGTTGAATACCTTGATGTCTGCGTTCTCGAGGTCTGAAGATGCACCCGGTACCAACAATGTTTCTTCTCTCCTCCCTTCTCTGGACCATTTCGAACCACATGTCTAGTCAATACCTGTGTCATTAGCATCGCTTCTTAACTCTCTGCGCAACAGCAATCTCGAATATGACTCATTCGTCAAATCGGCCCGTCAGATACCGACGACGTGCAGTCCTTCACGCACGCTAAACTTCGCTAGACACTTCAGTCTGCTCTCGTCACACGGTGGTTCTACACTACCCTCTCCCCCCATCAGTCAGTGTTTTTCAACTGTCACTTGTATTCTCTGTGCCTATATCGCAACCTCTAGTCTGACCTTGCTACTCAACTCGGTCTGGATCTCTTGTGTGACTGACGGGCTATCTGGCTCACATCCCGGAAAGGACCATCTGATGTATTGGATGCGTAATTTGACCTCTACAAAACCTGACTTCGTTATTTTATAAACTAGGAAATCATCATCTGAGTAAAGAGGTGGCGTACCTCTGTGCTTAATCTTCCTACACGCCAATGCCAGTGAGAACATCCTACAAATCTGACTTCCGCTGCGTTTGAGGTCCCGTCCGCTCCGTCGGGAAACGCGATAGGTCATTGTTAGGTACTGAGTACCAAGCACCTTCTTCAGCCCACTTATTCGCCTCTCCCACCGTCGTCGTCTTCAAGGGCAAACCTACACTCTGCAGCCACTCCACGTCCTTTTGGATACCCTGGTTCGTATCGTCGAATTTGATAACATTGTATCTACGTGGCGTGGCACCAGGCTGTTCTTGAGCCATTATCACGAAGAAAACTCGGAAATTGGCATCTGCTTCCTCGGTCGTTCGATATCTGAGTCGAGGATAGACCGTGGAAATCACAGGGATTTCTTTTTTGTGCTCGACGATCCACTCGTTGATAACATCGCTGTAGTCCGCTTTGGAGAAGGCGTTGTCGCCCTTGGGTAGTGGGATACCCTGAGTTCTGGCCCATGAGGCAATAACATCGAGCGAGAATAAGTATCCCCCAAGTATCTGCATCTTCAGGACTGACAATCAATAAATCATTGTTCCTAGATATGAATTTGCATCTCTTTTCAATCTGAAACACACCTTTGCGAGTAGTATAGTAAGTATGGAAGTTTCGTATAATCCGAGGTGGGGCCGAGAGCTGCTGCTTCTAATACAGAGGTTGTGCTGCTTTTATACTACAAACAAGTACACGAGTCAGGCACGCTCTCTTACTGTCGAAGTGCCGTATCAAAGACGAATGTAACCCCACCAGCTCATATTGGAGAAGGGCTCTCTTATTACTACTCCTTCATCAGCTCCCACACTCTCATCCACAAACAGCTCAACCGTTGGGTAGAAATCGATCAACAAGCAGGGCTCTCACGTGGCAGCATGGCATTATCGATTGGCCTCCAGATTTCACAGCGAATCGCACTTCAACGTAACATAGGGAATAGCAGTATGAAATCATCACTAAATCAACGACAGTCCTGCGATCCAAGGAAGCTCCACGATATGTCGCTGTAGAGTGAGCAGAAAATTGGCCAATTCTATGCGTGTAGACTCCTCTCACAATTCGAAAACATCAAGCTGTCGGTAGACCTCTGAATCCCAGCAGCAGACCTTTCATTCGCAAGGGCTCCAACGAAGGCATAGCACGCACATCCATATTTGTCATATTATAAACTGCAAACGAAGAACGTGGGAGGCTCTCCGAGAGCTTTGAGTTCTATGAAATGTGACGGGAGTCGAAATAGAGTACATACTTACATGAACTGTATTGATGACAGACTGTTGGACCCACCTCATGAGATATCGTGTTCTATCGGCTCAGCACAGGATGATTTATTGCTGGTCAACGCTGTTAATTGATTGAATCGAGTTTCCACGAAAAGAACGGGCATCGGGCCTGTTGCTGGAATGAGTGTTTTTCCTAACGCATGGCACCCTAGTCGAACAATGAAATCTGTCCGGCATTGCATCGGGGGACATACAGCATCGTATTTTTCCACTATTTCCGTACTGAAATCAGATGTACTTTCTTCAGCAGACAACGACAAAAATGATTAGAATCAGCGGAACACTTGCGTTTCGAGGTCGCAAGATGTCTACCGGTATTAAGCTGTCTGCTTCCGATCTATTACTCGCCTCATTGACACAACCCATCACACATGGAGTAGCAACCCGTGGAAGATCCAGAGAAAAACGTCAGCGTGTGTATCGCTACAACTTCATGCGACGATCGGCATTTGCCAGCGTCTTTCACCGTCTCGAAAAAGAGGTCGTGTTGAGCTCTTCGCGGAACATATTGGCGCAGCACGGAGACCCGACTTCTCTATCATCGATCGGATCGCGAAGTTTCGTGATGGCTTTTATGTTTGAGGCACAGTCGAATTCCCTTGCCCAACAATCTCAGTATTGGGCGCTGACAGAAGACGCCCTACCGGGACATCCTCTGCACTGCTTCGTGAAACGAGATCCCATGACTTGATGTTTCAGGCGGAGATTTAACTTCAAGAGCGGATATAAAGTTGACGCGCGAGAGCGGAAAACCTTCAAGATTACTTTCTCTCTTTGACAGTCATGTTCGGCGTATACGCCCCGGCATTCCCCCTCAAGACAGAGAACGAATCCGTTGAAGAGGAATTAATTAAAGAAATACCAGCCGAGGTCGTGGAGAATGGTCCACTTGCAGAACGTAACGTTGTACTTGCAAATGCTTTCAAATGTATGCAAGAGGAGGTGGAGAAGGTAGTCGTCCATTTCAGAGTACTGGAAGTTTTTGAATCTGGACACTTATATATTTTCATAGGACACGGTCGAGTCTTTTGAGCACTCTGCTCAGATTTTGAACGATGCAGTCAAAGACGCCACAGCCATTCCATTTACTTCTACGGATAAACGGGCCGACAACAAGGCTGACAGAGGCTTAAGGGAAACTCTCAGAGTGCGTCGGTACTGTTCCTTGACTTGTGTCAAGGATACTGATATTAGTCTCTGACAGGCACTGACGGATCTCGAGAGGGATCTCAGAAAGAAACTGGTTGTCCACGAGAAGCATTGCGAGAGGTTGTGTATGTACTGTTTTCATTTCCTCTTTTTGACATTTCATCCTAATTTTACAACTCTTTGCAGTGTCGAGCTTCACAGCTGTGGAGACTTTCATCAAAAACGAATGTAGCAGCGGGCAACCAGACGGACCTCCAGTCAAGATGCGTCTCTATTGAGTAGTCGATGGAGCCAAACAATACTTCTCATCCGTTCGTGTCGTTATTTGTCTATCATTCAATCAGGAGAAATCATTGAGAGCAATCGATAGTATCAAGAATGAGACGGAAATTTGTATTTGGAAACGATCGGTATTTCTAGTGATTGAGAGAGTGTGACCACGAAATGCACTAAGTGCTTGTACATGCTGTCCGATGGGGTAGACGAGGCTTAAATGTCTTGCATTCGACGCATTTATGACTAAGGGTGGATGTGGAAAGTGTGGTACCACTGTTGTGCAGTGTGGACTGGGATGTTGAAATTTTGAGTTCGCCAAAAAAAAAGGTTACAGCGTAATAGAAGCCGCCGTATTTTACGGGAACAGTAATGTACGGTGTAGGAAGAATGATGATAATAAGAATAAACGAGTAAGCAGAACGGTATCATGTTACATCCAAACATGATAAGAACTGCAGGTTGGCACTCAGAAGTGTTGAACTACGTCCTTTGGTAGGTGAACAATTCCGAAAGCAATCCACACCGTGTATGACAGTGGGTGACTGTCCGTAGCAATCTAGGATGCTTCCTGATACACAGAAACACAAATAAAGGGGTCTCACCCAATCAGAAATCTACGTATGTGTCCTTTCTGCCAGTGTACATGCATGCCTCTAGAATCTATGAAACTCTCCACGGAAAGTCACCCAGTATTCCTCCTGATGCGCTCACTAAAGTAAGGTATGTCTCGGCTTGAGATGGACTCCGCATCACACACTAAGCGGTTAGTTCCATGGAGTCCAAGGGCTATTGTTCGTACTTGGTTATTAGACCGTATCCACAAGTATTAGAATCAACTCTGAAACTGTGACCGGATCAATCGCCGCGTCCTATTGGGCTTTAGCGAAGTCAAAAATTCACTCGAGATACGGTCTATTGTGATACGGCCCTGTCACCGATCTCAGGAAGAACTTGAAGAATCACGTTTCAGTAAGTTTTTTGTGTCGGAATTACGGAACGAAGTTTCACATTTCTCATACGCCTTGGCGCTATCGAGACAGTAGCAGTATTATTGTTCCTGTTTTATATAACACACGACAAGAACAATAACAAACGTCTCGATACGAAGGTATAAAAGAACATTTTCAAGAGTTGTTCCATCAGCAATCAATAGCGCATCTCCTATCCATATCCCCAGCTTTCCTTAACCAAAGCCTACACCTTGATACACACATCCGGGTACGGGTCATCTTTCTATATGCACGCTTTAACCATCCAACTAATCATATATTTGAAATATCTATGCTTCCACTGTAGATGGAAACTGATACTGGTGACCTTTGGCAGAAAGCAGAAAAGCTCAGGGCAGACGACTTTCATGCAGGAAACCCAAAAATTCTGCATCGGGCTCTCCAGAACCACATCGAGATTCTTCAGGGACAATCCGACCCAGCCGGAGCATCGTATGCCGCAACAGTGGTCGACCTACTAGACATCAGTCGCATTAAATTCGATACATCCATCGACCCTGATACGAGCATCCAGGAAATTCGCGAGGCGTACACAGGATTCGAGAGTTTACAAAGACTTGCTTTGGGTATATTGAAATCGTCCCCCTCCAGCGTTGATTTCGAGAAAGCAATTCGCTATTGTAATCTATCGCTGGATATGCCGGACAGGAGTTCAGAGGATATGGCCACATCCCACCGAATCCTTGGTCACACATACCTTACCAGATTTCGAGCAGAAAACAACATGAAGGACCTTGATGAAGCAAGGAAGGCATATGATGAAGCCTTAACTCTCTGTCCGGAGACGTCCTCAAGCTATCACCTTTTTCTCGCTGCTTCTGCCCATGTGCATTTGGTGAACTTCAATTTCACTGGCGCGACACAGGACCAACACTCTGCTATTCATAGATTTCGTCGTGCATTGGGTTGTATTCCCTCAGACCATCCATCTCGCCCCCGACTTCTCATGCACACCGGTTGTGCAATTGCCACTCGATTCGGGCAATTAGGACAGCAGGGTGACTTGCAAGACGCCATGAAATTGCTTGACGAAGCCCGCAACACATACGATGACCATCATCCTGACAAACCATATTGCCTCAGTGCATACGCGACTGCACTTCAAGCACGCTATCTATTCTCAAGGAAACTCGACGATCTCGACAATGCGCTGGCAATTCACCGGAGTATCATAGATAGGGTGCCAGAACTGAGCGATAAACATGTTGGGTTTTTATCGGGTCTATCGTTGACTTTACACGCGGTGGCGGACACAAGCGAGGGTATCCTTAGGCGGAATTATCTTCAGGAGGGTGTGGATAATGCCCAGAAAGCAGTTGAGTTGGCAGATACAAAAAATCCTCGCCGGCCGTTCCTCCTCGGAGAAGCTGCTCATCGATTGTACAAGCTTTTCAAAGTCACCGGTGTGGAGGAGCACACAGGCATACTCGTGTACTCCCCCATATGAGAAGGATATGGAGTTAGCGTAGCGACTTTGTATGATACTTACGCTCGCGCTGTCGGACTTTCAATCCTCGGTTAAGCCCACTTTACAGCAATTCTGTAGATTTATTCGGTTTTTCCTACCTTTGTCTCTGAACTGCTGAACTGTCGACTTTGGAATGTTCTAGATGCTCTCGGGCAAGACCTCAAGCTCGATTTACATTTGTTTCCATGCGGTAACGATCCCGTCGTGCCCATTCGACATCGCTAGTGGACGAAGAGCCGGAGCCATCCGCTCGGTACTAGGAACGGAACGCGCGGCTTCGGGTTCAGCCACCACATCTGCTCCCCCCGTCACTTTGCTTGAATTATTGCTAGCACTTCCCATGATTCGATTCTCTTCAAACTTTGCACACCTCTTCTTTCATACATAAACCCCTCTAGGAAATTGCCTTCTGGTCCAAGTCCGCATTCTTTCTCACTCAGCGACACTTTCATTAGTGGTTTGAATATACAGTACGCTTTTTCATCATTTTATTTGAATTTCTTCGTCTTCTCTTGTTTCACCACCACTCCCTATCGCGTCAGTGGTCTACTGATCGGAAGAGAGCACCTGCCTGGTCGTATCATTGCGCCGCAGCATGTGGTACAGTCTTGGCGGTTGGATTGGGCACCCATGCCTGCCACTCTGTGTGAGGGCCACAGAGGACACCCACATCGCTCGCGTTCGTCAATAGCTGCAATCTGCGACTCTGCGATAATCTCCAACGGTCAGTATACCTCTAGACATCTTCGTATTCGAACATGGAACGCTCCTCTTTATTTTCAGTTAATTTTACGATACGGGATCGTATTTAGCCTCTCACCACATCTCCCGGACTCTCTACCTATGTACCTGGATACTCGGACTAATTTCGATGTTCACTAACGTCTCTATGCTTCTGTAGCTTGCCCGACGGCGCATGAGCACGCGCGGCTGATCGGGAAGCACTTGGTTCTGTCACTTATACCGGTGTCCTGCCACCACTCGAATGCAGGTTCCCCCTCACCCAGTTAACTCGAACGTATCTGTCTGTCCGTCCGTCCGTCAACCGTCTGTCCGTCCCAGCGTCAACACCGTCTCAGTCCATCCCTTAGAACCCTCTGATCTCCATCGTTCTAACTCCCGCTCCATCTGTTCCCTCTCTATACCTCGTTCGGCTTCTAGCTTAGGCTACTCCGACGCCATCAAACCTTTTCCAGCACTGGTATTCATCGTTTAGGTGTGTACATCAGTACTATACATTTTCTCTTTCTCCTCTACGCCTGATCGGCCTGCTCTTCATCTCAGTAGACCGAGCGACCGCTCCCGATCCCCTCCTCCAACAACAACTTTCGTACCTCCACACCGGAGGTGTAGTTTTGTTCGAGACCCCGGAGTGGATGGAGTGTATCGCGAGGGCGTATTGCTCGAGATAATCTGGATGTACACGTTCTTCGATTACGATGGATCTATGTGAGGACGACACGAGGGAGTTTGTTTCGGCTATGGTTTTGGCAGCATCAGCAGGATGTAAGATACAGTGTAGGAGGCATTGACACTCACGGATCACTTCATCGAGCCAATTCTCCATCAGCATTTCGTCCCACATCCATGGGACATTCTGTGAGGGACTCGTATCTAATCGCAGCAGCTTCGTAGAGCTTCGTAGGTGAAATCGAAATCGTAGTGGGAGATGCGATGTGCCTGGAGAGGGCCGCAAGAGCGTTCGGCGCAGAAAGGTCGGATCGTAGAGCTGCCACCGAACATGATGGACTTGCGGGCGAAAATCTATCGGGCCACGTCGGATGAGGGGGAGCAGAGACGTTGATGTCGAAGCTCTCATAGATGATTACGTTCAATATACACCTCCTTCCAGCCAAAAATACGGGAAGAAAACCCTCCAGGACTTGAGAGCGGTGCACGATCACCGTTTTCAAGGAGGGGAAGATGGAGTCTAGCCCTGATGGATCTACCAACCTCGCGAGAGAGAACCACACCGTCTTCACTTTCGTCATTTGGGACAGAAGCTTAGAGGTGGCGCGGACCTTTCCGACGACGTTGTCTCCCTCGAGGCGAACCTCCTCCACAGCTCCGAGAAGATACGGTGACCGTCTGGTCAGAGAGCAAAAATATATACATCTGGCAAGGGTGGTTAGATGGACCTTCTTAAATGCTCTTCCTTGTCCGAGGGGCAACCATGCTCGCTTCACGAGGCTGATGGACGGCATATCTTCAGGTGGAATATGGTCGATGATTTTGTCCAGAATCTCTGTCGGTATCGTATCGATGAATGCAGATTGATGCTGAATATTCATATGAGACCTGAATATAAAGAGTTGCATGTCGTTACCTTTCCATGATTTCTGCAGTGCTTAAAGTGGTAGAAAGTAGAGAACGATGCTGGTAGATGCTGGTAGAGATGATGAAGAGCAGGCGACCGAGTGAGCCTGTGTGCCTCGCTCTGTTTGGGCTCCGACTGAAACATCACGTGCCATGTCGGGTATTTAAATTCTGCCACAGTGGCACCATACAGCGCCCCGATTCGCGTCAATGATACTCCTCGATGTCGCACAAATGAGAATCAGACGACCGGGACGCAAGTTGCCCATCAGGATGATAGGGACAAAAAAGACGAGCAGAACAGCTAAAGCACAAGTTCTACACCAAGACGAGCAAGAGACATTCTATATCGAGCATCAATAACGCGTTGGAGAGGATGTTTGCCGAGATCGTTGAGTCGTCGCCAGCATGACGCAGTTTGGAACAAACAGGGAGAGAACCTCGGATAAAATAGGTGCGAGTTCAAGAAAAGCCTAAATGTGCGGAGCGGAAGTCAAGTCGCGATTCTAGCTGGTGTAGTAAGTTCGACTTTTGTCGTTCCCAAATATGCCTTCGACATGGTCACAATGGAGCGACAAGAATCTCAAGACCAGCACACAGTAGTGATAACCGGACTAGAAGATTGAGAATAGAAGAAAACCGTGTGTCGGGGGTAGCTCAGCGTGCTGCAGAAGGGCCGTCGTATCAGTACTTTTTAAGGTCTTCGCACAGGAGAGCTTGAGGACGCTAAGAGTCACGCATCATCATGTCCTGACCTGAAAAGAAAGCGAAGAAAATAGAACACATGCAGGTTATCTTAGTCTCTATCCCTAGAACAGTAGGGACTGAAGGAGACTGCATGTAAAGAAAGGAAAGAGGAGAGGGATTGGGAAGCGAGAGGTTGTAAGATGCGTTGTACAAGAGAAATAGGAGTCTCCAACAACAATCTATGGGAAGGAAGGGGCGAGAGAGTGAACGCTCGACGCTACCACCAAAGGATGGAAAACGAAAATGAACGGATGCTACTAGTTCATAAATGAAGGGGAGAAGAGTGGAAACCGAGATCAAGGCTTTCATGTGGCGGCGCAGGATGCGCTTTCATACGACAGCCAGCGTAGTTTTCAGTCGTAGCCAGTCCAGAGGATGCTGATACTGCGGCCGGGACTGACAGTGGTAGGCTAGAACCGAGCATGCGAAGATTAGGTAGATCAAGGCTACTGAGGTCATCGAGTTGGGATGGTATTCGTGAAGAGCGATAGTAACGGCTGGAGAAAAGGGAGTGAGCCACGGTGCACATTCCTCGTTAGAGGTGATACTCGAGACAATCGAAAATCAAGTAGGGCTATACGATCTACAGACGCAAGATCACAAATCAATATGAATGTCTACGGAGTATGACTGAAGTAAACAATAAAATACGATGACAAGTGTCAGAAGGAGGATATATTGGAGACGAAGGGCGCAGGGGAGTGATCGTGGAGGACGGAGAACATGAGTGGAGAAAATGCCGCTACGAAAAAGGAAAAGCGTCGAGGGACGAGAATTGGACAGACCTTCATAAAGCTGATGATCTACAGATACAAGACGAACATTTTGATGTCGTCAGTACAGGCCCGGCAAGAAGATGAGACCAAGAGCAGAATGGAACAGGGCAAGCTACGGATGAGTAGGCCAGACATCGACTGCAGCTCCGAGGTCAACTGTAGTTTGTGGATCTGAGCAGTCAATCTACTTCCGTGATGCCCCAAGGCTACACCTATCAGAGGTCCATTCGTCCGCTTGTGCATGGAAGAACGATACCCACAACAGTTGAATCTAATGCCCGTTATTTACGACTACTGGTGGCGGAATCAACACACTTCCAGCAAACATAACGCTGTCATGGGAGGGTAGGTAGCGTCAGCCCCTCTCATACGTTCATCCATACATCTTCCATCTACACGCTCGACCGCGATCGCCTTCCCCCGTATCAAAGGACGATCCGTGAGAGCCCTTTAGCATCGTTTGCCCTACGGATCGGTCCGCACGGCTCACACAACAACAGCGAAACGACAAAAGCGACAAGTGCACCGGACACAGAATTCACAGACTGTGCCAGCCCAACATGAACTCTGGTCGCCGTATTCATCGAGATCATAGACTATGTCAAGCTGAAGGATCGACAATTGAAGCACGGCATGCACTTTAAACCACACAGATGCGGCCCAACATTGCATCCAGCACAAATGAACCGAGATTTCCCCTGGGAAGAATCGAAACATAATCTTCGTAACGCATGCACGTGTTGTGCGCATACGAAGCAGACACAAAGGTCAATGACGTGTCATAGCAGCATGAAGTCATCAAGCTACAGCCAGCTGCGTACGACAGGTGCTGATAGTGCATTCCACCGGTTCGAACCTCGAAGTGGAGAATGGATCTGTACAATCCGACATCTCTCGATGGATCACAGGGGCGCCACGGTACAGAGCGGCCGAGAAACAGCGCCAAACCAAGAGATAATGGCTCGACGAGAAGAGTCAGGATGGACAAACGAAAAAAAAAAAAAAAACGCAATAGACATGTCAACACTGTCTACCTCGGATCGACTCCCCACAACGCGACAAGCGCCGACACTCATAGTCAAAGTCTTGGGGCGACCTGCGGAGGCTGGATTGACGGTCTTCATCGTACTTTTTGATCAATCGTACGATGCCGAGGATGTATTCTGGCCAGCAGGATTCGAAATTCACCCTCCATTATGTAATGATTTTCTGGCCGGTCGAAGGTTGTAACGTACCGACGCCACATCAAGCCGTTCGCCCACAGGCTCACATTCTCTCAGTTCGACCTTCACCCGTGTTCTTCCTATCGACCTCCTCGTCTCGCTCCACTCTGGCATCATCATCATCCAAGACAGGGCCCTCTACAATCCGTCTCACTGTCCTCTCGTTTCCGACCCCCTCCAACGCCACTTTCGCTTCGAATCACGGCCTCGGATCCCTCGTCATTTCCGGTCCCAGATTTTCATCATCATCTGACCATCCTTCCGGCTATGCCTTTCGTCTGCTGTCCCACTTGCTCTGCGTACTCCCCTCTCCACAAGGGACTAAGAGGTAGTTTGATAGATAGAGGGCGGAAGGAGAACGAAGCGTGTGGAGCTGAAGCGGTCGGCAGATGTGCGTATGTTTTGATCTCTTTGGCGGGGTTGAGAAATTTATGGGCGGCCAAAGGCCTCGGACGCAGGTGGAAATCGGTTTTGACGTTGGTTTGGAGCGTTGAGCAGAGCTCGTACGTGGGGCGAATGGTAGCGCACAAAGATACGTATATCGAGCTGGAAAGCTCAGAGTCTTCACGGGAGCGGTTGATCTGCGAGAGTGACCGTGGGTGGGATATCGACGTCGGACTGGGCTACCAAAGAAAGGGAGTAGTATCAGAGCAATGAGACGAAGAATCTGTCCTAGACGAGCGCATTGGGCAGCTAGGATATGATGGTGTAATGGATGCGGAGGTGAGAGGCTCACGCGATGGGGTAGTGGCCCTTTACTAGGATGAGATCCGATGCGGCACCAGCTTGCGACCACCTGCACGTCGCATTGTGAGAGGACATGAAAGACGGTTCGCTGCTGAGAGACGAGGTGTAAACACACCTGAACAGAGACTATGCGGACTTTGACCGAAAACCGCTGCGAAGATGAGCATCGACATCTCCTTCATATCCAGAACATCGACCAGAGTGAGCTGTGTATCTGGCCATGAGATCATTTAGACCATTCTAGATCATCAAATCAACGCACCTCGAGTAGTTTGTATTCAGCAGTCATCTTCAACGGTCGTCTTCAAGGGATGTCCTCAGCACTCGAGCAGGTTCGTTGTGACGAAGATGAACGGGTAGAAATCTCTAGGTGATGAATCACGAGGATGGAATGTATATGGGCCCTGAGCCCTTGTCCGGATTGTGTGGTGAGGGTGGAAACCAACTTCAACTTTCTCGAGACCGACTGGTTGCCGATTGGCGTTGTAGCCCATTCGATTCCGGGAAATGCCGGGTGGCGTTTAATGTTGAACTTTTTGCTCTCCGAGTCTCTCGTTTACAAACACTCTCCTCCATCTCTTTCTCCCTTAGTCTTCACGCTTTACCTGCTTTCAATCTGAACCATGAACTAGACTGGCCGTGGTATTTCGAAAGATTCTAAATGACTGTTTCCGCCGAATCTTGACTTCGTCTTGACTTTTGTCTGGATCTTTCTTCTCTGTCACAGATAAGTACTTCGGTGGATCTCCGCCCATTCAAGTTGGCATGCGTACACAGGGACAGCCGCGAGTCGTTCTTCCTATGTAATGCGCCACTCGATGTAGTATCTCGATCTGTCTCAGAAATACATGCTCTACGTCTCATGGATCGCGTCGATTTGCTCTTCTCTGACATCCTTCAACGCCACAAACGAGGCCTTTGCCAGGAGGTGAGGTCGTTTACATGCCGGAATCGAGGCGGTCAATGCTCATGCAGCGAGTCAAAGTCTATTGTTACAGTAACTTGCCACGCAGAGCGTACTCGGCGATGCTGCCCACGATGTCGTCATCTTCTGGACTCACGCCACATAAATAGGAGCAAGAGATTTATAAACGAACAGACGCCACAGCATTAGGTGCATCCTTCTTTCTCTACTCCATTCACAAGCGTCCTACCACTCGACAAAGCGCTATTCTCTCTACATACACATGTCTTCAAACATTGCTCCAAGGACTCATTCCTTCAGAGGAGAGAACGCCATATACTCTGAGAAAGACACCTTGGTACAGGACGCCGTCGTGAACGGAGCATCCGTCGCAAAACCCTGTGCTCCTTCAACTACCTGTCGAGAACCTCTCCAAGACCGACTTCGAAGGGCTGTGTCACATCCCCGACCGGAGGTTGCCTCTTCCGGTACGTACATATCATGGGGTCAATAGACTCATCGACATTTTTGACGGCATTGTCGCACCATAGCTCTCGAGCGCATGGCAATCGACTCTGAGAACATGCGTGTCCGTATTTGTGCTTGTGACGGAAAAGCGGTCGCTGGAAAAGCGGCTGCTGTGGGAGCTGGTGTCAGTGCTGCAGTGGCTCCCGCGGCTGCTCCAGGAGTAGTCGGGTTAGTAGGGTTTGGGGGGAATGGGGTCGTTGCAGGTATGTGCTGTGACTGTAGATCTGATATTGGTAACCTAAAACATCTTACGTTGCCAAGGATCATGGGCGGCCGGGGTTCAAAGTGGTATAGGGAGCGTCGCTGCGGGTTCACCCTTCGCGGTAGCACAGAGTGTCGGTGCAGGCGGTGCACTACCCGTCGTAGGGATCGTTATAGCTGCAGCTGCCGGTGCAGTCGTCATCGGCGGAGTCAGTTACGGTGTCTATCTCGTTGTCAAGAGTCGTAAGAACGGGAAGAAGAATACGGAGGGGTATGTTGTGCTGTGTGAGAAGTGTGGAGGCATGAAGAGAAAGACGGGTTGATGAGGTAGATTAGAGCTCCGAGGTCTCGGTCATCTATCGCTCTTCCAGCTGCAGGCTTTGTTCACGAGTTACGTCCAAAGATTCTATATATTCATCGCCATATGTCTGCTGCTTTGACCATCTCGCTGTGAACTCGGGTACCATGGCTACTTTGGTTCTCTTTTTCTTCGCGGTGTACTCAATACACAGTAAGGAGAAGAAATTGGAGAAACCGAAAGCTCAAGGCTGAAGTGATGTCCGACGGTGACTCGGACTTGGGTTCTGCGTATTCAGACTCACCCCGAGTTAGCTGAGGAGAACAATGATCTCCGCATACACACAGCGAAAGTGAGAGTAAGCAGGGCCTTCGAACAACAAAATTACGAAGGGCGGATCGAGGGGCAGACATGCACGTGCAAACGAGAACGCGCTGCAGCAGGAGTAGCAAGTGCCTGAAGTTAGAGGTGGAGTGGAAGGGGGTCTATTCTCTGCAAATACACTTCAGCAAGATAAACAAAGTGGTACAAAGAGTTGAAATTAGTCACGCCAAATCAATAGGGAATGAAATACCGAGGGAGAGCAGATATCGTGACACAGAATAGAACCAGAAACTACGGACACGAGACATCTGGAACGCATATGTCGGGAAATGATAGAAACGTAGCCAATTTCGAGGTAATTGGACTAGGACCAGAGACAACTCAAAGCTCGCCGAAGACTACAAGAAAGCTTAACACCATTCAGCAGCGAGACGACGAAGAGCACTGGTCAGCACTGCAGTGAGAGCAAGCCTGTGATAGTCTGTCGGAATCTGTGAGGTGTACGCCCGTAGTTGTTACGTGTAGAGGGTGTCCTGCCAGTCGTCATCGCTGCAAAGGAGGAGATGGTCTGACTATCCCGGAGATACCACTTCTTCTACCGACAGTCCCTTTCCCGACCGCGATCTGCTCTTCTTTGCCCTTCGAGTATTCGTCCAAGTATGTCCGGAGAACGGAGATAGTCAGAAGAGGAATCTGCGAGAAGGACGAGAAGTAGTGTACTATGAACGTAGGGTGTTTCCTGCCAGTGAAAAGTTAGGAGGTTCATTCGTGCGTTAAACTGGATTTTGTGCGCATATATCGGGTCAGGCGTTTCGGAATCTGCACGCAAACGACAAACACAAGAGAGCGGAGCTGAGTTGCGTGTGAGCGCCGGACTAGATGTGACCTCCGATAGTGCAAACGGAAGTTGGAAGAGCGTCCATAGAGGGAGGAGTTCAGAAGAAGCAGAAGAGGGGATCTGACTGAGAACAGGCGAGGTTTTGCTCTTAGGTGAAGTGGTGGCGGCCAAAGGTGCGGACGTCGGAAAAGCTTGGATACGTGCAAAATCAGGCCCCTAAGAGGAGGATGAGGGAATAGGACCCGAGAGTGCTCGAGGTTGTGGGTGAGCCAGAGCGAACAGTTCGTCCGCCAAGCCGCATTCGTTTGCAGTGGAAGTCAAGTGGTAAGGGGGGTGGTGCAAGTGAAACGGAGTAGAGGCGTGGAACAACTTCACAAAGAGAGACATGGAGAACGAAGTCGCTCAACCGAATTATGAGTCTGTTGAGGTCTTCAAGAGGACAATGACGCGTGCAAAGGGGGGAACGCGTCCTATGAATCCGGGAAAGTGCTGAAGTGAAGTCACACTGGAGAGGTCATCGTATGAGACGACTTTAGGTATCAGAGTAATAACAGTGAGTCCAAGTACGATATTTCAAGACCGATGACCACGTGAAGCTTTGAACAAGAGGCGGTCGGGATCATCCGACACGCCAACAACTTCGTGCACGGATGTGGTACGTAATCACCCCATATCTGGAAGTTTGTGGTACGCTGTGGCGACCACCCCAGCCTTTGTCGTGGACCACACCTCTGATTGAGTACCGGCACTCACCCATTGCGTGCTGGTTCAAACTCCGCTGTGCCGCGTCTCGCTTACTCCCGTAGCCGAGTGGCTGCAGGCTGTCACTTACGAACATTGCAACACAACAAAGGCAGCAGTGTGCATAGTGACACTCAACATAGCTATGCCTAAATTTATCTAAAATAATTCTCTTTAATTTGGTCGCGACAGAATTTTCTAATTTCAACGTGAACGAGCTACACAATGGGCCATACGCTCATATCAAATCACTCGAGGAGAATGAAAAGATTCTGTCGCGACCAAACGAAGTGAATGTATGTCAAATAATATACTAGAATTTATAGGATTTACTGGTGGGGTGTACCTTGCCCTAGACGCACAAGGTCTCGTACATAGGTGCCACCCAGCCAAATCGGTGAGTCTTGCTGTGGCCCGCGTCGAAATGGGATGCGGCTTGCCCGGCAGCTTTCAAAGTCCGCCAATTTGCAATGGACATGGCGCTTGGTGGGAACGCCGGTACTCACTCTGATGTAAAGTAAAAAAACAAGGTCAGGAATAAGTCTGTATTCCGTGCTTCAATGCTTTTAGCATGATAACCGACAGGTCTGTCCCTCCAAACTTTGCAAAAGCAATGTGGCGTAGAATAACTCGATATTCGGATCACTCTGGCACGTGCCAGAACTTCCTGAAAAGGGAGAGATGACGTAGCACATCCAGGCATGATCCGGCGTGCTGGATTTCAATCCCGAACGCCTCTTGGAGTCGTCCATCCTGCGTTCCATGAAAAATACCGCTACTCTATGGCTGGCATCCCGACATTCGAGGAGATGCGAGTCCGCTTGCAGCCTGTCTGGGAAAGCGAGGACAATAAGTCGTATATCGCTTGGGCGGGTATATTCGGTTCAGTCGGGCGAGGACGCGCACACAAGGACTCAGATGTAGATGTCGTGCTGGTGATGAAGGAAGGTCTTACGGGCGAACCTCCATGGCTCGAGGACGGTGATTATTTTATTCGATTCTGTTGCTGGACACGACTTACGAATGTTCTTTTATGCGTACTAGATTTGAAGGAGGCATGTGGCCGCGACGTATCGTATATTCCTATCTGGCGAGAGCCGAAATATCCATGGATGTGGGGTCACGTCCGAATCGAAGCCCTCCTAGCCAGCCGAACCGTTTATGGAGACCCGAAGGGCGTAGAGTATCTCAAACGTGAAGGTCTGGAAAAGTTGGATCAAGCTGCAATCACGTACGACGCCGTTCTGGTCGAAGTGAAGAGACTCAGGAACTGCGTTTCGAATGCCCAGACTTATGAGGCGAGTTGTTACAGACCTTAGCTCAGGTCATCGCTCCCTACTAACCGTTTGGTATACCGCTCAATCGTCAGACTTTCGCACATTCGGCCTCTCAACATTTGCGTAGAGAATGTCTCGACGCCCTCAGGAATCTTCTTCCCTTGTTCGACATTCCAGAAGCTGATAGCGATCCAGTACGAACGATGGTCGTTTACGTGGCCTTTCAACAGGCGGATATCATACGCAAACTAATCGTCACCCATGACCACGAGGATCTGGTCCAGAACGGTGATTGCGCGGTATGGAGGGATATATGGGTACGTTTACAGCCTCGTCACCCAGCTATCACCTGTTGGGATATGGGCGTTTCATATGCGAGAAAGTATCTGGATCATATGTGGGCGAGCGCAAAGCTTGCTGAGTGTTTTGAGCGGGGTGACGTTCCAGATGATAGCATGTACGCCAATATTGTGCGATAGGCCATTTTACTTAAGCACTATGTGCATTTTCTCGCAGTCTCCGGAATGCATAGTGGCGAGCACCGTCACGGTAGGCTGTCCAGAGAGAAAAATATTTACCAATAACATGCCATGTTGCGGATATTGCGCGACAAGCTGTGTTGTTATTTTTCCAAAATATTTTCTGGAGCATTCCATACAATGAGAAGCATTGTGATACTTGGATCCTTATCAGAATTCTGATGAGGGGAGCCGTGCGAAGCATTAAGCACCGCTTGATCTATGCGTCGAGTGCACGCCTCTATAAAACGAGAGCATGAAATGTGTCTGCTTCGGAACATGCAATAGATCAACCAAGGTGTAAATTTCCAGACAGATCAGCGCCTTTAGCAGTGCATTGCAAGCTCTGAGTGCGAGTTTTACTGGAGGAGTTGTCGACTAGCATCGATACTGTGAGGAATGATTGCAAGAGCCGAGATGAGCCTAGAAGCATGGGTAAGAAGGCGGCGAACAAGCCTGAAGGAGGTAAGCCAAACAAAATCCAGACATCGCAGACATGTCGGCACGCAGTGATGGAAGGAAGATGAAAGGATATCGTCGGGGTACGACTGAACGCAAATGTATCCCTAGAGGTCAGGTTTGAACGACAGGCCCGAACTAGGCTGAACTCAGAGCCTTAGCGTTTCGAGGAGACGTGAACCCGCATGAAGTGGCAACGTAGCCGCTATAGTGAACCAGTGGCACCGAGTCCCGAGTCTTCCTGACCTACGTGAAGTCTCGAGTATGACATTATTTATCGGCAAAAAATCGAGCGCGGAAGTCCGGCAGTTCAGGGCGCAAGTCCTGGTCACGTGCTCACAGTCCGGCGGTAGGTCGAGCTCCTTAGTCCAAAGTCCCTGAGGTATATTGAAGGGCCAACTTCCAAGTCGCAAATATATTTATCTTTCCACCGAGGGGATCCTCAATTGGGAGGCTATATTTTGTGCATCTTTGGGAAGGTGACTCCGCGGCACTCCAGCATCTCCTGAACATTTTCAACTGGGGATGGACTCAGCACCACATCTCGGCTTACTTATTTATTAATTGACTGTTCTCCTGTGGTGCTGCGCAACTCCATTTTTGATCAGTACTTCCGGCAGAATTCACCCTTCGATAAGGAGATTTATTATACATTGAGTAGGACGCAGAGCGGAAAGATTCTGAGTGGCCCGCAGTGTACGGTCTGCCCTTCTGGCAATGCTTGGGCAACGCACACCGGGAGCCACTAGTTATCCTTGCCGTGATCTAAAATAGTTATAAGAGAAATAATAGTATGAGCGTAAGCCCTGTGTTACACTAGTTTCACAGACAATTGGAACTCTGCATTGCGCTGAGTGTAAAAAGAATGCAGAGCTCGAACTTGTGCCACACGCTCAACGCCACCCGGTTTAGGAGGCACCGAAGAGCCGGCATAACCCGAGGGTGAATTTCATATCGGACTGGGGACTTGGGAAGGAATGAAGGAAGGTGAGTGACGACTTCGTCAGAAATCTCCCAGACGTGGGTGTACAATTTCTTGCCGAAAAGTACCCTTATACTCGAGCGTGAATATGGTCAGGCTACATAGTTCTATGTCAGAGGATGACGCGATGACTCAGTTGGTCTAAGGCAATAAGATCCGGCAGCCAGTTTCGTCACAGTCGAGGCGATGAGGCCCAAGGCCCGATACAACCTACGCCTCTTCAACCTCATCCGTAACTCCGTCTCCTCTACCAAGCCTCACCCCACCCCGCTCACTGCAAACCCCCCTCAACATCCCCCTCACCTCTTCCTCGCTCATAAGTCCCATGTTTTGCTTCTCTCCCTGAACTTGCATGACCCCCTCCCTAAACACCTCCCACCCGTCCTCAACCCTCTCTCGCACATGCTCTATCAGAACATCCGCAGTCCTCTGGTCCTCGACGTAAATCCTTATTCTCGATATCGAATCTTTCAGAGCTGTCTGGCATCGGGGTACGAACTCTCTCTCGACAGACTTCAGGGGTGATTCATCCTTTTGACTTGCATCGGATGGGAGCATGCCGGACGAGGATGAGGAGGGCGGAGGCGAGGTGGTTGTGTTGTTGGGAAATGCGGAGGAGGATGAGGTGGAGGTGGAGGCAGGCAGGATGAGCGCGCTGGCCGTTCTTTGTGCGTGTGCAAGGTATGTGTAGAGTGGGTCCGTGACGTTCGACGAAACAAGCTCGATGAGGTCTTGACATGCTTTGCGGAGGTCGATATCGATTCCCTATAGAATGTTGAAATATTTGATATGTAAATCATGGGACGTGGACAATTTATTATGTGTAGAGGGAAAGAAAGAAATATCTAAACGTACATGTCTCGCATCAAGCATACTCTCCTGCCCCCTCGGCATCCCCAAACTCTCGAATAACGAATCTGGTATGAGCGCGGACGTACGATTCAACATCGACGTGAACGCGTCTAAACCAAGCAAACGGAAATAAGTCAAAAAATCAAGAAGAAAGTCATATAGCGCGAAACATACCAGTCATACCGCTCCCTCCAGCCATCCCTCCCACGCCTCCCACGCCTCCAGCCCCGTCCCCTACAAACCCGCTCGTATTCGTCCCACCAAACGCATACCCACCGCCGACGCCTTTCACCGCTGCCCCTGTCGCTCCACCCTCCACCTCCAAACTCTTCATCAGCCCCTCCAACCCCCGCGCCATCTCCTTCAATATCAACAAATGCCTCACAAGGAAAAGCACGGCATCCAGCTCTTTTCCTAGGCCTACTCGCGTTTCTGCCTCCCTCAAATCTGCTTCTGTGAGCGAAGTTCTGGTTTCGGTTGGCGATGAAGTTGGATGCGGCGGTGGTGGTTGTGTGGATTGAATTTGGGATTGTGACTTCGCGTGTGCCTTGGACGCTGAAGATTTGGAATGGGATTTCGAGTGCGAGTGTGAGTGTAATGAAGATTGTGATTTGATCACCTCCGAGGCGGAGATTAGCGATAGACGACAGAGGTTGAGTGACTCTTGCGCGAGGTCTGCGAAGATCGCTGGCTATTATGTCCGCATCACACAACGCCACACCACCACAGCCAAGGGGGGAAATCGTCAGCTCAGCCTTATCGTCCACACGCATCTCGACGGAAGAAGGAAGGAAGGAAACGACGAACCTGCACGAACTCAAACAACTGACTCAAAACCCACACCGTCTTCCTTACCGTCGGATACCACGTATTTACCCCTCTCCTCGTCGCTTCCGAAAGCTGGAAAATCTGGCTCAGGCCCAGCTCGATCGACTCGCTGTCTTTGTCTTTCACGATCAGGTTCGTATCGTGCGAGTCTAACGCCATGCAACGAAACGAGCGGTTAAGTAAATGAGGTTGAGGTGGAGGTTGACGAAGATAAAGAAAAACTAACCTCCGAGCTCACCTCTCGCCTTCATCAAAACCCCCGGCCAATCCAGCTCCTCCGTCCCAGCATTCCCATTCGGAACGAACCACCTAATCTCACTCTGCATCACGCTCTGCGCCTTGAACACCAACCTCGTCTGCGCATCCTGCAGAACCATCCTCAACAACCCGCTTATCCTCAATTCGCCCAATCCATTCTCCTTGCTGCTGCCCTTCCAACCCTCCGGAGGATCTGGCGCAATCTCAAGCGAGTCATCGTCAGATCCAGAGTCTGAGGCCGAGTGAGAGGTGGATGATTCCGCAGCGGTGATCGAAGGCCCGTCGAGCACCATGAGCGCCTGTAGTACGGTGCATACCTCACAGAGCGCCCCGAGCTTCTGTTCGTGTAGGATCCGAGGACGGAGATCGTCGTAGAGATAGTCGCAGAGGGATTCGAGGTAGGCGCTATAGACGTTTGTTTCGTGGTTATTTGGTCGGTTGGGTGTGTGGGTGAGTACGTTGGGTGCGTAAGAGTGTTCATAGAGTTCGGGAGTCGGTTGATTAGGGCAGTATGGCGAAGTCGCGTCGAGTCGATTCGTTTGAAAAGAGGGAGGAATAGTAGAACCGAAGGAAAGGGAGAATTGTTCGTGAACATCGAACCGAATAAGGAAACACGGAAAGATGAGGAAGGTCGAAAGAGTCAAATGAAAGAAGGTGAGACAGCACGAAATCGATCAGTCAAAGGAGACGACGAGAGTGTGAAGAAGGGCGGACAGAACAAAGAAGGAATAGGACGGAAGAAGAGAAACGCACTAAAGCTCCTCTTCCCCCGAATCAAAGAAGGACCGATAGAGCTCCCACTCGTCCGTGCAGAGCTGCTTCAAATAACTACATCCTGCTCTGGTCTGTCGGACCCATACATTCATCCATGCGTTCGTTCGTTAATCCATTCGTCAGTGCGTTATTGAAGAGCGTGTGTACGGTTTATGTGGGTTTCGAGGGTCGTTGAAAGTGGAGTGGCGCGTGTAGATGCGTTTGAAGATAATCATAATCAGCAACCTCCAACAACCCATCAGAATAGTTCCTAAATAGTAGACGAAGTCGCGAAGTGGACAATACGCAGGATAACAAAAGGGTAGTGATGAGGTGGATACAGCAAAAAAGACGTACGACCTCGACGAGCTCTCCCCTGCCCACTTCTAACCCTCTCACTTCCTCCACCAACCTCCTCACCACGATCCCTTTTCTCGCCGCAAACCATGCCGTGTGGCACTCCTAGACCATACACACAAACCACAAGTCAGTAAGCTTCAGTACGAACGCATTCCACAGTGAACACCCGACGGCCTAACCAAGAAGAGGTAGGCACATGATGAAGGGGTGTGGCGCCAACCAACGCTCCCAAATTATAAAAAGAGTTGGGTCAGGACTAATGGAGACGAAAACATACCTGTAATAAAGCCGAAAGTTGGTCAGGATGGGACGCTGCCCGTCGCTCGAGTTCGGAGAGGAGGGGAGCTAGTTGATGCGAGACGGATTGGAAGCGGGTGTAGAGGAGGTGTTGTTGTGCTGTCGAGGACACGTCCTGGCCGAAAACAACGATAGGTTATACGATCAGTGTCGGGCCAGGCATGGTAATCGGGTGCGAAGGGAAGAGAGAAGGAGAGGACAGGAGGAAGTTACAGAACGGTATGGTAGGACAGTGTGGCATAATCTAGTGTGGCGCAGGTATGATGGACATGTTATATGGTATCTAGAGGGAACTTACCTTCTCTGATAATCGCCGTGTAATATCCTGCGTGAGCGCGCGTAAAGATCCAACGAAAAACATCTTGATGAGTGTCATTGCACGGGTCATACACTGTTGGAACCGGAGGAGGTACAACTCTGCTTCGCGGAAGTGGCGCTACATTCGGACGACATCAGCAATAAAGACAAATCGAGGAGGGAGAAGGAGAGATTAGGAGAAAAGGAAACTGCACGTACGTGAGCCTTGAGAAAGTCGATGCACACGTCGACGCGTTCGACCATGTACAGAAAATCGGTCTGGAGGACAAGCGAATCGCCAGGATGGTTCAGCATCCTCGTCGCTTGCTCCAATTCCTGGAAATAATCCAGTCTCTGTCCGATAGCGTCCTGAAGTTCCACCAAGCGATCCTACACCAACCAATGAACCGCGTCAGCCCTCCACATCCGCCTGCCAAACTACTAGCGACTCACTCTCTCTTCCAACAACCTCTGGCAAGCTTCCTGCAAGCTCCTTCCACCTTCCTCCACACTCCTCCATCCCTTCAACATCTCCTCAACCTCCTCATCGACTTCTTCTATCCTTCCCACCAACATCTCACAAACGCCCAACCAATCCTCGACCCCTTTCAGATGTTCCCTGAAATGTGATTCCTGGCTATGCGCAACCGACCTATCGATGAGCGCGAACCAATCGTAGAACTGTTGCGGAGTTTGGATGGGCGCTGTGGGATGGAGGTGGGAGTATGGGTGTGGTGTGGAGGCTGTGGAGGTAGCAGAGGAGAGAGCGGGAAAGCGGGCGGAGGTGGAGATGGATGTTACGGAGGGAGGTATGCCGGGCGTTGAAGATCGCGATGGAGGTCCGAATTTGACAGAGCGGAGGGGCGTTGAAGCTCGAGAGCTGGCTTCTTCTACCGTAAACTATAGACCGTTGCCAGTTTGTGGCATCAGCTATCAAGGAGAGCGAGAAGGTGTCGCAAGAAAGACAAACCTTGAACGGCAACGAAGGTCTTTCGAGTGCAGCTTTTACTGCTGCTACGCTCGTGTTCTCGAGTTCTCCTAAAGGCGCCTTGGATTCCCATTCTTCGAGCGAAACGGACGGTTTGCTGCTCGATGGTTGTGGGCTGTTGGGCGAATGGAGGTGAGGTGGCGGGCCTCGCCGGTTCGACGGGCGCGTCGTCGTCATTCGCTTTTATGCTAGTTCTCTACAAGCTGTGGCCGGTACAATGGGTATTTTGATGATAATGGATTAGACGGTCTCAACAGGCGAAGGAATGGACGCAGTTGAACGTTGATGGTGACAAGGCGGCAGTGATGATGAAATACTCGCAGTGGACAATCTAATCTTATCGCCAGAGATGTGGCGCTCGCTTTTCCACGTTTCTCGATGAAGCGAGATCGCCCAACTCTCTCTCGTACCACCACCGTCAAGCCCCGTACCACTTTCTGACTCTGTCTGTGGACTTATCTGCGAGAGATTCACTGAGCCGGACACTATATCTTTTGATCTGGATATCCCTCACTGCCTGTACTACCCCGGGATGCATCTCTGTGTTTAAATCTATCGTTTACTTCCTCAGGCGACAGTGACTGTTTCCCTTGCTCGCTGTTTCCTGGACCTATAACATGGGCACCTACCCACGGTGGCAACATAACGAGGTTGGAGTAGATCTGTACTCCCGTTCCTCGCACCTAGGTTCTGTCAGCGCATGAATCTGAACAAGCTATGTAATATATCGTCTGTCCATCCGTCACTCGCGATTGTGGATCCCCGCGTTTGCGGACTAGAAAATCAGATCCTTGGGATTCCCCCGCCTGCCCCTCGACAGCAAGTAGACGATGCAATTGCTCTTATAGTCCCTGGACGTGGATCCAGTCGATGGCGACGTTCAATTTTCTCGCGTTCGCTTCATGGTCGGGCGTGTATGTTGATTTTTTCACTTCCTCTCAGAGTACGAGAGGCACTCCTGCGCCTGAAAGAGGGCTTCCTTCGCTTCCTTCATCGTCTCGAGGTCGGCTTCGCGCTGGCTCCGGTGAATATAGATGTTCGTCCTGCCCTTGCTGGAGAGGACATAGCCTTCCTACCGTCCCGAAACGGCCAACACAGCTGTCCCATGTAGCATTTCCAAGGAGCTTATGTGTACACCCAGATAGCGTTCATAACGGGGGATACTTACTACGCTCGATCCATGTCGATTATCATCCCATCTTTGAACAGGACGACTCGTACGCAATGCGTATACACCACCCTCGCGTATATTCTTCGATCTGTGGTTGGCTTTTGAGTGCTCGATCCTGACATTTTCATGTCCGGGGCAGTGTCCAGCCTTGCATCCTCCGCACTGTTTCTTGCATTGCTGAGGATTTCGCCCGATGGTGGGGAATAGCTAAATTTTCACAGAGGCGGCTTCTTCCAGCGTTCTGGTGCTTAATACCTAGGAGAAGGGTCACGTCTCAATGCCGTGAGGGCGGACACCGGACGCATTGGCCCTGGGCAGGTTCCTACCCAACCGCCCTGGTGAGGTGTCGCGGGCTGATAATGGAGGTAGGGGATGGAGATGAGGGCCACACGCCACAACCTTCCTTTTATATCCCAACTTGTCTCGCCCGCTAACCTCACCAGGACGGCTGGCATCACAGTCATTTCAAATTCGCGTAACCGACGTTTCGCGCGTGTCGAAACTGTTTCTTGCCTCGTTATTTTCGTAAATAGGTGTTTTGTGGTCTCGCCAGGTCGCGTCCGCCGTCCTCGCTCCCTGCGCGCGCTAAACACATCCAACAAATGAGATGAATAGATACACATTCAAGCTTTGCTCGATTCTTGCTTTCTCTGTTGACCAGTGTAGTATTTACAATATTAGTATTCAATATTGTGTACTCTACATAGCTCTCAATACATAAAAATCATGACCATGCACAATACTTCATCAGCTCAAACACATTGTACTACTCTAAGTCCGTCGACTTGGTACCCTTCGGTTTGCGAGCATGCTCGCCAAAGGTTTGCTGCCGTTCAGCTCCGAGCAAAGACCCACTCACGAGTGGTAGCTAAATTATAAGGCCTCTTACTGACTATTTAGATAATACTAAAGCAGTCAGTACTGAGCAGAGACGACACGTCAAAATAAGCATTATTGACCTTAGCGAACAGACGAGAACGGGGAGTGAACAAGTAGCATCCGCGAGCCAACAGGAATCGAAGAGCGCATGTCCCAAACGTTTGCTATTTCCTATTTTGGCGCTACACGCACTGCATGGACATCGAATTTTCCGAGAAGCCAACACGAAGAAGCAGTTTCGACACGCGCGAAACGTCGGTTACGCGAATTTGAAATGACTGTGATGCCAGCCGTCCTGGTGAGGTTAGCGGGCGAGACAAGTTGGGATATAAAAGGAAGGTTGTGGCGTGTGGCCCTCATCTCCATCCCCTACCTCCATTATCAGCCCGCGACACCTCACCAGGGCGGTTGGGTAGGAACCTGGGCCCTGGGGCAAGTCTTCAATACCGTTCACAGGGTACACCTTGTTCACCGGGCTATCCGGACACCTGGTGATGTTCTTACCAGTTAAGTTGAATCGATAACGATCGTGCCGTCGCGATATACAACTGTGTTATAATCTTCTCTGCATGGGACGCCACAGCATTCCGTGACGCCTACTGCTCAGACGATCTTGACTTGAGGGTCTTTACTTCAAGCAGCATTGTGTGTTTCACTGGTACAGTACCACTGAACACTTCTACCGATGCGATGTATCTCATGCGCTTCTTGAATTAGGACAACTGACTTCTACATGGTGACGTGAGTGGTCGATTAGCGGTCCTCATGAGATAGAAACGACGACAGAGAAATCGATGCGCGATGCTGTGCCCTAGAGAGGAGGTCGACCATCCTGGAGGTCTCTCATGTTGGGAGCACAGGGTCACTGCCCTACTAGGCGCATACAACAACTGCGGCACTCACTACTAGTACTCAGGCAGACCTCATCTCTCGACACGGCCTTCGGAAGCCAAGTCAGGTTATACTCTACAAGCAAACACGCCGCCTCCATGGTGAGTGATTGCTTTCCTAGTGCGATGATTGATCTCGCGGCGCGCCTTCTCCATGAACTTTCTCCATCATTTCGTGTCCACGGCCCTTCCAAACTCGGACAAGTCTCAATCGGAAGCGGTCGGAAACAAGCTATACAGCCGTGCGAGCTCGGTGTTCTCAGATACTTAAAGTCTAACGGATCACAAAAGGTAGACAGACAGACGGGACTGGATTTTCGCAGATGCAGGTCGAGTGAGTCCCCGACTGATGCCTGCTTAGTACGTTTCTGGATCCTTCGGGCACTGATTCGTTGTTGTTACAGGGCAAATACGCGCAACACCTTTCCAATACATCCACCTCCTCCTCCAAACCATGGATATATTCCGGCGTTCGGCCGGTCTTTCATGCTTGTCGTTCGTACCACGTCCGGCTGGTCCGAGGTGGGCGCTCAATCGTCGTCCGCTAAGTCTGCTGCCCCCTCAGACCAGGACGAATCTGTCGTCTGCCTTTACATCGAGCTCCAATCTGGCCTCGAAGCACTCTTCCATCTTTTGAGAGCCAAGTTCGAGGACGACGGTTACGAGCCTCGTCTCCTCCCAATATTCCCAGCGTCTTCGAGCACAAGTCCGGAATCCGGTGCGGAACCTAGTCCACATCCCTCGCGCATTCCAACAGACCTCGCCCTCTCTCTTGTCGATACTCGTATTTATTTCGACGATCTCACTAGCCCCGGCTCATTGCACGGTTTCCGCCGCCTCCCTCATACGTGCTCCCCAAATATAGACGCGCTCTACCCTGTAATCTGTGCAGCTACCCATTGGTATTACCATCTTCGGCGTCGGCCTGCAGATGCGAAGAGGAGTCTAACGAGAACGAGCATAGGAGAGAGTAAGGGAAAGGTGACTCTGGAAATGGTGGTGTTAGAGGCAGGTGAAGGATATCATCGGTCGCTCAATCCGCTGCTCTTTCCGGTAAAGAGCGTGGAAGTGGGTGTGAATGGTGGAAAGGACAGTAGTGGAGGTAGTCCGGGTAAAGAGAAAAGCCTCGAAGACGACACGTATGATCCAGAGACGGCAGGAACCTACAACCGTTTCCTGTTCATGGAGGTCGAGGCAGACGAGCTCACACTCTATGGACAAAAGATCGTCAACAATTCGGAGTACACCTTATTTCCTGCCTTATTTTACTTCGACAACAGTGAATTCAGCATCGGTACGCCCACGCAATACTTGTTACCGCCTACCTGTGTGCTAGGGTTGACTTCTCAATGCCGCACTTTCTCGTTTTATAGCAGAGTACTACCTCCCGCCGACAGCCACCTACACTTCTAGCCCAGACCCGCCTCTGATTGCAAACGGCGCTCTCACCATCGGCTACGGCACGAGCGATCTTTCGCCTCATGTCTACTTCCTTCTGCTCAATGAAGACCTCGATATCGGATAGTTGAAACTAATCCTCACCACGAAATACGTCGACCTGTCTCATATAGAACAGACGTCACCGTTCGAGGGAGCAAACGCGGCTCGGCTGGCTGCACTGAATAGTGGTACCAGGGGTGGTGATCCACGGCATTTGGTAGGGAGAGAAGAGAGGCGCAGATTGAAGAGTTCGTTTTGGGACGAGATCACCTATGTGCTTGTACAAAGGCGGCCCGTGGACGGAAGTAGGCCCACTCTGTGGAGGTGATGCTCTCTCTAGAAATAACGGGGTTTGAGGCAATTCGGGCGCACTTTACCTGTCGATGTTTAGAGCACTACTTTACGAGAGGGGAGGATGTACATAAAATGTGGCTCGTGACAAAGCAGGTGGCGCAAAAGAAGAAGAGGTGAGAGCCCGAAAGTGCGAAGCCAGAGCAAAACACAGTCAAATACAAAACGAAACCAAAAAAAAGTTGAGAATGACCATCGAGGAGGAGGGGTACTACACAACTTCGCATTAGTACTAACTCTGAGGTCGAGATCAAGAAGGAAAGACTTACTGAAGCAATTTGTATGGGAGCAACGACGAGGTCAAGCGTTACGGTCCGGAGAATAGCAACGGCCTCTGGATGGTGCGTTACGATTGCAACCACAGGTGGTGCGGCGCCGTAGGCGCCCCAAAAAATCATTAAATAACGCCTTTTTCGTAGCAACGGAGCCCTTGTTATGCGTCACGTAACGCTGTTCTTGCAACGGAACGGAGGGCGCGTTACGCGTTACGTTGCTCCCATACAAATCGTCTCAGTACATCAATCGTCCTCAGGCTTTCGATTGCGGAATGCCCAGAAGTCCTCCGCATCCGCGACCATAGGTGCCATGTTCTTCAGCAGCGACACCGTAGTCGGATCCCAGTGTTGATACATCTTCTCCCACCCCCTCGACGCAGAAAGCAACGCGTCCCAGATCACTTGATCTTGCTTGGCAATGACTGCAAGCACCTCTGGGCTTAGACCCGCGATCCAAATATCGTAAGACGTGAAGTTGCCCTGTTTCTGAGTTTCAACGTAGCGAATGGCGGGGCGTGCGGCCGCCAAAGCGAAAACGACTCGTATGATCGGCGTTTCAAGCGTCTTCTTAGGACCGATAAAGCCCATCGAGACGGGATCCATCTTGTCGAAAAGTAAGGGTTCGACTGTTGCAGTGTAGTGTGTGTCGTTTTTGACCTGGATGATAAACAAACCTTTCGTGCTTTGAAACACCACCGCGTTCCCACGGACCGTGATTAACGCCGCGTCGTATCCGCCTTGACTGTTAGCAGCCATTATCGCCGCGCATCGGGCAATGAATCCCTTGGTGGTTTCCTCGTCGAGGTTGCCCTGCTGTTGCCGCTTCACAAAGTGGTTGAAGTGAAGATTGACTTCGGCAAACGCTTTTTCGAGCGTGACGTTCTTATCGTTTGAATCTCTATAAACGGATGGCTTGATCCTCAGGACGTCGCAGAAGCGCCCACTTTCCTTGGACGGCCTGGTAACGAGCGCCTCCAGGAATGGAACGACGCCAAAAACACCGTCCTGGATGCGCAGCTTTTGCTGGCTGACGACGCGGTCCCGAGCCATGGTGAGAGCGAGCAGGGCGACGAGCTCACCACGATCGCCCTGGTGCACAGAAAAGCCTGTAAGGACGCGAGAAAGAGCCGCTGGAGCGTGGAATCGGATTCTGCTGTTGTTCATGAGGAGGTAGGCGCCTTCTGAGACGATCGGCTCCGATGGGTTGAGCGACGTAAATTTACGGAAAGACTCGTCGACCGACAGGCAAACGCGCATGTGATTGGCGATTTGATCCCGCTCGTCTTTGGTCGATTCAGTCGAGCTGGACGACATGAACTCGATAGGCAGGCGGGCGGATAAACATGCTAGTTCCTGTTTGGGACTAAGCTCAGAGGGCCAAGATGCGAGGTCAAATTTGATCAGCTTTTTGGCCGCAAACTCGACCAGAGACTTCAGAAGCTCTTCGCGCTCCATTTCTTCAAGCCGCAGGCCTGCTGCGTAACGAGAAGCAAAGCTACGGGCACCATGAGGTTGACGAACGAAAATTCATAAGGAGATACTCACAGAGGACGACCAAGACGAGCTTTATAAGCTAGAGAAGACACATATGATAAATCCATTTGATCCGTGGGGAAGGGGGCGGCGCACTGATCCCAGCCAAGAGCACAGAATGGCGGGATTAACACGAGCTCTCCGCTCTGCAACCGATCAGAATCGTCGTCTTCTTTAGGCAAAACAAACTGGGTGATCTTGCCGGTGGTGGAGAGGAAAATGGCGAACAGAGGCAAGTCGCGGCAGGACCGCAGAATCTTGCGAAGATGAGAGAATGGGGATAAGATTGTCGGAGCAGTCGGTTGCGCGTCGGGTCTGGAGAGTGAATGAGCTTCGTCGAAAGCCAAGTAGACGATAGGAGCGTCTAGCTTCTTGTTTGAAAAGCCCCAATGGCGGATTAGGGACTCTGCCTTCGCTACGACAGGACGATCCGCTGTCAAAGTGCGAATCGAATTCCTCGTTAGAACGGCATTGGGGACCCAACGAGAAGCCCATTTACCTGCGCTGGCGAACTGTATCTGAACGGGGGAGGATCCTCTCTTCATGAGCGTGAGCGATGAGCGAGCTTTGAGCGCACGAGCGGCATCGTCGGACAGCTACAATATGAGAGGTCAGCCACGCCTCCAGGTGAGAGCAGATTTGTACTAAACCACCTGTTGAGCCCGATTGACGACATCTTCGTAGAATTTCACGCGGTAGTCGCCTTGAGCGCGCACTGTTTGGCCCTCGGTCATCATTTCCCGAAACCACGCAGCGCCTTCGTTACGAAGCCAAGCAAGTCTGGTTTCGGGGCTATCACCTTGGCCAAGCATGGCAGCCACGATAACCTTCTCGCATTTCTCGAGCAGCGCGAACATGAAGGCGTTCATGTGAGCCCATAGTAAATCCGGGCTCATAGAGCTGAGGTATCCGGGCTCAAGAAAGTCGTACACCCGTTCGTCGGAAGCAGGAAAGCCTGGAGCATAACAACATTAGTGCGCCATTGCGAGCGGACAATGTTGGGCGTGCGCACCTCCAGCTCTAGGTTTCCTGAGATTTATCGGTATGACAAAATCGTGCTTGCTGAACTCGTCGACTGTTTTCGACTTTCCTGTTCCAGTTGATTGAACGATGGCGCAGTGAGGCGCATAAGAGTTGGTGATGCTCGTCTGATAGTGCATGATGTGGCTTTTCAGCGCGACATGAGCGCGGCCTGCGAAGCGTTGCTTCCAGGAATTTTCCGTCGCTGGAGACGACGTATTATTGAACGAGCAGAAGACGCAATAGCAGTATCGCCACTGACCTTTTACGCTCGCCTCGTATAGATAGTCGCCTGGCTTGCCTTGGATATTGGACATGTCGTGCGGAATTTCACGCCTGAGAAGCGCTGCAACTCCGTGAGATGTAGCGACGATGACGCGATCAATTGCTGGGATCCTAGTACTCACCCAAGCGCCGTATATCCTTAAAACCTGCACCATTGACCCACGCCCTATCCACCATCTCCCCTAGCTCAGGATACTCCTCTATCAGCCCTCTAGCTTCCTGGAAGGTGAGTTCCGAAAGGCCCTCTTGTATGCCGGTTTGGCATATTGAGCACAAGACGGACATGCGACTCGCGGTATGAATAAGATGCTGTCCGGGTACGATTATTTTGTGAGCAAGCAATCCTTCGATTCCGAGTTCTCCCATAACGGCCTGATCTAATCGTTTGTGGCCCTCATCGGTGATGGTGTCGTGCGTGATGAATCGCAGATGTTGATCAGCATCGGATGCCTGAGACACCGCATCATTCGCATTCGAAGCATCAGAGAGGATGTCAGGTTGCGATTCGTCGCTGGATCGGGTGTCGGACATTGACTGAAACGGTCTGATTATGAGGAAAGACGAGAAAGATACAGAGCAGTTTAGTCCGCACGAGCGAAGCCAGACGTCAGGACGCAAGGAAGAGGCTCAGGATAGTCGGAACATCGGGTTTCGAACATGGTGTCAAGACTTCGGAATATCCCGCGCGTCATGCCACCGCCACAATGCAAATCCAAGCTGTGTCATCTTTCCACTTCAACCATGCCCAGTGAAAAGTCGGAAAATTTACTGTGAGTAAAGGCGATTCATTATGATCCAAAATGATCGTATCCACTGCGAGGCTTTTCCCCTCTTCCCTGACCTCGCTCGTTGCTCGTTCGTCTTCTAGCAGTTATCATGGCGTCGCTGAAAGATGCAAGCTGTCGACACCATCACGGGCGACTCAGAATGGATCATAAATGCCTTTGAGAATTTCGCGTCTCGGCTGGACGCTGAAGATGCTGACTTCTGAGCCTCGACACTTCGCACATATTACGGACGTGACTCTCATCCGGGAGACGCCTATGGTCGTCGCCCCACCCTCGTCTTCAGTTCGGCCTGGTGGGTCTTTCACTCTCCATTCTGTCTGTCTATCTCTCACCTCCGGTCATTCCGTTTGTAAAGGCTTCGTCGGCTGTCTTTCTATTGATGGTGAGTAGGTTTTGCTGGAGGTGTTCAACGGGAAGACGAATGGGAGTTTGGCGTTTCATATAGATCGTGACAGATTAGAGTGTGCTGCAAACAGTTGGAATATAATGGCGAGTCTGATACTGACGACGAAGAATTTCTTACAGAGGAACTCGGCACGATTTCGCCGCCAATCCTAAAATTGCAATCTGAGGAAGGCACTCGATGCGGCCGCCCGTGCTTTTCTCTGTTGAACTGCGTGTCCAACTTGAAGTACTCAGTGTCCTCGACGGCAAACTCGGAAAACAAAGTTACAATTATTATATACAAGTCTGATATTACAACAGTATACAAAGCTCAGCCACGCATCAAACCTCAGAGTGAACGCGAACGATCCATACGCAGACGGGCAGGATAGTGCAAAACACGACACGCTAGGTATAGGTAACGAATTCGACTTATCTCTAATATCTGACCGGCCAACCGACCACTTGCAAATGAAACTCAACCACGGTGACCACGTATTTCGACGGGTGCACGAACACAAGCGAACGAACGGACAAACGCGACACCAAAGGACTACTATTACACAGACGAGTGAGTGAATGAGCTAACGAAACGAGGAAAGAGTAGGTACGTATTGGAATAAAATGGAGAACGAGTGCAGGCAGACCGGACAGACAGGCGAACGGACGGTTGGGAGAAGGACTGAGTTATGTACAATATTGAGTGGAATGTGACGGAATGGATGGTAGAGATAGAGGAGAAAAAAAGGAGACGGCGACGAAGATAGCGACGAGAATCATATCGTATCGTATTGTACTGATTGCGACAACAACGGTGCGGTAATGGGCCACATACGCGTGGATGGATGGATGGATGGATGAACGAATGAATATATGGGAGAGTAGTAATATGCACATGTCAAAACAAGAGAAAGGAGATTCAGACGAGTCGAGAGTGAGAGTGAAAGAAACGAAGAAGCGTGTGGAACATGGATAATACAACCGAGGAGGGCAACGGACTCGGATAGCGTGCAGTGTGGAGGAAATGAGGATGCATGGATGATTAGAAACAAATGAAATAGTGATCAAGGACGAGACCGAGGGGGAACCGATGGGAAGACGATGATGAGGGAAGCACGGCACTGATGAGGACCGAGCGAGCCACACGGGGAATGGAAATTAGATGTTAAGGAGAGGCAAAGTCCAGCCGAGCATAGAGCAGAACAGAACGGACCGAGAATATACACGAGATCGGAATGAAATAAGGACAGCTTAAACACAATAGGGGCGGTGATGAATCCGGGATGCTCCTCACGAGGATGAGGAGCGTAGAGTAGATGGAGTCAACACGAGAAACAACGAGAACCAGGACAAGCACACAACGCCGCGAAAGAGAGAAAGATAGGAGACCGAAATGCACACAAACCCAAGAGAATACAAGATGAACAACGCGGAGAATCAGTCATCGCTGACTGACTCCCGCGGCACGGCGAACGACTACCATCCCGAATAATGGTAATCGTCCGCCCAACTCCGATTCCTCGCCATCGCCTTCTTCTTCCTCTCATTATATTCCTTCTCCGTCTGCTCATCCATACCGCCAGCCGCATCCCCGTTCGCTCTCGCCTTCCCCTTATCCTGCCCCTGCCCCTGCTGACCTTGACCTTCCCGCTTCTGCCCCGGCTGACTAGTCGTCGAAGTCAACGGCCTCAACCCACTCCCAAGCGCCTGACCGGTCATCCCCATCATCCCACCAGCCGTACTCATACTCCTCTTCGTCAACCCGCCCACCTGCGGCTTATTCACCTGACGCTCCCACAACAAATTCCGCCTCACGCTCTCACTAATCTCCGTACTCATCATCTGTCTCCTCGTCGTTCTCGGCGTACTAGGCGCCGCAGCCGTCGTGGGGAGATTCCACGGATGGTTCAACGGAATCGGGGCCGTGGCGACACTGGGTAACGTAGGACGAGTAGCCATAGGAGGATCGGAAGGATGAGGAGGTTTGGAGGTGGAAGGAGTGGGACGATCAGAGTGTCGACGGCGGAAATTGTTATCGGCAGCGAGGGCGGCGAGTTTTTCGTGTGCGTGGGAACGGGAAAGGTTCGAAGGTGATTCGGCGTCCGTCTCAGAATCGGAATCCATCTCTTGATCCTGTGGGCGACCCTTCGGCTGATAACGACCCTTACCACCGTTGGCGTTATGTCGGTCGTTGTTGGGCGAAGCACCGGTACCATTCGTCTTCGGGGCCTGGGCGGTGACCTGAGCAGCGACAGGAAGCGCGACTGCCGATTTGCTCGTCGACAACGTGGGCATCGCCATCGAAGGCCTCGATGGACCTGCCTGGTTCTGACCCTGCGCCTGCCCCATAGTCATCATCATCCTCCCTAACCCGCTCGCCGACGACATGTCATGCGAAGACATAACCCTCACCGGGTGATTCTCCGGGAACAAGCTCGGATCCGGGTTCAGTAACGCGCTCAAGAAGCCGGAGTGCGTCCTGTTGAGGTTCGAATACGACCGCTTCGGCTGCTTCGCGAACATCTCGCGCTCCCGTTCAACCTGAAGGAGCCTCTCTCGGACCTGAGCCTCCTCGAGTTTCTGCGCCGTCGTTTTCTTAGAGTTATTGAGATTGCCGTGATTACGTTTGGTATTGGTGGGATGAGTGGTGTCGTCGGCGGACATGTCTTCGGAAGCCCAGGAGCCGGAGTCGTCTTCCGAGTCATCGTCTGTGGTTTCGTATTCGTCGGAACTGTGGGTGACGACGATGCCACGGCGTTGCTGCTGGGGGTGTGGCTGACGAGTAGAGTTGGCTGGAGCAGCCGGGGGAGCTGGTGTCTTGGATTGCGTCGCAGTACCACGCGAAGAAGGTATTGGCGGTGGAGGCATCGCAAGAGCATCGTTCTCGGCAGCCGTAATGCTTGTCGTAACCTTCGAGGAACCTCGTTCTGGGGCCGACGTCGTCTTCGTCAGAGGCGGTGGGAGCGCGTTTGTCGGCTCAGGAGGAACGGGCTGAAGAGGTTGTAACGGCGCCGATGGATTAGACCTCGTCGAAGTGGGGCTCTTCGTCTTCTCCTTGGACTCCTCTCCCCTCTCCGGCGGACTCGTCGACTCGGTCTTCCTCGATGCGCTACTTCCCACACTCCCGACATTAAACGTCGCCCTCCCCTTCGACTCCCCGCCTCCCGCGGCCTTCCTCTGCACCAACGGATGTTGCCCGTGTCGAGCAGTAGCGAAGCGATGCATCGGGGGACGTGCGGGTGCGTGTCTCACTGCGCCGATAGCTGATTCCTTTCCTCGCTTGGTGCCTACGCCCGTCGTATGTGAGCGCTGAGGTCTTCGGGACGAAGAGTTGATGCTACCTCGGGTAACGTTGGAGTTTATCGAGCTCGGTTGTGGCTGGGGTTGTGGTTCGGGATGAGATGGGGATTTAGGCTGGGATTGGGACTGAGACTGCCGGGCGGACGAGGGTAGTGTTGACTGTGGAGGTGCGAGAGGGAGGGGTTCCGGTTCCGGGTGAGACGAACGACGACGATCCTGCTCCTCCTTCTCCCTCTCCTTCTCTCTCTCACGTTCCCTCTCGCGCTCCTTTTCCCTCTCCAACTCTAGCCTTCTCTGCTTCTCGTTCTCGATATCCATCTCCCTTTCCCTCTCCGCCTCTCGTTCTCGTTCTCTCTCCCGTTCCGACCGTCCTGTACTCCCCGTCATCCCGGTCCTATCCGTCGTGGTCGTCGTAACCGACGTCCCCCCCAAACTCGCCCGCTCAGGTGACGGCGACTCCGCCTGTTGCAGGAAGAACCTCCTGTCCGCAGGTCTCAGCGTAGCGTTCGCCGTCGCCGTCGTGTCCTCGATCGCAGTCCTTCCACCAGCCCCGATCATCCCAAGCCCTGTACCTGTACCTGCCCCTCTCTCGATCGATCCCAACGCCCTCGGCTTCGCTTTCAAGCTCAAGCTCAGGCTCAAAGGTGGTGGTGGTGGCGCGAAGCCACTCGATTTCGAGCTCGACAACAACCCGTTCGCACGTGAAACCGCCTGCGCTGATCGATTGGGCGACGGAACCGGAACCAACGGAGGTTGAGGATTGGCCAAGGGAAGGCTCGGGTTCGACGGCGGCGCGGGATTGGACGAAGAGGGGCCAAGCGCGGGAGCGTTCGGAGAAACGGGGGTCGGGAAGGAAGTGATGCCGGAGCCGGTTCCGATTCCGAGTTCAGGTGATGGTCCGAGTGCGCATGTGGGTCCGCGTTGATCGCTCGAAATAGAATGAGGACTTGGGTTTGCAGCACCGTTGGAACTGCTCAATTTCGAGTTTGATGGCGCGGCAGCACGCTGGGATTGCGAATGAGAGTGCGACGTGGTGGATGGAGTCGCGGAGGCCGATGAGTCGATGATAGACGAAGATGGGTTCCAGCCCGAGACCGGACCTGAGCCTGATGATGGGTGCGAAGGCTGGGAAGGATGCGACGGATGCGCTGAGCGCGTCGAGTGGGAAGGGTACAAAGGTGTGTGGGCGAGGGTGGGGGCAGGGCGAACGGAGTTGGAGACACGTGGAGGAGGAAGCAAGTGAGGCTGCGCCTGAGACTGAGGCTGTGGGTGTCGGAGTGTTGGAGGGCTCCCCTTGGCAGGATGGATCGGGTTAGAGTGTGGGTTGAAATGAGTGGAGGGCGAAGGAGGTGCTGGCGTAGCGGGAGGTGTAGGATGTGGCGTAGGGTTCACGACGACTACGCGGGGGAAGAGGGACGATGTGGATATAGAGTTCGATCCGGAGGGAGGAGTGGATGGAGCATGCGGGGATTGCGGATGTGAGAGTAGCATGCCGGGAAGGGGGGATACGACAACGCAGGTGGAATCGGGTCGTGGCGGTATTGAGGACGCGTCGCAGGCATGCCTGTCCTGGTGATTGCGCCCGACTAGCTTGTTGTCCGGGAGCATGTCGACGATGATGCGGCCGACGGATGAGCTGGACTTAGAACGGATGCTCGATGGGCGATAGCTCGATGCGGGAGAGACCGAGAGTCGATGGTCGATCTCGGAGAATGACGCGCCGGCGCGTCCATTCGGCGAGGAAGGCGAGGGGACGCGCTTGGTGGAGGTAGAGGTGAGGTATGGACCTGGCAAAGAGCACAATGAAGACGGGAACCGAAGAAAGATACGAAATGGATGGCACTCACCATCGTAGTAACGGGCCTCGTCCTGCTGAGATATGGGAGACAACGGTGTCTCGAGACCGTTGACGCTATGGTCGATAGGTTCGGGGGACAGACTCCGGGACGAAGGCAGAGAGGAACGATACTGAGAGACTTCGCGATACCAGAGGCGCCAGGAGATGTTCTCAAGGCGTTCTCCTTCTTGCAACGACTCTTTGCATTTCGTGAAGACTTTTCGAGTAAATCGAATGAGTATCACATGGAAAGAAAAACAAAGAAAGGTAAGAAGAACTCACTATGCCAGAGTCCGGAAAGCGCTTCACCTCCGTCGAGGTCTTTCACGACATCAGCCGCGACAGAGAGCACGGGCGAGGGGAACGACACGAGCATCGAACTCGATACCAAGTTGTGGTAATAGAATTACAGCGACGAAACGCAAAAAAAAAGAGAATCGGAAAAAGAGTAGATCCCGACGAGTGGGGTGCCGCAGAGGGCTCGAGAGTCCGTCGTCGGTGGTCGGTGAGACGCGAGCCTTGGGATGCTTCAAAGAGCGCTCGAAAAGGGGATGAGAAAAGCCAGTGCTCCCGACGTTGATCGTCGTCGTCGTCGTGGTTGACGTCGAGCAAAAGGCGGGCGGTCGACGGTTTGGCTGTCGTCCAGCTGTTGGCGGTTCGAGCACGAGCGACGAACGAAAGTAAAGCCCAGCCCACGCCAGCCCCCTGACTTCCGGCCCGCGATCACCGACCCAATCCGACCTTACGCCGATCCACGGCCATCCCCGGTCATTCATTCTCCGCATTATCCCCAACCCGACAACTCATCTCCGCCACCCTTCCCCAGTCCTTCCCCACTGGAGTCTCCATTCGCGCCACAAAGCTCTCCATCCTCTCTAGATCTCCTCTTTGTTCTCCACACTCAGAGCCCCGCGTCGCTTGTTACCCCAGCTTCACACTGCTGCAGCGCCTGTCGTAGTGTCCTTTGTCACCTGATCTTTCCCCAACGCTCGGAACTGCATCAACTTGCCCTCCGCCCTTCATGGGGAAGAACCCGTCAACGAGCTCGGTCACACGCCCACTCTCACTCGCACAGTTGTCACCGCTCCTGATCCAAACTTGTGTGCACGTTTCAGGCATCGATATTCTGTTCCTCGCCGTTTCAACCGCAATAATTCGTGGCGATACTTTTTCTCGCCTTCGCACTCTCTCCGGCCTCTTCTTGTTCTCTTTTCGGGAAGTACTGGGCGTCACTGTATCTTCTCCGACTTCGAATGAACTTCTAATTTTCTAACTGTTCACGAAGAAACCCCGGACCCTTTACCTCTCTGATCCGGTCTTCCACTAAGCGGATCGACTGCGATCTCTTCGACCCTCCACAGTCGGAGGCTTTAGCTGTCGAGTCCCATGGTCGACGGAACTGTTGACGGCCGTTGCAGAGCCCCCTTCTCATCCAACTTTTCGACCTCCGAGACCATCTGACCCCACACCTCCGACCACATCCGGCTTCTCTGCTTCCGCTGGGCCTTTGCCTTCTTTCTCTATTTTCCCCGCCCTTCGTGGAAATCTCGGGCTGTGTCTCCATCCGAGCCCCTTGTCACAGCGTCTCTTTGTTCCAAATCCGTATGCGCCCTTTTGCGCGTTCTCGGTTCTGATTGGCTAGCATTGAATACCGACCACCCGCTGACCCGCCACGGGCGTTTCGACCTCTGGGTTCACTGGAATGGCTCAAAACGTCCACAAACGTTTGAAATGTATGTACAAAGACCTCAATCTGCATGGGTTTACGAACGGGACGATTCGGAACGCCACAGCACCCACTTGGGTTGCGTGGCCAATAACGTCCGTTTGCGAAGCGTGGGCCAACGACTGGAACCGCGTTTTGCATCACCGGGTGTCACCATGCCTATTACTGTACCCTTATACGCATCGTTCCTTATGTTATGCAATCCTCACGAAGACGAAGCTTAACGCTTTTTTCAGCGTCTCCTGACCAGCATTGCTCCTCGGACACGCAGGCGCTCCGCTCTGGCTTTTGGAATGCGGGGATGGCCGGTGTCGGACGTTGCGTGAGGGTGATGTTATGGATGCATATGATGGCACGGTCTGGGGCACCGGCGATCCTTTTCTTGTCATCTTGTAGGCTTTGCCGAGGTCAGTTGACGGTTGTCCTCGTCGAGTGCGGTCTTCATTTGACCTCGTTCACTCCCGTGGGTTTTTATGGAATTTTGCGCTGGATCTATACCTGCCGTTCGTTCGTGCGTACGAGCGCTGATTTGTGCTGATTTGAGTTCACCCCTCGAATTATGCACAAACTGTCGTTCCTTTTCTGCATCATGTTTTCGCCGCCAGCTTTGCTATCAGCATCAGTACGTAGGTGAACTTGGCGCATTCGGGGCGGAGCACCAAAAGGACGAGCTGCGGAGGGCATGTTCCTCCTCCTGACGATCCTCGAAGCTCAGAAGACCCTGGGCCTCCGTCATCCCTTTCTTCTTGCCCTCCCGTCACTTCGCGTCATCCGTTACGGTATGCATGTCATACGATATTGTACTGCGATGCAGCTTGCCCGCAATCACCGTGTATACTGTCGTCTGGTGACGCATAACGATGCTTGCGGGTGTTCGTCTGAACTTGAAGAGCCACTGTCTAAGCCAGAGATCACTAGTCATCACGCTATCACGCCGCTCTGCAGCTCGGTACTTGACGTTCGAAGTCTCTGCTTATGTATTTCATGCTCCCACTGGCAGTCCGTCTTCATTTCACGATCTCCAGCTGATTGTCCTGGTGTCGTTCGCTACGCTACGTACACTCTTGACCGTAATCAGTATCCCCGTCGCGTTGCGTCAGGGTGTATATTGTTTCAGAGTCTTACACGCCCACGCTGAAACAGCGGAGAATCGATAGGACGTCGATGATGCTGGACCAGGACGTATAGATGTTACTAGCTGGTGATTTAGTTTGCGCAAGTTTCTCCTTGCTTACTACCCATTTCGGAGTTGTATACGAGAATATGGGAACTTGACAGAACGCGTCAGACTCATGTTGTGCATTGTGTTCCGTCCGTCAAGCATCGAGTACTGGTGCAAAAAATATGTGTCGTTTTGGGTCTTTTGTTGACGAGGAGGCACGATAGGATGCTGTCTATTTTGCTCTGTGGTGTGCACTTGTGACGAATAGAACTCACAAACGGTGTGGAACTGGATGACGAGTTCTGCTTGGAGGATTAGCACAGGTTCTGTTTGATGCTTAAGCTCCCCTCCTGTCTCCAGATTTATCTCTTCGGCTCGCTCCGTGAGAGACAACTCGAAGCGCGGCACCGTTATAACAGTGAACGATCATCAGGTGATAACGGTTGGTCAAAGCCTACGCAGCACCAAACATTTTGTCCGGCCATCATTTTTGATCACGTCTCTATACCCAGCTGGGCTTGTGCTGTTCGCTTGATCATCCGAACTTGATTTCTGTTGCTTGACCAAGGATGAAGAAATGGACAGGAGCAAGGTGTGCAAGCCTATCGCGACTACTAGAGCGCTTCCATATACGCATCGCGGGCCACAGCCCCACCCATCGTGATGCCACGTCGCCCGTTATCCAGAGAACTACGCTAAATGATCGTGACGCCCAACATAGGTCACCCGTCTCCCTAATCCTTACTCTTATCTCCCATCAACTGCTCTCTCACCAACATGGATACTGGTATCGACAAACCTCACATGAAGACATATGCAAACCCTAAGATACTGCCCGAGCCATATCGACGCGATTTGTAGCTTATGTTGCCGCACGGCATCCGTCTACGCTGGTGCTAAACGTTTCGACACTGATGTCAAAGGCAGACGAGTAAGCTAAGGACTGTGATCCTGTTATTTAACTCGGTGTCAATGTGGCGTCTGAACATGGGTCAGATTCGAGAATCTCATGCTTAGGATAGCGTCGCCTAGCTACCTGCGTCCCGATGCTACGTAGTAGCATCGCTTTTTTCGACGGAGCGCCTAACGGGGCCCCCATACCCTTGTGAGCATCTTCATTTGAGAGACCCCCCAAAAAAGGGCTCTCCGAGGCACACACTTAGCACATGCACAAACGAACTTAACTAGCAAACAAACTTACTGTACTCGGACCCCGCAAGAAACGAACTTACTGAGAGAAACGAACTTAAGCCTAGAAACGAACTTACAGTGAGAAACGAAACTAACACAAGAAACGAACCTATGATGAGAAACGAACTTACGCTGAGAAACGAACTTACTGTAGGAAACGAACTTACGGTGAGAAACGAAACTAACGCAAGAAACAAACCTACGATGAGAAACAAACTTACTGCACAAAACGAACTTACTGCACGAAACGAACTTACGCTGAGAAACGAACTTACGCCGAGAAACGAACTTACGCCGAGAAACGAACTTACTGAGAAACGAACTTACGCTGAGAAACGAACTTACGCTGAGAAACGAACTTACGCTGAGAAACGAACTTAAGTGTATACACAATGCTAGTTCCAAGTGAAGAACAAACTTACTTTAGTCTACGCGTATACAAAAGTAAGTACGCTCATCCGACATGAAGAAACGCACTTAACGGAGGAAACGAACTTACTGTAGTCTACGCGTATACACATTTGAGTATGTTCATCAGACGTGCAGAAACGAACTTACACCCTGAAACGAACTTACCACCAAAAGTGATCTTGTACACATATTCAGACCCACTTACGAGCTGTGGCTGGTTTCATGATCCACAGGGTCATCTACAATCACAGGCAACCATACGACCCAGACACCGTTCCGCATAACCACTTCTATTAGACATACCATACAATTCAAGAGGCAAGTTGACCAGCTGAGAGCAGCTCACGCGTGAGCTGCTGCTTACATAAACAGGCGCCGAAACGAACTTAACAGAGGAAACCAACTTACTGTAGAAAACAAAACAAAAAGAAGTTACTCACACAAGATCATTGACCACGAGCAAAAGGTTAAGGCAACAGCAAAGCGAACTTATACTCCGAACCGAACTTACCACCAAAAGTGACCTTGTACACATATCTCACGAGCTGTGGCTGGTTTCATGATCCATAGGGTCGTCTACAATTTCAGGCAATCATACGACCCAGGTGGTGTTCCACATAATAACTTCTATCAAACATACTACACGATTACAGAGTTAAGCTGACCAGCAGAGAGCAGCTCACGCGTGAGCTGCAGATTACATAAACAGGCGCCTAATTCACACCACGCTCGAGTGGCCCGTCCCTCTCCCGTACCCAAGTTCCCGCTGATCCACCTGTCCCACACCAATCGTGCGCACCTGCAAACTGCCCCGTCGAGTCGACAAATCATGAGAAAATTCTATCTGCCGCCCATATTATGGTGCTACGTGCACCTCGCAGACAGA